GCGTTATAAACGAGCGCTCGGTGACAGGTGGCGATGCAGAAATGAAGAGCGTCGAGGTCTGGAGGTAAACACGGCGATGTAACAATACGGTCTGATGTGTTTGGAAGCCGAGCAGTCGAGCGAGGAGGAGACACAGCAGCAGCAGCAGCAGCATATTTCACAGACTCTGAGGTTTATGAGGAGAATCTGTGCCCTGGATGGATTTCACAAGTGCTCCTTTACGCCACCCGGTCCACAGATTCAAACATTTCCTAAAGCAGAAGAAGAGTGTTCCTCAGAAAACACACACACACCAGATTTATGGAGATCTTCATCAGACTCTTCTTCAAACATGAACCAAGCTCCAAACTTCACGTGACTTTATCTTCATCTGGAAACTTCTGTTTGTCAGCAGCGGTGCATTCGTCTGAGATCTCAGTGGGAGTGGTTTTCAGACAGGTGAAGCTCCAGGTGTCAGGAAAGAAGAGCGACACTTCGAAGTCCACAGTCCCTCCTCTGAACTTCACTGAGTGGTTTGGCGCCTGAACCTGAGCAAACGGACTGTTTTAGGTTCAAGGTTGATGGTTGTGTGTAGAAATGTTGTAATTATGTCAAATAGATGTGACAGTAGATTCAGAACCATCAAAGTCAACCAAAAAACAAAAACAGACATTAATACCATCATACTGCTCAGAATCTCTTCTCTGCTTGTTTCCAAACATTGAGGAACATTATTTCTGATTTTGAAGACGAGCAGGGAACTTTCTTGTCTCTTGTTGATCTTTGGTTGCCTCTTATTGGACACTACCGTCAAGGGAACAATAGAAGAAGAATATGAGACCATGTAATTGGTTAAAAGTTTGACAGAAAAAGACGTCATCAAAACAGTTTGTCAAACCTGGAAGACATTTGCAGCATTTAGCGATAACGATCTTTTCTTCATCATGATAGTCTGATAAATAATCCTGTTTTCACTGCAGATTTACCATCAAACGTCTCTGATCAAACACCTGTTTTTGTGGCTGGATTGTAAACCTTTTGGCAGGTGTAGAAATGTCTGGAAACCCTCGATAGATCACCAAAAGAATAAACTTTTGAACACTTTTTATCCCGTAGAGAAACACGGTATAGTTCCTGAGAAACTGTGAACTATATTAATGGTGTCACGTGGGATCTAAGTGTTAATATCCCGTCTTTCTGCCCTTATTTTATTTTCGCTCTAACATCATGGAGCGGCCCAGAATCAGGGTCCAAACCCAGGACTGAAAGATCCTGTGTCCGTCTGCCGACCTCATACAGGAGCCACGCTCAGAAGGAGGCGTCTTTGATAATTCCTCCTTCATTAAAAGAGCGTCGAGGAGGATGCCCTCTTCTTTTCAGTGTGGACATGCGGGCATCACATCAGAGGCCAGATTAAAAACACACACATTTAAAACTTCTCCTCTCCGGCTGTGATGGTAAACACGCTCTGATTGGCTTTAGCAGGAGATGAGCGAGGTATCAAAGCCAGTTAATTTACCCGGTTTGGAGAATCTGTCAGCGCTTAGAAAACCTAAAGGAGGAGGACGCTGTCGGCTTATGTTCGGACGTGACGCGTCAGAAAGCCACGACCGACATTCAGCTGGTACACTGTAAAAAATGATCTTTTTGTGGCTGTAGAATCACTTTAATCAGCTCACGATGTGACTGGATAATCACCCTTCAAAATAAGAGCGCTGGTAAACATGATTTATCAAGGGGGGGATGGAGGAAGAGGAGCAGCAGCAGCAGGCGCTCATCGGTAATGCTAAACTATAACTCTTGACGTGTGGAGGTGTAATGTCAGCTATCGATTGATCGGCGGTCGTGTGTCTCGGTGGCAGGAATCATTGACATTCTCTCATCTTACGGCGGCTCCGATGTGCCGGGAATCCCTCGCCTCCTGTTCTTCTTCTTCTTCGTCTCTTTCTGGGAAGGAGTCGTAACAGAGCTCACAGGGTGTTAGCTCTGACTGTAAGTGGCGGAGGTAATTGATCACCTTCAGACCCTTTAGGACACACACAGAGTGAAGGTGTTTGTTAGAGAGTCAAAGCTTGTACTTCAGTCTTTCTCCTGTTATTTTAAGTCTCGTATATTTGACTTGCTCTGCGGTTCTTTGACATTAAACCTGCAGTCTTTACTAATAACCAAGTACAGGTCAGATACCTTTACTTCCAATTTCCACTGCATCAGGAATGGCTACAAAAAGGCCGTATCCACCAATCGTAGCTGATCATAACCACGTTAATGTGTCAATTTACACCGACTTCTTTCCGTTTCTCTGCGGATCGCCGGACTCCTCAGCTGATCACAAGAGTTCTATTTTTTCAGGACGCCGGAGCATGGCGGATAAATTCAGCACAGATTAACCCGTGCTGGAAAGGAAGTCGGGCACAGACACAAAATAAAACATCCGGCTTCTTTTCAAAATAAAACACTCCGTGTTTCAGGAGGATCGTATTTCACACCATGCAAACGGGCGGAGACGAACAAGTGAAAGGTTTTTAGACTTCATTTCACTCCGATGAATAGATTTCCTCCTCTGGAAGGACAAAATCTACTGCTTATATGTCTATGTGGATAACGAGATTCCCGCTTTCCGTAATCCGCCACGAAATCACAAACAGATTCAGTGGGAATTGTCAGACGGCAAAAATCGCCCCCGTTCCAGATCAGAGCCGTTTGGGACGCGGTGGAAATTCAGGGTCATTTGTACCTGGACAGTTTCAGTTTGAATTTCTGACTCCAAAATGATTTTGTTGTCCAAGTAGAGTTTCGTCTCGTCTCCATAGTCGTTTGTTTCACTCGTGGAGGAGGTGAGTTTTTTTTTTAGAGTAAAATGATTGTTGCAGGTCACAAACACACACAGATATTTCTCATGTTTGTTTCCTGCATCTTTTTTTTTAATTTTTTTTATCCTACCTGAGCCCCCCCTCCCCCCTCTAGTCGCTGACCTGCGGTTTTTATCCCATCAGGTGTCGCACCTCTACCTCTGCGCTCTGTCTCCATGCCTCCTGCACGCTCGCCTGCACACGCCGCATATGTATTTTCTCCAAACAAACTCCACAAACACCCGGAGCGAGCGTGTGCTGTTAGGTGACATGTCAGCCCCCCCACCCTTCTGTGTACAGAAATAAAAACATGGCGAGGTGGGAGGGGGCGGGCCGTCGCTCTCAGCAGGGGTTATTGATTGTGACGTGCGCTCGCAGTGTACCTTCCCAGTCGCCTGTCAGCCAGATGCATGCTGGCAGGTCCAGTCCCCCCCCCTCCTTTGACAGCTCCCGCGTGGAAGGGAGGTCCAGGGCGAGGGGGGGGGGGGCGGCGTTTGTCAGGGAGGAAAACAGAGGGAGAAAAACAGCTGGCGGGGGCCCTGGCCTTCATTTCCCTCCCCTCTCTGAACCCCGACCCCCCAAACCAAACCAGCTCGCGTCGTCGCTACAAGGTGAGCGCAGCTGCCCGCGCCGGTTAGCCTCCGTTTGAGCAAACGCAGGTCTGTCACTCTGCGTTTTTTCTGCTTTCCCACCCCAAAAAGCCCCCAGGATGCAAATGAACCGTTTCAGTCCCTGCTCAGCCTCACTGTCGCTTTCACCGCCATGTTTAGCACGACAAATCCTCTAAACCCCCCCCACACACACACACACCACCACCTGAGCAGCATGTTTAACACCAGCGTCCCCACAAGGTGCTTCTCGGCGGCTCAGTGAGCTCGGGGGAGGAGAGCGCACGTGTGAGGGTGTGAAATTACCTGACACAGCTTTCATCACACAAGGTGTGTTCACCGACACGGGAATTCAGACACGTTTTCACAGTTAGAGAGAGAGAGAGAGAGAGAGAGAGAGACAGAGAGAGAGAGAGAGAGAGAGAGACAGAGAGAGAGAGAGAGACAGAGAGAGAGGAGGAAACAGGATTTTATCACTGAAAGAGAACGACAAACCAAAGACAATCAAAGTTTAAGAAGTGAGAAGAATCTTCTCATCATAACTCTGTCTTACTTCAGGTTAGGGCTGGGCGATAAAACAATAACAGTATATATTGAAAATTAAATTCCCTCGATATCAATATAAAACATGGTCTATCTGTTTTTAAATAGTCGGGGTTCTGACATGTTTTGGTGGACTCTACGAATCACTCCTGGTTCGCTTCGCTCTGAACCAATCATGTTCTGAATTAGAACCAAGTATCAACCAACTGCAAAGTCGTAGCAGACAGCAGCTACACCCAACCATAGCACTTTAACAGGTGAAGCCGACAGCACTGTGCTCTGTAAATCATGTCGAGTACATGTTCTCACAAAGTCGGGGAATACCTCAAATCTTTCTCACCACCTGAAGCAGCTGAAACAGACGACCATTCAGTCGGCTTTCTCTAGAGCAACGCCTTACGACAAAACGTCAAAGAGACACAAAGACCTCACAGATGCAGGAGATTATTGTGTTGGAAAAGACATGAGACCAATAAACACTGTTAGATTTCATTTAAGAGTAACAGGGAACATTTAAGATTGACAAGTGACTTTTATTTATATTGTGATTTATTTCAATATTGACTGATAAGAAAAAAATATATGGTGATAAACTTTTTCCTGTATCGCTCAGCCCTACTTCAGGTTAAAATACCTGCTCAGCTCCTTAAATCAGTTCAGATTACTGCCTCAGTCCTCATCTGAGTTTACATGCTGGGGTTTAATCTTGATGCTCTGAATAGTCAGAGTTTGTATTTCATATTTAGTCCGGACTAAAGCCGGTGTTTAAATCAGTCTAACATCGTTTCTGCTGAATCTGCACAGAAAGGTGAAAAAGCCGTGATGGACCCAGAGTAATAACCCGCACGTGTCGGGACAAGCCCCAAATACTGAATGGATCATAAGTAATAATCACCCCGGGGTCGCAGACAATACCCCACCACCACCACACCCCCCCTCAGTATCTCAATCCATTCGTCTTGGAAAAGGAAATTACTAAATCCAATACAGTGGGATAAAAATCTGGCCTGTCTGGAGGATAATGCAGCCTGATAAAGGCGCTCGTTTCCGGCTGCACGCCATCCGTCATCTGGAGGTGGGGGTCGCTCTGCTGGTCAAACTGTCTGCTGCTCCAATAGATGACTGCAGGGCTGCTGCTGCTCCTTACGCCGCCGCCGCGTGGCCTCCACCGCCGACTTTACAAAGTTTAATGTTTGTGAGAATCAGAAACTGAAAGACTTTTCCTCAGTGAGTCCAGATACTGATCCAGGACTCTGTTAAACACCTGAGACTCTCAGAAATCCACTTCATGAGAGTTTTTATCACTCTGTCCGGTGTGGAGTCACTCCTGGACTCAGTGAATGAATACTAATCACTCGTTTATGATGCAGATTTGGCCAACAGCCTGAGGGAGAGCAGGAAGTGTCGTCTTTTACTGAAGGTGCAGCGTGACCTCGGAGCGACCCGCCGTTAAAGAGGGACAAATGTTTCTGCGGTTAATAAGCGGAGAGCTCGTAAAAAGGTGCAAATATCGGGACTTTATCACAGAGGGGAGGTGGAGTTGGAGAGGACCTACGGCTCTTAGACGAGGACGTAAAAGGAAACACAAAGGTAGCTTAGCTTTAGCATCGAGAATTCGTGAGTAAAAACGGCGAATTTAGGAATTTCTAGAAGTCTAGAAGTAGATTTCCTCCTCTGCTTATATGACTAAAGAGACAACTTGTTATTGTGCGATTGAATCTGCGGGTTCTTGTGAGTTCTCGCGATTTCTGCTGTTTGTAATCCGCCACGAAATTCGCCTCACCAACGGACTGGCAGATGGCAGCAATGGGCGCCATTCCAGATGCGATGAAAATTGAGGGTTAGTGTTTCAGTGTTTCATGACTGACCTTTGGTGAAACGGTGACAAACATCCACACCTTCTCTCTAGCTAGCTCGCTTGTCTCAGCTTTTGTTTATCAGCTGTATTTTCTCTCCTGTCCGATCAATAAACTGATGAAAAGTCAGAAGTCCAGATTCATCGTTTTCACGTCTTTCTCTCCACTTTCAGATCTGATCCCTCTTTTCTGAGTCGGAGTGAAACCTGCGCTCTGTGGACTTATTTTGTCGGACGTGGACCAGCTCTGAGTGATGTGAGCGGAGAGGCCACTCTGGTCACCCCGCTCCCTCCTGACGGCTGAATAATGCGAGCGCCTCCATTCGATTCACGTCCCCGCCGCTGCGTTCAAAGACACTTAATTTCATACTTGTTTACGGCTCTCTCCAGAGATCTAAAGTTCAGAATCACATGCATTTTTAATTCCAAATTAAACCAGAGAAGAAGAAGGAGGAGGAGGAGGAGGAAGAAGAAATTCCACGTTCACTTCTTCTCCACGTTTTGACAAACATGACCTTCCCTCGCCGGGGTGGAGGGATTATGTGGAACAAAAGTTGGCCCACTCGCCGTACCAGGGCTTAAGGCTATTGGGGCGACAGATTAGAATATCTTTCACCCTCTGCGGAGATAAGAGAGACACGAGCATCTGAAAAAAAAAACATAATGAACTCCTGATCTCTCACCACCAAAGAGCACGTGTGAAGTGGAGATTCATAAATCTTCCCCACAGTGATGCAGATTTGTGGATTTTTCCTGCTAATGCTTAAACATGATGTGGTTTATCAAAGGTTGGAGGGATCTTTTTGTCTTTCCCCGGAGGAGCCCCATCTCTCCTCCTCCCTCCTCGCCTGTTTTGTTGCCGTATTTCGTTTCTTATTATCCCCGATAATTACAAATATGTCAGGCGTGTCAGCGTGTGACGTGTACCGACGCCGGGAACGTGGTGGGCCGGCCCGGCGGCCGCGGTGACACGCCGATACATCTCAGCCTCTCCCGCTCTCAATTAGCTCGCGGTGCTCCAGGTTAATGGAACTTTTGATTGGGGGAAAACTCGGGTTTCCTGGACGCCGGGGCTCGCGTCGGGGGGTCGACCTCGTCCTTATCTGGCGCTGCAGAAAGACGAGGCGCTCTGCTGCTCTTTGGTGTGTTTTCACTCCACCTCAGTGTACCGAACGCCGCGCTCTGAATGCTTAAATCCTCCACGTTTCAGAGTGGACTGTTTGTAAAAGTGAGTGAATTTGAGAAGAGTGTGGAATAATCATAAAATACATAATAATGTCGTCAAAAGAACAAAGAGGCGGGACTCTGTAGTGGAAATAACCACATGGGATTAAGAACTAAACCACTGCTGGTTTTAAGAGTGCACACAGGAAACTCGATATAACTCAGTCAGTGATCAATGAGGATAAAAGAGGAAACAGGGAGAGTTTGAGTCTTTTTTCAGGTAGATGTGGCGTCACAGAGCAGCAGTCCGAGAGCGAAGAGGAGGCCCAGTTTCCTCCTCTTCCTCGCCCGGTCAGAGAGGTCAGCATCCCTCTGCACAAACCTCCTGCAGCCAAACACAACCAGCTATCAGAGGACGACATGAAACCCCCCCGCTGCCCTCCTCCTCCTCCTCCTCCTCCTCCTCCTCCTCCTCCTCCTCCTCCTCCTCCTCCTCCTCTTTGGATCAGTGCGTCTCCTCTGCTCGTTTGCGGCCGTGTTGGAGGGAAGGTGACTCAAGAGAAACGTTCCTGTAATTTCCAAAAAAAAAAAAAAGAAAAGAGCTCAAGGTGGAATTGTTCTCCGAGGGGAGAAGCTGCCACCTCTCCTCCTTTCCTTTCTCCCCCCTCCTCCTTCCCCTCAGTTTACCTAACTCCCCTAAAACACACACACACACACAGACACACTGTCAGAGAGTCCTCCTGAGGAATGGCTGGCGAGCAGAGAAGAAATGCGGCCTGACAATCTCCCCTTCCCCGCGGCGGCTGGATGCCAGAAAGGAGCGCGGTTTCTTCTCCGAGATCTTTTAGCGGAGATGCCAGGGATTAAGAAAGAAAAGACTGCGGGACACGAGTGTGTCACCGAGCATTAAACAGCCCTAAACTCTCCCGTTATGAGATACTCTGTGCAAAATAGGTCAGAGCGGGCGAAAACAGAAAACAGAGAGGGTTTGATTTCTTCTCCTTTTTCCTTCTCCTTTTACCTCCGGCCCTGACGCCTCCTGGACTCTTGTGTCGGCGATCAGACTAAAACACGCTCAACGTACGAGACAATAGGTGCTGATTTACTGCCAAACTTGACATTTAAGAGCAGACAATAAGGTGTTAAAGTCCTGATGTTGAAAATAAGAGACGAGATAAAAGAGCTGAGCTTTCAGGAATCTGAGCTCTCGCCTGAAGTCAAAAAATTCAACCAGAATGATCTTAAGAAGAGGAAGAGTTCTTTCAAACTGTCTGACGTTAACTTTTGGTTTATTTACAGGTGAGAGGAGTGAAGACGACACAAAGAAAGAGACCCACAGTGACACAGGACTCATGTGGAGGTGGGTGAAAATGTGTTAGCGCTCGCCTCTGAGAGTGGAGCTGATGTGCAGCAGAAAAATCAGAAATTCTGAGTCTGTTTGTTAAAAAAAAACTTTATTTCAGTTTGTTTCGAGGAAAAATCCCGTCTGATTGACTGTCCTCCTCCTTGTTGTTAGTGTAAATACAGTTTTTCTCTCAGAGTTGCTGCAGAAGTTGTTTTTAAAAAGTGAAACTAAAGTTTGAAAAGTTTAGAGGAAATAAATCTGGAGTCATTACAGACATGTCTGTGCTCCCTCTCCAACACCGCTCCTTAAAATCAGAGTCACAGACACCAGAATTCATGATCCAGGTGTGAAATAGAGAAAAAGAGTCGTTTATTTGTTGTTGTTTAAACCCAGAAAACAGTGAAATACCTTTAAAACTTCCTCAATTTGTGTCTGTAAGACAGTCAGACATTATTTCTGCTTTTATTCTGTGACTCAGTCGAGTTGATTTGGTTGTAAAAAGTTTCTAAAATCATCCTCCAATGATGATGATGATGATGATGATGATGAGGGTTTAGCTTCACTCTTGATATATTTACAGGTTTGTTGTTCTGAAAAGTGTCGGTCTAAGTTTGTAGATCTCAGATAAATAAAGGATCAGATAGAGAGGCTCTTTCCTCAGAGTTGCGTCACATTTCTGATACTAAAACGTTTTACTTTGATTGAATACTTGATGCGGCGGAGACTGACAGAGTTAACGTTTGTCCCTGAACAAAAGCCTGAACAGACGTAGTAAATGTTTATAACCTCTCCTTTCAGACGTCACGGCGCCCTAAAAAAACCTCCTCGGCCGTCACCGCCGTCATCAGAGCCGCTGAAAGAAAAGCGTCCAAAAGTTTCCCGTCGTCTTTGTCGTGTTTGCTCGGCCCGCTCTGAATAATTCAGCGTCCGCCGGTCGACGCAAACAAACGGAATAAAACATGTGGAGTTATGAGGCTTAAATATGAACAAACAGCATCTAAAAGCATTAAGGAAACACGCAGCGACACGCGAGGACAGCAGGCGTGTGTGTACGTGTGTATGTGTGTGTGTGTGAGTGGCTGGACGGAGCCGTAACCCCCCTGCACACACACACACACACACACACACACACACGTCTGTTATTCAGCCCCCTCCCTCAGAGATGTGCGGCCTGTCAGAGTCACGCAGCCAAACGATATCCAAGACTACAAAGCCTCAGTCCGAGTTTCTCTCTCTGCAAAAACAATAACTGGGATTCAGCTGCTGCAAATTGCACTAAAATTTCCCATTCTCTCTCAGTGAATTATTAATGAGACTCTGACCAAAAAAAAAGACCAAAAAGAGAAAAAGGAGGAGGGAGAGGAGTATCTACGGCGCTGCACAACGCTATAAAGCTGTAATTATGCCACCGAATGAGAAATGGAACAAAGTTGTCGGAGGCAGAAAGTGAAACTAAGAGCTGGAAACGTGGAGCTCAGAGGCTGCTGGAAGAGAAAAGCAGTTTTTATTACAAATGCAAAACGCCGGAGCTGCTGCTGCCGCCGCAGCATCGACACACAATTAAAACGAGGAGGAACAACAACATTTACATCCGTCTGTGTCAGGTCTGCGCTGAGGGAGAGAAGGAGAGAGGAGAGGAGGAGAGGAGAGAAGGAGAGGAGAGGAGGAGAGAGGAGAGGAGGTCGAAATGGCAAAAAAACACAGGAGACGACTGAGACAGAAAACAGGAGTTAAAAAATCAACCTGAGGCTCTAAAAACCAAATCTGAAGTATTTATTCTGAGAAGAGATTTTAGTTTTCATTGAGACAGTTTTTAATTCAAAGCTTTTTATCAGACGGCAGAAAGAAACTAAGAAAGATAAATAAACGGTGTTTCAGTGAGGTTAGCACAAAAGAGGCCTCGTTTTATTTTATTATCAGGAGCAGAGAGATGAGAGGATGTGATGATATGAAGCGGTCAGTGAAGGAGTTGTTCCCTTTGAGGACATATTAGATGTGAAGATTTTAACATCCAAAATGTCCATTTACATCTAATTCTTGTTTAAACAACCAGTTTTACTTGTTTGTCCACACAGAGCCACCGTAGGAGTGTGGACTCAGTCTCTCATGAAGGTTAAAGGTTAAAGTCAGCTGGTCATACATTCAACATTGTCTGTGTTCTCAAAACTCTGTCCCACCTGCTGAATCCCTGATTTACCCTCAGAAAATAAAACAACAGAAATATTAAAAAAACATGAAAATCTGACCCTAAACGATCTTCATCTCAATGTAAAGCAGCTTAAGAAAAATATCTAATTAATGATTGTAATGAATCTGTAATTTATCACATGTTATACAGAATGTCTCCAACAGAAAGTGAAATTATTGATCTGAAGACTCTCCTGAACGGGCTGAATGAAGGTGAAAATTAAAAACACTGAAAGGCAAAAATCCTCTACAGAGTTAAAGTTTCAATTTGGATCCTGCAGAGAAAAAAAAAAACCCTGATTTACAAACGAGCAGAACCCGAGTGTTTGCAACAGAAACCATTTCTATTTGTCGTGTTGAAAAAGCAAACACCACTTCAGAGCGAGCAGTCTGGAAAAACCTGGAACATTTCAAACAGCCGAACCTTGATCCTTGAATCCCTGTGCTGATGTTTGTGTCCAATTCCAGGGAAGAAGTGATTTTAGTTTTTGTAAAAGTCTGTCGGCCTGGGAGACAGAAAAGAAATCTGCAGAAACACCAAGAAGAAGAAGAAGAAGAAGAAATTTGTGATATTTAGTGTACAGAGGGCAGTAAGAAAACACACACACACATCATTGTTGTTCTGTTGTCTTTTGGCGCATGTTTGAGAGAGTGCCAGCCAGAGTGTACACAAACACACACACACACACACACACAGTCAAAGGCACACGTGGTTGTAGTGAGGGCCTGGCATGGATCCCCGGCTCACAGGAGGCAGCGGCGTCCCTCAGGGATCCATAACCAACCAAATAGCTCAGAGAGAGAGAGAGAGAGAGAGGGAGTGAGAGAGAGAGAGAGAGAGAGAGAGAGAGAGAGAGAGAGAGAGAGAGAGAGAGAGAGAGAGAGAGAGAGAGAGAGAGAGAGAGAGAGAGAGAGAGAGAGAAAGAGAGAGAGGGGGAGAGAGACCCAGCTGGTTGAGTGAGCCTCTCCCTCTCTCTCTCTCTCTCTCTCTCTCTCTCTCTCACTCACTCACTGTGTGTGTGTGTGTGTGTGTGTGTGTGTGTGTGTGTGTGTGTGTGTGTGTGTGTGTGTGAGAGAGAAAGGAGGAGGAGGAGGAGGAGGAGGAGGAAGGGGGGCAACACTGTGGACTCCCAGCATTCAGTGGGTGAATCGAGGTCGTCAGGTGGTCTGCCCAAGAACCAGGACTCTTATTTTGAAAGGAGGAGACCTTAAAAGTGTCCAGAAGTCTGTGGACACCTTCAGTGTGACTCTGCAGCAGCTGGAACAACCTGAAAGTCTTCTTGTTTCAGGCGGAGGACCAGATTTAGACTCAGTCTGCTGGCGGAGACATACACGCACGCACGCACGCACACGTGCGCGTGAGGCCATCAGGAAGGTCCCACTGATAAGGTCTGGCTCGATCCGGATCATCCTGGAGGTTTAGGATGGAGGCAGAGGTCGGTCAAGTTTGAACACCACAAACACAACAAGATCTTTAACAAACTATTGTCACAAAGTTTGACAAAAACACACAACTAATCCAGACGTGTGATCACAACTTTGGCGCCCACAGCTGTGTCGGTTCAGACTCAGAGAGGGGAACCCGAACACTTTGATACTCTCCCTCTGTTTTGTAGAGTTCAGGGTCAGTGAAGTCGGTCTGTTTACATTATTCCAGTGTTATCAGGTGACTTAGTTCAGTGTTACTGTAGTGAATTGTTTTGGTTCTCCTAAGAAAACAGTCAAAGTGGAGGTTTGATATGGACACAAAGAGTCTGTTAAAGGTGTTCATTATTGTGAGATCAACCTGAAAATGTCGTGAACATGATTATTTTATATTTTTAACAGTTTTAGGTGTTTTCAAAATCAGTGACAAACGCAGTGAAGGAGATGTGACGTTTAATCAGATACTCAGATAATCGGTGTTTATGAGAGCTGAGTGAGGCAGAAGCTGCAAAGCATCCTGGTAAATGTAGGCACAGTTTGGTTTTCAGTCTGTGATGTGACACTATTTCTTCTACAAACAAAAACTCACTTGAAACCTTCAGCATGAGTGAGTTTTGAACATTTTGAACACTGATCAGTTTTCAGTGTTTTGGATGATGAAGACTCTGTTTTCTTAAATCTGACTCTTTGTTTGTTGTTAAATGAAATAAGTGATGAAACGCCGATTCGGAGAGCGACACGTTTCATCATTTTGAACCCATGGTGACACTGAGGCTTCAAAAGAGAGAGTGATCCTCCTCCTTCTCCTCCTCCTCCTCCTCCTCCTCCTCCTCACTCAGAGGCTGTTTTTATCTCTTTAAACTCCAGTTTGTTTAGAGAAGTATTTTTCTTGTTAGATCTGGACTCAACAGTCCGAGTTGGATTAGAAACAGGAGAACGACAGAAAGAAAAGTATAAATATTTAAAAGAGCGGGAGGATTTGTTGAGAGAAAAAACGTGTTAATCGTGTTTTATTCTTTTCTTCCAGGAGCAGGAAAACTTTGAACGATCTGCAGCTGAAAAATAATCCTGAACGCGTTTGATGTCTTCACCCTGATGTGCCAGATGGGAGGAGTTTGACCACAGGACGATTCAGCCGGGTAAAATATGTCAGAACGGCTTTCTGTAACAGCACACAGTCCTGCTCGGGGTCAAAGGTCACGGTGATGACAGTGTGTGTTTGTGAGTCAGGATTGTGGAGCTGTGCGGTAGATGCTGGAGATCGGAGTGTTTCCTGGTGCTGTTCTGCCCTCTGCTGGTCGCTGAGAGGAACTGTCAGTTACAGAAGAAATGTGGTTTAATATGTGATCAGGTTTGTGTCTTCTGTCAGAGGTGTGTGTGTGTGTGTGTGTGTGTGTTTCAGAGCTCCTGTCACTCCCATCTCTTCTCTGGGTTCAAGGTCGCTGTGTGGCTATTTCCAGCTCGTCTCGCTTTGATCTGTGTTGCAAAATGACAAGGTAACGCAACTCGGGGGGTCAGCTGTGTTACAGGAACGCTGCATCCGTGGATTGAGAGAGAGAGAGAGAAAATCAATCCTGCCTGACAGTGTCTTCAGGATACTCCGACCTGACTGGACCATGACAACTGCACACACGTGCATGCACACGCACAGTGAGTGGATCCACATGTAAAGATAAACACTCAGAGTCACAGACGCAAACAAACAGTGTAGTACACACAGGCAGGAGCTGCAGCCAAATATAGCGCACGCACACACACACACACACACACACACACACACACACACACACACACACACACACACACGTGGTCCAGCTGTCTCTCTGTCTGACACGCTGGACCTCTGTCAGCTGTGGTTTGTCTGTCTGCTTGTCAAGGTGCATCAGGGAGATGAGGAGGAGACGAGTTGTCGACCAAAAAAGTTCATCAGGACTAACCGCTTCTGAAGAGTCTGAGATTTTAGAGGAAGGAAGGAGAAAAAATATGTGTGAATGAATTTTGGTCAAATACTAGACTGAAACCCTGTGTGGTGATGAAATTTGAGTGAGGCTTGATAAGTGTGAGGTGTTGAGTTTGGACCATGGAAAACCTCTTCACTGATGCTTCTTGTGCAGCAACTCTCCAAACGTAGAAACTCCTGTATGAGTGTGTTTGGTGCTGCAGCTCTGATATGCAGTGTTGTGATGAATTCACAGACTAGAGAGTTCTGGTTTGACCTGGGCGGTTGTAGAAACCTCCTCCTGTCCTGCAGGTTGGATTAGTCTGGGCTTTTTAAGACAGGGTTCAGGTCCAGGGAAAGGTTCTGATGGGTATTCAGAGAGGCAAATCTCTGTCCTGGGTGTCTTTGTTGGTGTGGTGTATTTGCCTCTAAGCACTGCCACCCATTAGACTCCCTCTCTCTCCCTCTCCCTCCTCCCGGGTCATTGAGCATTCCCTGCTAGCTAATTACAACAGGGCCCGTACTCGTCCGCATCCCTGCCTCCCCCTCTATCTCTCCTGTCTGGAAGCGCACGGGCAGGGGCAGGGGTTACGAGGGGGACATATTTCTGACAAATGTGCCATCTCCATAATTAGCTCAGAAGCAACATATGAAACATTAAACACGGCGGGTGCTGACGACAATCAAAACATTTCATTTGTTGTCAATTATTCATAACTTTGAAGGTTCCGAAGGGGTCGTTAATATGGAAATGAGCTGGCCACGCTAACAAGGTTGGAGTATCAGAGTCCAAATCATCCCTTTTTCTTTCAAGGATAATATTTTCCTCTTTTTCTTTCTTTTCTTGTTTCTTTTAGCGTTCATGAAAGCTGCTCTCCAAAACAAGCTGCTGCTTTCAAGTTGTTTCCGATAAACTTGAAAAATGGTGTTTGATGGACTTTTCTGAGAGGTCAGAGTTGAGAAGAAAACAAGTGAAAGCACCCCCAAACTAATGCGGCTGTTTTGTCTGACAGTTTTCTGTGTTCACCTGGCCCGAACACGCGCTTCCCCTCGCTGTCGCCTGTCACAGCTGAGCTGCCAGGAGAGTGTCCACCCAAGTCCTCCTTTCTGCAGATGTTGAGACTTTACTTCCACTCTAATGAATGAATGGGATGAAACGTCCCACGCAGAACCTCGCCACTGCTGGCCCCACTACCTTTGCCAGCTGTCAAATTGGAGAAGTAATCCTTAGTGAATTAGTTTAAATGCATGCAGTTGACTATGGACTTCTGCTACCGCAGACCGCCCTGGGCCTATGTGCCCCACACAAGACTGGTGATGTTTGACATCCACTGGGTGTTGTAGATTGAGGAGCGCTGTCCCAAACTAGGATCCCTGAGCTGATGGTTGGGAGATGATCTCTGTAAATGTCAGACTATTGTATGAGTGTAGCAGCTGACAGTGTCCAACATGAAGTGTGCAAGTTTTTTCCAGATGTGTCCATGATGAGGAGAAAAAGCAGGAGGAGGAGGAGGTCTACAGGAGCAGACAATCCATCCTTGTGTGATGAAGAAGACCTGGACCAAGGACAGAGTGTTGTTTGTCAAAATCCCAAGTCCACGTTCCTTAGAGAAGCTTGTAACTGAGTCCAACAGGCGTGATGAGACAGCTGTAGTCAGCAGCAGTAGCATCAGAACCTTCGTCTTAGTTTGGTGTGAAGGTTTGGACTTGATCTGTGTTGATTTGGAGGTGTAAATGCAGAACCTGCAGGTGTGTCTCTTACTGAGTGTAATGAGCTGCGGCCTTAAGATGAGCCGTTCAGCTTTGTGTTTTCTGAGCCCTGAAGTGTTGAGATGTGACCTGTTGGTGTCCTATAGTGAGGTTTTAGCCTTTGTAATGTGTAAGTAGAGAGTTGTGTTGTCCATTTGTGTGAGCTGTCTGATTGCTAAAGTGTCAAGTGTTGTGTTGTCCATCTGTATGATCTGTTTGAGTGCTGATGTGTGGAGCGTAGGAGGTTTCAGGTGTTAGCCTTTCACCAAGTGAAGTTGTGTGTGAGTGAGACACTGAGCGTTTGGCGGCCCTGAAGTGTCTCAGGTGTATGTGTGTGTGTGAACTGGAATTCCCTCTGTAGGACTATTAAAGAATATGTTATCTGTTGTGTATGTGTGGACCTGTGCAGAGTGTGAGCAGGCCACAGGAGCTCCAGTTGGAGATGTTGAGAGTTTGGTGCCTCACATTTGCAGGACAAAGAGTTGCACCGCACACGAGTTAGCATGCGCTACCATGCGGCCTGTCAGCGGTCAACCTGTAACTGGAATGATTGAAGACGGAGCGGTGTAACCTGTGAGGTGTGTCCAGGTAATAAGATACGTGTTGTTATTTTTTGAGTGGTACTTGAGCGGATCCTTTGGATTAACGTGGAGTGTTTGTTTGTGTGCTTGTCTTTTAGGTGGGAGGTGTAACTTAGCTGGAGTTTGAGAGGAATGAGGCACAGAGAGCAGACACTGAAGGTGAGTGTTTGTTAGTTTATTGTCAATTGTAGGTGTTTGGAGTCCAAGTTCGAGCAGTTCCCACAGGACTTTGATTGAGGGGAGAAGACATGGTTCAATGAGATGAGCCACATGTCCGCAGAAGACCAAGCAGGAGTAATTGTTGTTCTCTCTTTTGTTCTTCCGGGTTGTTGGTGTGAATGGAGTTGTTTGTTGGTCATCCAGCATGAAAGGAGGTACAACCAAGAGTTGGGGTTGAGTACGGAAGCAGCAAGCAGCACGGAAAGGCCACAGACAGACAGACAAGCAAGGTGCCGTAGAGGTTTCCCATGAGTGGAGCTGCAGGATCTGTGGCCTTCCCGGCGTCCTTCCCCAGGCAGACTTGCACAGGTCGACTTGCTCGTCTTTGCCCTGACAGTCTTCGCACAGACAGGCTGACGCACACGGGCTGACGCCCAAGGGTCAACTGTGTCCGCTCATATACTACCTCGTCCCACATCTGCAGCCTACTCAGGTAACTACGCACAGCTGACACTCATTACACATCAATGATGCTAGTTACAGGAGTTGCCTCCCTTGAGCCCACCCATCAATAGTGGAACGTCACAGCAACAAACATCGAGAGCCCACCACTTCACCAAGAGACTCTACCTTTAGCCTTTGCTGACAACAAACAGCTGAATATCATTAGTCATCAAGGCAGCGAGCTACGGAAGGTGTGACACACCTCCATGTAGCCCACCCACCAATCAATGACCATCAATGTGATGGTTTGTAATTCTGTAAAATCCATCCATCCGTCCGTCCGTCCGTCCGTATGTATGTATGTATGTATGTATGTATGTATGTATGTATGTATGTATGTATGTATGTATGTATGTATGTATGTATGTATGTATGTATGTATGTATGTATGTATGTATGTATGTATGTATGTATGTTTGATGATCAACAGGAACCCATGACTCTGCCCACAGACCCCACCAATGACCTTGTATGACAAGAAGTGGAACCCACCTACATTAAGCCCAACCATCAATTGTTGAAAAAGTTACACCCAATCAACAAAACCAACACAAACCCCAACTATACCTTGTAGGCGTCGTTACCACAACATTGTGTATGTCTCACTGTATCCGTGGTCTTCTGAAACGACCCTGAAATAAAACACGTGACACATCCTGTGATGGTCTATCTCTGACTCCCTCGTCTCTGTCTGCACTTCATTACCCGTTTGTGTTGCACTAACCCTGTATTACACATGGGTTCCACACCCTGCGCATGACCACACTTTGGACCTTGACTCCATTGGTGGTCACACACACACACACACACACACAGTCACCCTGAGCACCATCACTGACATGATCCATGGAGATGTTCTTCCAAAGAACATCATTGCTGTAGGGTGTGCCTGTTTACACAGTCCACATGAAGCTGCTTCAGGGACACTACTGAAGGGAACAGTCAGGGAGGAAAGGGAGACAATGAACAAAGCGCTGAGGCCAGAGTCACAGCATCAAGAGTCTCAACACACAGACACACAGGCCCGAGTCATAAACTACTACTGTTCCTGCTGTCAAGACACTCATGAACTACAGACAACACCATCAACAGTCTCTCACCTCCACATACAAAGTCATATTTTCAGAAAACTATCTTTCAAGCAGCAACCCATCTCAACATCAACATCCCTGAATGTGGAGGAAGATCACAACCAACAGAGGACCATGATCCAAGGTGCTTGAGGTCCAGCATCAAGTTTCCACAATAAGCTGCTCATAGTCTACTGTGTCTGATCAACTCAAGAGAAGCTTCATGGAGATACAGGCTTCTTCAGGCAGGCAGGCAGGCAGGCAGGCAGGCAGACAGCCAGCCAGCCAGCCAGCCAGCCAGCCAGCCAGCCAACCAACCAACCAACCAACCAACCAACCAACCAACCACAGGCCCAACCAAAGCAGATCCAAACACTGATCACCTCCAACATTTCTATTTACATTATTGTTAGATTAAGATGTTTCCATTTTCTCTTTACTGACATGAGGATAAGGAAAATGATGACGACAATAATAATAATAATAATAATAACAAATAATTCTAATGAACTTTATTGAACTTTCTTTCATTTACATTCTTTTCAACAGGTACTTGAAGACCAACAGTCAACTCCTTTAAACATACATCAGTAACAGTTTCATCCATTTCATTAAGGAAAACAACACTTTACATACATACATACATACATACATACATACATACATACATACATACTTAACTTCCATTTAACATTGACATCATCATCATCATCATCATCATCATCATCATCATCATCATCATCAGCCACATACCTCCATCACTAACACTCTCACACTGACTCCAGGAGCTCCCCACAGGATACACCAGATTCACCTCCTGTTTTCAGAGAACAGAGAAAAAAAACAGACTGTCAGACAACAGGTACTATCACAGGGGGTCAGTGACAGATCACCTTCACTCACAGTACTGTTACCTAACTTACTTTTTTTTCTTCTTTTTTAGGATCAGTACTTTCATTTAAATGACTTTGGAGAAAATAAACAACATTCCTATATTGCAGTCAACTCTGTCTGCGCACCACCCCTCCACAGACAGACAGACAAACAAACAAACAGGTGACACTAATCACCTGTCAGAGTCAACTGGACTAAACCTAAACTACAGTCATCTAACACGGGATTTCACCTTCAAAAATATTAACTGTTCATTCACAGACAAACAGACCTCTTTGTCCGGGTTAAACTGCACCTCCTGTACGTTACTTTGACGCGCTAAACACAAACAAACACTGACCAGACCGACGATCACGGTTAGCCACGCGGCTAACGCGAACCTGTGTTGACAACCCTAGGAGTGTTTGTTTGTATGTTTGTTACTGACCTCATGAGTGACACCAAATCACGCTTCCTCGCGTCGTTTCATCCGCTCTACATTAATGATGACTCCATTCTCAAAAAGCCCTCATTTTCATGCATCACACAAGTTATTCCCCATCCTGTAGTCGATGCGGCGGCTCGGCTCCTGTTCACCGGAGTAGGCGGTGTCTGCAGAGCCGGAGAGCCCAGCAGACCCCACGGCCCTGTTGGCGCCCCTGCTGGACAGAGTAGGACATTGCATGACAAATCCACAAACTGAATCACGTGACGGCCCCTTCTTGCTTCTTTCTCGAATGTTCTCGGCTTGAATGGAGTGACGTCATGATCAAGTATTACACGCGAATCACGTTTTTTTTTTTTTGGGAATTTAAAGACTGTTGTCTTGAATTTGAAATCAATGTCAATGTGACAGCTTCTGTTTATGACATTTTTCCACTACCCATTTTCCATGATCATCTGAAATGCACATCAAATCTCAGTCAAGCTAATGCTACCATTAGCTTGTCAGATGTCATAAATGTACTATTTGACTGATAAACGAGCATTATAGTGAATAAAACAGAAGTGCAATGACTGATAATGTGCATGAGATTGCACATGGAAATATACAAGAAAAACACACAAAATATCACATTCATCCAGCTCTGTAGGCACAACGGATTGCACTCTGGTGGTCAAAATCATCACCAAGGAATGAAAAGTATAAAAGCAAGGCCAATCCCTATGATATCAATTGATATTTGGGTAGAGAAAACCCACAATATTATAGGTTGCCAGACAATACATAAAAAATGATAAGTACAAACTTGTTCTATTAATTCAATCTAGATTGATATCTAAATATGTCACTATTACAATACATTTCAAACCCTTAAAGGGAAGAGGGCCAAGTCACAAGAACTGAACTTTCTTTAGAAATTTCAAAGACTTCTTATTTTCATTCAATATAATCATTATAATCATATGTCACTGCAGTCACTTACTTACTTACTTACATACAAAAAGGGATGTGGAACAGCAGTTGAAAAGAGGGTTGTGGATCTGTCACAGTTGTGTGGAGCTGCTTGGCTCTCCAGCTCTGCAGACAGGTGCAATTGGGCTTCCTCCACCCACTGCTCCACCCTCCTTAGCCCACAGCATCAAGAAAAAGTTCTCAGAATTAAAGCCCATATCCACAGTATTTACAAAGACATTTTAATTCAATGAAAGAAAGAAAGGACAAACTTAGGGAAATATATTCTATTCATTTTTATATATGAACTACACAAAGACTAAGGTTTTACATGTTGTTCAGTTTACTCAAAATGTGAGACCATTACCATAAAACGACACTTTACAACATAAGTAAGCATGTATGTATGTGTGTATGTATGTATGTATGTATGTATGTATGTATGTATGTATGGACGTACGTACGTACGTACATACATACGTATGTATGTATGTATGTATGTATGTATGTATGTACGCACACATGCGTGTATGTATGTATGTATTATAGGATAACTTCATTTTCACAGCATCAGCAAGTCTACATATCAGGATACTAAGCCTGACAGCTGACAGTGATGTTACCTTGCTGCAGCTGAGTCAACCTGTCCTCTGGACAAGCATTCCATCCCTGCCCGCTCCGATCAAACACCAGACCAGGTACCGTGACTTGTCAGAGTCAGGGGGTTTGAGGATCACCATGGGGCAACCCAGAACAAGATCAGATCAGATCAGCTCATCCTTGCTGGTCCACCACAAGTTCAACATCCCCTTGATCGACTTGTCCGAGTGCTCCCCCAGCTCCGCCCTGTTGAACTTCAGCAGCAACTTGCTCTGTGCTGGGTACATGGACGTCAACCGGCCCGGTTGTCATGGAGTGTGCACACTGGTCACACGCTATGGCTCCATCCTTTTCCTGACTAGTGTGGTGGCCTGGAGACACAGCTTTTCAACACCTGGAATTTATGGGATCTACACCAACATGGTCAACTCTAGACTGGGTGGAGGGCATCCTTAAAAACCTGCCCAACATGTTGACAGCCAAGGAGAAGCCAGTAGAGATGCCTCTTGACATGCTGTAACAGAGGCACATTTAAAAAAAACATATATTAAAATCAACCTGAAATTTTTTTTTTTTTCTATCTCAGCAATCTTTTATTTCTTTAAAGTGCTTCAAGTTTTCACTTTCCTTGTTCAGGTTTCCGAAAAAGGAAATATTCGCATCTCAGTTTGTTCGATTGAACAAAGAGGTCAAGGATCACACATCACTGCAGATCATGTTTTGCATGTCAAATAAAATGCTCCTCAGTTTTACTGGGATCATGTTTCTGAATTAACAATGGACAGGTGGAGGTAACCGTGTTCAGTTTTCTAGTCCGATATTAAATCTACATGGATGAGGGACCTTTCACTACTTCACACACTACTACACTGCATACTACTACATATATCTGAGAGTTACTTTTCTACTTCATCTGCAGCTGATCAGTTTCAACATGCAGTTGAACGCTCAGCCCCATGATCTGATTGGCTACAGAGCAGGAAGTGCTTTTGGACATGATTAGCTGAATAACAGGAGCTGACCCTTTCACCTCAGTTTTGCTCAGTTCCTGTAAATCTCCCCTCCTCTCTCTCCCTCTGACACCCCCTCAACTGCAGGTGAAGCACTGCCAACAAATTCAGGAATCACATCAGGAGATCAATTCCTGCTTCTCCGTGTCCCTGTGTGTACCTGTGTGTTCCTGTGTGTTTGTTACACAGACCCTCCCATTATTAATCATTCACTCTGTTTACAGCAGCTGATCTACTTAAATCTTTGATATTCTGGTTCTATGGTAATATCTATTTACTCTGGTTCACAGTCCAAAGATACTCTTAAATATTTGATTACTTGAAAAAATCCTTATCAGCAATCAGAGTCTTTGAACTAACTTACATATGAATAAATGTCAAAGTGACAGGCTTTGTGTAGGACATTATTCCCCCTATCCATTTTGCATGATAATCTGAAATGCATATCAAATCATATACATATAAAAGTCATATACATAGAACTTATGTATATATAGAAATAATAATAAATAATAAATATATAGCAGCAAATATATATATATATATATATATATATATATATATATATATATATATATATACTCAACTTAACTTTATTTGTAAAGCACTTTAAAACAACCACAGCTGAACAAAGTGCTGTACATAAATAGACACAACAACGCAGACGTAAAAAACAATCAATGGATAAAATAAAAGCACAATTAAAAAGTAAAATATAGTTTCAATGTTTGTATAAAACATATAAACATATATGTGTATATATATATATGTGTGTGTGTGTATATGATTACACACACACACACAAACATATATATATATATATACATATAGACATACATATGGATAGATGGATGGATAGATAGATAGACAACATTAAACAGTTTATTTCTTATCCTTTTCATATTCCTTTTTTTACATTACACCTTTTCTATTTATCTCTTTTCTGAGTCAAGTTCGTGGACAATTTATCTCATTGTGTGTCTGTCCTTTTTTCTTTTGTTTAAGAGTCTCAAAGATTTTAACTTCCTTTTTCACACATTAATAAATCATCTTTTTTATCGCATTCACGGTGAAGCTGATCAAGAGTTATAGCAGTAGCTTCTCTTTTCAGCTTCAGTGTCTCAGCAGAAATGTAACAAAAAGCCCCGCCCACTCTGATCACTGCAACCCCAACATCTCTCTCCCTCCCTCCCTCTCCCTCTCCCTCCCTCCCTCCCTCCCTGTTCATACAGGTCGTTACCCTCTCTTCCACCTCCACATTCAGACTCCATTACTTACACACAGATCACTGAGGTTTCTCCGGTTGCGCTCACATTCATCCGGGGCCATGATGTGGTTTCTGCGTCTGTCTGTGGGCCTCCTGCTGCTCCACCTGGCTGCTGTGAACACAGGTAAGTCCTCTGAGATGAAGATAAGAAAAAGAAGAAAGAGAAGGAGTGAGGAATAACATGGAGATAAAGCAAGAGGGAAGGATACACAAACATGTTGTGTGTGTGAGAGAGAGAGAGAGAGGTTCAAGAATTGAGCTGGATTCAAGAATCTTGACCTGCTGCTATTTATACAAAAAATTTTAGGATACTGTGAATGCTGTGGGATTCAACCTCCAAGCACCTATTCCAAATAATCAACTGACAATATTTGAAGTAACACCGATGATGGCATCAAAGACAAGTCACAGTATAATCTCAGTCTCAACAGATCATCCTCTGGGCACCATGAATACCTCAACCTTAGATGAAGGTACAGTATATAAGGGACATATATGAGTCATTTTTGCATTCCTGTTTCCTCACCAGTCTTTTTAGACGGAAAAACAGCCAATCAGGTTCTGAACCGTCACAGAAGAGCCAACAGCTTCTTCGAGGAGGTCAAACAAGGCGACATGGAGAGGGAGTGTGTAGAGGAGCCGTGCGACTGGGAGGAGGCGCGGGAGATTTTTGAAGACAAGGAGCAAACTGTAAAACTCCCTGAAACAATGCAACAAAACACCTCAATCAAACATAGTCCATCAGAACCAGATACCATTAAAACACCTGACCTGTTAGCTGTTATCGCAGAGACAAACTCGAACTAAAGTCAACAAACATTCTTCAAATCTTTTACTTTTACATAAGAACATTCAGCAATCTTAATCTGTGAAGAGCAGGAACACTCGGGCATCAGGTCGACCGTGATGGTTCACATTTCAATACCCCCATTTTCACCTTAACACCCACACAATACCTCAATAACACTACCTAGATATGCACACGCTCTTATCTGAAAAATTCTCATGAAATCTCAACTTGTTTTCAACTTGTTTTTTTTTTTCCTTTCTAGGATGAATTCTGGGCTAAATATGCTGGTAAGAATCATATAATCATTACATGAAAAGCGAATGAGAGCGTGTTCTTGGAAGGTGGTATGTCGGGTGATGATGGCCTAGTAAACAACCCCAGATCTATCTTGGTAAAGTCCCCTACGCCGTGAACAATCTTCTCCACTGATTGAGTGTGTTCGTCCTGCAGATGGTGATGCCTGTGAATCTCAGCCCTGTTCTTTTAATGGAATTTGCAAAGATGGACTCGGCGGATACACCTGCTTCTGCCAGCCTGGGTACAGGGGCTACAACTGTGAAATCGGTACGATCGTGCTTCCTACCTACTCGGCTACCGCAATAACCGTTGTTCTAATCTACATTTGACATTTTTGTTCTTGTTCGTGATACACTTAAATCGGGGGGGAATTTCAGACGAGGACATGTCATCCAATACGGGGACTGTCCTTGGAAATCGGCGACATCCCCTCTGTCAGTGCTCTTGTTTGAAATCCCTGTTTGTGACCGTGTTCCCTCTGTCCTTTCAGTCATTCCTCAGCTCTGTCAGAATGAAAATGGAGGCTGCCATCACTTCTGCCACGCTGTCAGAAAAGATGTGAAATGTTCCTGCGCTGATAAATATTACCTGAGATCAGACAACAAGTCCTGCTACTCCAACGGTGAGAAGGACTCTGCCGACCACATGATCTCACTACAGTCCAGCTGTATCGTATGTCTCTCAGGTTTTAATGCTCAAAACTTCTCTTGCAGAAACCTTCAAATGTGGTGCCATCGTCATCAGAAATATCCAAAGTCTCTTGAGGTTCGAGTGGGGGAACACCACTAAACCGGCAACCAACCTGACAGATCTCAACACCAACTCTACACACCTGGAAAATGACAACCTAACATCATCTCAGAACAGCACTGACCTCCTCTTACAACAGACAATTTTGCCCAAAGAGATGGTACACGAGCAACGCCGCACCTCACAAAGGGCAACCATGACTCGCATCGTGGGTGGGCCGGAATGTCCGCCCGGAGATTGCCCGTGGCAGGTAACCGCAGAAGAGAAACACTTCACAACTTTTTCACAGTATCCCAGTCATGAATCTGAGGTGTCATCATGAGTAGGTAGTAACTTGGAGTTATTAAATAATTAGTGAGTTTCTCCATTGGCGTCACAGTCAGCACAGAAAGTCTTTAGAACACATTTGAGAAGAAATGCTTCGGTTACAGTTAAAACTACCTTCAACTGATGGATAACGTGGTTGTTTAGTAGTTTACCTAATTTACCTGTCAACAATTTACTAGTAGTTGATTGCTAATTAACACTTAATAACCTTGCTAAATGGTTACTTTGTCCACCTGTTTACTAATTAAGTTCTGGAAATGTAACTGAGGTCAATAACGAAAAATGCAGAGGCGGAAAAACACCGTCAAAGAGTTCACCTCTCTCTGTAGACTCAGGACTCCGGGGAGTTTTTGCTGTGAAACTATCTCTGACTTTAGAGGGAACAAGTCCGTGGGATGGTCCTGACAGGATTTTGTTCTGTTAAATCTTCACAGGCTCTTCTGGTGAACGAGGAAAACGTTGGCTTCTGTGGGGGAACCATCCTGAATGAATACATCATCCTGACGGCTGCCCACTGCATGAACCGAACACGCTTCTTCACGGTCAAGCTCGGTAGGTTGTTCTGCAGGACGTCCACGTGTTTCCTGAACGAGGCCGTTCATTCCGTGATGGTCGACTAAAATCTGTCTCTGCTTATTCAGGTGAGTTCAATGTCTTAGAGGAAAGCGATGATGAAGTTGTCCACCAGGTGGAGACAATTGTCATCCACAGAGAATACCGACCGGACACCTACAACAACGACATTGCGCTCCTCAAATTGATCAAGCCCATCAAGTTTACCGGGTTCATCCTGCCGGCCTGCATACCTGAGAGTGACTTCGCAGAAGAGGTGAAACTCAAACAGTTCCTTTAAACTTTAAACATTCATGAGGCAACAAATCGTAAACATAAAGAAGCAAAATGTAGTCCCGTTTCTGGTCTGTTGGTAAGCCAAGCTGAAGTTGACCAATCTTCTCATCTCATACAAACATTGAGCGTCACATGGCAAATCCAAGTAAATTTACATTTTCTATAACACAGCGTGATCGAATACATTTCCGATTTTTCCTACAGGTCTTGATGAAACAACCATATGGGATGGTTAGTGGTTTTGGTCATCTAAGTGAGGGTCAGCAGCCCTCTCCCATCTTACAGCGTCTTGCCGTCCCTTTTGTGGATCGGCTCACCTGCTTGGAGTCCACCCAGCTACGTATCTCCAGCCGCATGTTCTGCGCCGGCTATGATGAAGTGTCCAAAGATGCTTGCCAAGGGGACGGCGGTGGACCGCATGTCACTCCGTACAAAGACACATACTTCGTCACTGGTGTCGTGAGCTGGGGCGAAGGCTGCGCTCGGAGCGGCAAATACGGGATCTACACCCAAGTGTCCAAATTCATCCACTGGATCAGACACGGCATCGATAAGCTGCTGGCCACAGAGACCAACGGGAACCGGCGGAAGCAGAACACCGGTCAGATCCAGAGGCTAGTTCTGTAGAGAGGAGTCCGTGAACTTCCGTCCTCCACATTTAGAGCCACTTATGTAATCGTTGATTTGCAGCCTTTACCCCATAAAAACACAAGCTCTAAACTCTGTAACGACATTATTTCACTTTTGGACTCTTTAAATATGCAGAGGGAGCTGTTACAACAACATCTGTCATCTTCATACTTCAGCTGTACATCAAACAGTCAAACTGTTGGTAAATACTGCTGAGGTTCCACAGGGCGCTGTTTTGGGTCCTCTAAATTTTATCAGACAAAAGCTCTAATTCATGACTTTTGATGATCGGCTTCTCAAGAATCTATATTCAAGGCTTTGCTGCTAATATTACCGAAACAATATTGAGGAGAAAATGAACATTTGAATTCATGTTTCATGTATTTCTATCTGTTTCCAACATGAGCTTCATCAACTGAATTGTTAAAAATAAAAAATATTCTACATCGAGTTCACAAACTGTTTCTGTTTGATTGAAAATATGTTCATGTTTGAGCTGTCTCTGAAGAGTTGTGCATTTTAAAGGTCTTATTAGACAAGATTGACAACTCTCATTTTCAGATGAACTCATTTGCTGTTAAATTTAACATTTTTGCACAACAGTCATGTTGATAATGTGTTTTTGCACACTAACTTCATTACCTCAGGCTTAAAGTTCAGCTGGTTTGGCTGCGGCCTCAGTGTTTTGGGGGTATACGTTGATCATCATCTCCAAAAGGTTGAAAACTCTTCACTTTGGCTTTGAGGGAAAATAAAGTTTCTATTGGCACATAGATTTTCATTTCTGCTCTTTTTAAGCTCATTAAACTTTAAAATACTGTTGTTTGGCTCCTTTTTCAACAGTTCTTGGATTTCTAATACGACCTGTATGGTGAGATATCCTTGCATCGTTTTAAATGATTAATCTCACTGATGTTTACCTTGAATAAACTAACCTGTGAGTGTTGATGTTTCAGAGGTCGGACCTGCTGCTTGTTCTGGTGGTTTGAGGACAGGCCAGACTCCACAGCAGAAATGCACGTTTCAGTTTAACTCTTTACAGGCAGGTGTGGGTGTCCAGGTGCGAACCTGACTCCTGGGTAAAAACAAACATAAAAGATTCTCACTCATCAAATACGTGAAAATGACGGTATCATGGCGACTCGTGCTCGGGTGTCTCTTTTGTCCCTCTACCTCCTCAGTTGCTTCCTTCAGGTCCTCATCCAAGGACAAGGTAAGACCTCTGACCTTCGACCTCTTCCGTTTTCTTGTCCGGAGGTTCACTTTGTCTCCAGGTTGATTATTTTCGACGGCTCATCTCGTCTCAAAGCGATCCAAACTGATAATGGGGCATCAAGAGTTAAACATGTCAAAGAGGAAAGAAAGACCTAATGTGCATCAGTGGGACCTGAAATCAGGAACACAGTTTGGAATGATTGGAACAGAAGCTGATGTATTAATATTCAGACCAATGATGATAATTAATACAGTCTGGGAAACACACATCTGAGTGATAATGATCAAATCTCAGACATTTCTTCATCTAAAATAAAAGTTATAGTTTCATTATTTTATGTAAACAACATTTCAACGTAGGACTTGAAATGAGTCAAGTCAGCTGAACCTGTCCTTATACAAAACTCTTGAAAAACAATATCATAAGAACAAGAGCGTTATCGAAATATTCACCTAACAAAGAGAAAAATCTGTTATTCAACAACATATGATTATTACTCTTACAGTTTTTCTCCTTTGAATGGGTGTGGATATAACTTTTGGGGTTTCTTTAGGTGGAAACTTACCTGACCAAAATATGTCTTACTTGCTGCAGTATTTCAAGCTCCGCCCATCAGCAACATCTTCCTGCGATCCAAACGGGCAAATAAGTACCTGTTGGAGGAGATCCTGCAGGGGAATCTGGAGCGCGAGTGTTACGAGGAGTGGTGCACCTACGAGGAAGCCCGAGAGTACTTCGAGGATGACGACCAAACGGTGTGAATCAACAAATGGTTCAGCTCTTTGTGAATAATGATGCTCCCTCAGAAATAAGTTCACTGTCTCTCAGTCTCATTTTTGACCTCTGGTTCTGTCTGTTTCTCCTCAAAAGGAGTTCTGGACGAAATGCCAAGGTTAGTCTTCTTTTGCTTTCGCTTATTTCTACGTCCTTCTTTGCCAAACCTGCACATGGGTGAAAGTATGATCTGTGTAGCTGAAGCTCCTCCAAACAATAACTCTAAGATGACAAAGTTGAATCGTGTTTTTTGCAGGTCTCTACTGTCCTCTGATTTTCTAAGGGATCATTTTAAATTGACTGAACTTTTATTCTAGGGCTTAATCTGGCTTTACAAGGGATATTCCAGCGTAAAATTAATTTGTGGTCAAACTCACCGTAGCATCAAGTTAGACCCCCCCTCCAGAGATGAATGTTCCAGACCGCTTGTTTCTCTAGTTATACCAACTTTAGTAACGACCGCAGGATAGAAATACAGAGAGCCACGCGCTCAACCAAAACGCCACTCTATAGCCACAAATAATGCTCAGAACAGCACCTAACTTCATCAACAGGACATGTAGGGTCACAGACATAGTACTAGACACCAAACATCTTTTTAACTTTGACTCATTTCTTTAGCAAAGAGACTAAACACAACTCACAGACTACAGCGGGGGGCCGGAGCTCAAAGAACATTTATGATCATTTCCTTGAAGTAATAATCATCATATTAATCATTTTTCTCTGCAGACGCGGTAGTTCTTCTGTCTTAGCGTCTCGGTCTGATTGTATTTCCATGAAGAAATGATCATAAATGTTCTTCCTTGAGCTGCGGCACCCCACTGTAGTCCATAATGGACTGGCCTGAGGTCTCCCTACAAACAAGCGGCTGCTGGAAGAGAGTAGGTGAGTTGTGTTTAGTCTCTTTGCTAAAGAAATGAGTCAAAGTTAAAAAGATGTTTGGTGTCTAGTACTATGTCTGTGACCCTATATGTCCTGTTGATGAAGTTAGGTGCTGTTCTGAGCATTATTTGTGGCTATAGAGTGGTGTTCTGATTGAGTGCGTGACTCTCTGTATTACTATCCTGCGGTCGTTACTAAAGTTGGTATAACTGGAGAAGCGGTCGGCAACATTCATCTCTGGAGGGGGGGTCTAACTCGGTGTTACGGTGTGTTTGACCCTAAATTAATTTTACGCCGGAATATCCCTTTAAAAATATCAATTCTCAACAAAGGAGAAAACACACCTCCTAGTAAGCACTGCAGTTTATTTGTCTTGGACGTTCACCCGGACACACTCGTATCTTTTTGTCCTCTGTGGAGACGCTCCTTTGATTCTCCTCCCCTCGGACCCCGTACATATGAGAGCGGTGAGCCCACGGTCATCATTAAGACAGTCGATCTGCATATTTATTCTTTATTTTTATCTGTACTGTCACTTTGAAGTAGCCCAAGGAAAGACAATAGCCAGCCTCTCTTCAATTATTTATCCTCACATCAGCCCCAAAAAGATGACAAATGCTAATTCCTGTCCTTCCCCCAGCTGAGCACGGCGGCGCTCATTAGTTTTAAAGAAGGTTAATCCATTTAGGTTTTGCATATTGATATGCCAATTATGTCTAATCGCGGCGCAGGCATCCGTCAAGGTAATAGTGCATAAACACATGCGGGGACATTAGAGGGGAGAGTCCACGTTAGAACGGAGGAGGTGTTAATTGGAGAGGGGAGGACTGTCGGCTAACTCGTGTGTGTAATGTTCGGATGGAGGGGGAGGAAAAAGGACTCGTGTCATTTGTAAGGCTGACTGACTGCTGCAAACGCTCCCGTGAAAAGGAGGGTCAAAAGGGCAAGGGATTGTGGGAGATGTTTTGGATTCAAAGCAACGTGTGGAGGGGAGGGGTCTCTGAAATCTTCCTTCAGAGTCTGATCTAACTTTACTGCCTGTTCACACAAATACAGAGTTTAACTACATCATCACAGAAAGACCGAATAAAGAAAGAAAGAAAGCAGAGGAGAAAAAATAAAGTGTCTTTTTCTGTTTATTGTAAAATATTGAGGTATGGCTTATTCACGGTTCTTCAAATCGTGTTAAATATCTGGAAAAAGAGACACAAGAACAGAGTGGGACAGGGTGTCAGTGGAGCGTGTGGAGAGAAGGGATAAAGTTTCACTGTCAGGGTTACACTTCTTACCTGGTTCAGCAGGTTCATCAGAGTCTCTGCCGGTGAACGCCTCACTCACTTGCTGCTGCTGCTGCTGCTGCTGCTAGCTTTCAGAGCGTCTCCCAGTGTCTCCACGAAGCGATGGACGTCGGTGAAGGAGTTGTAGATCGGCGCCGGAGCCACCCGCAGAACGCTGGGCTCCCTCATGTCAGCCTGAATAGAGTCAACAAGGTCAAAGGTCATCAAAGCTGACTTAACAGTTCATCCCACACGTGCACGTTTTCAATAAACCACAACAGACTTACAGCGACGCCTCTCCTCTCCAGCTCCTCAAACACCTTCCTGATGTGGACGGAGAAGCAGAGCGACAACTGACACCCTCTCTGCTCAGGGTCGCGGGGCGTGATGATGCGGACGTAAGGTTTCTGGGGCCGGGCGGGGTCCTTGGAGTAATAATGGCAGATCAGAAACTCCAGGTAGCCCGTCAAGAGGAGAGACTTTTGACGCAGGGCCTTCATGGTGGTCTTACTGAACACCTGGAGGAGATAAAGTCGACAAAGATCAGCCGTAAAGGACAGGGTCTCTCTGCTTTATCATTAAGTCAAGTCTGAAAGTGTCAGTACCTCCAAACTGGCCTGTAGGGGGCAGACCAGCAGAATAGGCTGATTGGAGAGTCTGAAACCGTTAACTCCAGGCAGCAGATCCATCACTGAGAGTTCACACACACACCAAAAGAACACTTTAAATAATGACAACATTAACATCATTAATCATCTACTCATCTGGAGCCTTCGGAGAAAAACTGCCTCTAAACTCTTTGAATATTTTCTCTATTCTTTGAACATTTTGTGGCAATAAATCAGCAGAGTATTTGGGTTACAGTGCTGTGTGTGACGCTCAGATGTAACACCAAGAAGAGCCACAAGATGGCAGCAAAGAGCAACCTCAAAGACACACTAGGTCGACTGATTTAAGACTTTGATAAATTACTTTTTAGAAAACAGACTTTTTTCTACCGTTATTCATCTTGAAGCGAGTTTTCAGGTCGTGACCCCACCAGCCCATCAACCTGCAGCAGCAGACAGGACAACTTTAATGATTTTCAAGAAAAACACAGAATCTCTTGATTCTGTTGTTGTCAGGAGTCAGTAATGTGAATGAAAAGTCTGTTTTGTGTGTAAACTCACGCAGGTTTGACGGTGTCTTTGTGCCTCTCGTGGACAAACGCTCCAGCTAGACCACCGGCACCTGAGTTGATGTACTGAGAGGAGACAGTGGGGTCATGGCTTATACATGTCCTGGATTTAAAACACGTAACCTCCCTTTAACAAACACAAACCCTTTCCTGTCAGCCTACCTTGTAGGAACACCAGCAGGCAAAGTCGACCCCCAAGTCGTGCAGCTTCAGCTCTGCGTTGCCTGCAGCGTGGGCGCAATCGAAACCCACGAAACAGCCCTGAGAGCGACGGGATGGAACAGGTCAGTGCTGCTGGAAACCTCCGGCTTTGTAAAGATGGCGTTTCAGATTTTACCTTTTTGTGTCCGGCCTCAGTGATGGCGGCCATGTTGAACAGCTGTCCGGTGTAGTACTGAACCCCGCTGAACATCACCACGGCGATGGAGTCTCCCTCCTTCTGGATCACGTCCAGGATGTCTTCAGTTCTCAGAGTTTCTTCACCCTGAACAGGAAACAGTTCGAACCTTGAACCTGTGTCAGGTTTTACAGAACATATAAAGGTTGTGAGTAAGTTTCGTAACCTCATTACCGCTCTGGGCGACAGCAGCAACATGCTCTCCTGAGGGTCCAGTCCTTTCAGTCTGATCTGAGACTCCACGGCGTACTGAGGACAGGAGGAGAGACACGAGTGACATTTGTGAAAATACCGCCATTACTTTGTTTAGACCCTCCGATCAGTTCGTCACATGAACATCCACTGAGCCTGGGTCAAAAGTCAGCAGCAGCACAACCAGGCAGTAAAGGAGGAATTTGTTATGGAGGATTTTATAGAGAAAAAAACAAAGATTTCAGCGTCTGAACTTTGACCTCGGTGAAAAATACTCACATGGTCTGACGGGAAGGCTTTGTCCTCCAGGAGGATTTTATGTCGGGTCGCTGTGGGTTTGTAGAAAGCCAGCTGCAGAAAAGAAAGTCAAGAGTTTATTTACAGAGGAGACAGAAACAGTCCTGGATCTGCAGGTCCTCTCCGGTCCTCACATCCAGACAGAGAGTGAACCTCACCAGGAGAAGATGCAGGTTCACCGTCAGGCCGTTCATCAGCGCCACCTCCTCTTCTTTAGCTCCTGGAAGAGGAAAAAACAACCTTCACGCCACAGAGCTGCACATCTATCTGAGAGATCACAGACTCAGCTCCACTAAGACAGGATTCCTGCCTTTATTCACTCAAACTTTGGACTTTTCATTCTCCTGAAACTCGTCATTTCTGACCCGTTTGAGCCTGAACATCAGACCAGATTAGGAAACCTGAACACTTCAAGTGTCCTGTGTGAAAACTTCATGAATAAGCTCTTCCCCTCTGCAGCCTATACATCTAAATCTGCCTGTTTGTGACTGCGGGCTCCACATGGACTCTGGACCCTACAAAAAGTGCACTGACCTGGACCGGCAGCTTGAGGAGGGACTTACCAAACAGGTGATAAGGGTCAGAGACACAGAATCACTTCAGCTCTATGTGTTTAATCGCTCTTATCATAATAATTCTTCCTGCGTCACTTACCCACAACGTCAGCCATGAGCTTCTCGATATTGTTTTCAGCCCACGCCCAAGGTCGTGACCCCTGAGTGTGACCGTGGATGGCCCTGAAAGAGAAACCGCTCCGTGATGCATTTAAAACCCACATTTATCCTCTGAATAACATCCTTTAGGGAAACTTGAGAGTGAACCTACGTCTTGGCCCACTTCTCCAGCTCCTCCTCCAGGTATTTTCTGGCCATTTTAGGCTGAAGACCTAACGAGTTCCCCACAAAGTACAGACACTCCTGACTGCCGTCGACCAGCGACAGATCGGCTGCAGAGACATCAGAGAAAGACAAATCAAACGCGCCGCTCTGTGAACTTAAACGCAGCATTTTAGAGCGTCACTTTGGACCCACAAGGAGGTAAATCTGCGATTTTCGGCAGGTGGAAATCCTCTCTGAGGTGGCTCAGTTTGTCGTGTTCATCCAGGTACGTCGCCACCTTCACAGACGTGGGGTCACAGCCCAGAGAGGCAGAAACTCTCTGAAAGGTTTCCGCTGGAGTTAAGCCCTCAAACTGCTCCATCACTGCCGGATCAGGTGTTCCTGCAAAGAGCAGAGATAGACGGTGAGTTTCTGAGAGTAAGATGATTTTCTGCTGTTGGCGGCCTCGACCTCGCCCTTTTCTAACCCAGCAGATTTCCTCTTTAAAACCAGGATCTGTGGGGATCCTTCCTGTAACAGTTTCAGACATTTTTTCTGTAATTACTGGAACCTGACAAAGACAAAAATAAGTGCTTCAAAAACACAAATCTAGACTTGAGCGCAGATTTTTGAAAACGTTTGTTCACTCTGAGCCTCCCTCACAGAAGTCTGGTGGTTCTGATGTTCCTACAGTGGCCTTGAATGGACAAATAAAACACTGGACCTCCTGCAGAGAGCGACTAATGCTCTCCTTTTAATTTTTTACCAGCTGAACCGTCAAACCTCTGAATCCTTGGCATGGTGCATGATAACGCTGCGCTCGTGTGCTCCTCAGACGTTTCGCAGTTCAGAAGTCGTTCTTGCTTGTGCTCTTATTTTGAAATTCTTTTAAATGAAGGTTAAATGCTGACACAGGAATATTGCTTTACTTTCATGTTTTTACAGGTTAAATCCCAGAAAACATGATGAATTATACTTGTGCAGAAAGTTGATGTGCATCAAGTCGGATCAAACAAAGTCAAGCTGGAAAGTCAGGCACCAAATCCTCGCAACTCCAGCGAGCATCCTGAACATTTTCAGACTCCAGACCTGGTTTTTCTGACGTGTCCGACAGGAGCGCAGCATCAGCTTCAGTGGACAGATGAGGAGGAGGCGGTTCACGGTGACCCAGCTAAGACCGACTGCCCTCTTCTCCCCCTGCAGAGACACGCTGGGTGCTCTCTCCTGGAGACTATTTTGAGTTTGAACTCGGAGCTCCATCTCTTGTTACAGGCCACATTTACCTTTAAAACCCTTTAAGTTCCTGCTTCTACATGTGAATTTGGACAAATGAAGTCCCTTCTTACAGCCAACGCCCACCTTTAAGGATCCAGAACATTTTCTGTGAACTTCTGTGCAGTTAAAACTCTTTCAACCTGCGCTAAAAAACATCTGCTTCACACGTAAAAACCGACAGAAAGACGAGCCGTTCATTGATTCATGAGTAAAAGCTGCGGTGTAGCGTGAGCTCAAACTTACCTTCCACAGATGAGCGTCCTCTCCACACACTGAGTGAAATCTCAGCTCTGGAAATGCTCTTTGACCTCAGGGGGAGCCGGCTCAGGTTAATCATTGTGTAAACTAATCAGGCGGCAGCCGCTGTAAATACAGAGGGAAGAGCATATCTGATGCTGACACTTGATCAGTCCGACAAATACCTGAAAACCACCATCCTCCTGACAGCCGCCCAGGTCCCCATTCTTCTCGTGGTTTCGCTTTCAGGTGTGAAAATCTGGACGTGTGGTGAGAGATTCCAGGAGGAGGTAAAATAAATTCAGACTGCAGACTTCAGGTCCATAAAACCTGTTAAAGTTTCAAGCAAATATGACTGTTAGTCAGACTTTTGTATCCGACTATTAAACACACATTCACAACAAAAATACTGAGTGAAGGATTGAGGTTTGGTTGTTTTTGATTTACAAATACTCTCTCTATCTTTTTGTTCCTGTTTTTACAAAGAGAGAGACTCTGAATAAGGCCAAGGCTTGTTTTTTAAGGTTTGTTTTGCATTGATTGTCCTGCAGAATCCTCAGAACAGAAAATATGTTCAAATCTCGTCTTTCCTGCAGCTCTTCATGTTTCACCTTTTCTCCACTAGATGGCGGCAGAGCATCGTCACTGTTGCATAAGGAAACTTCTGCATGGACGGAAATTCACTCTAAACTCACAGAAAAGAGCGGAGACAGTCTGGAGTGACAGATTTATGATCATGAAAGTCAAATATAAATCCAACATGCAGGATTGTTGCCTGATTTCAGTCCAGAGGTGCTGAAATGTCACATCTTAAAGGTACAGTTTGCAGTATTTGGTATTCAAATGCATGAATAATAATCTGAATATTGAAGTTCTTTTTAGGTCTTTGTTAACTCAGAATGAGTCATGTTTCTACAGCAGCACAGAGGGACAAAAGAGTAAGGTTTGCTTTTTTAATTTCATGTGAAGCTGCAGTCTGGTGTTTTTTCCTGCAGCTGAATCATCCTGACGTTAAATCGTGCGTTTAAAATCCGCTCCTACATCCTCAGGTAGGACCCTCAGGTAAACTGACAAAGACGTGCCCTTTGGGTCAAGTGTTTTGACCTTTGACCTCATCAGCCCTTCCTCCAGAGTTAACAGAGGCTAAATGATCACTCTGAGGTCAGGAGACATTTCTGTTCTGCACCGAAGCTGCGGGTGAATTTGTTTTTACTCCTCCTGAACTCTGAGAAATTCTGACGGTTTGGAACATAAAACGCTCAAACTTGTCTGTGTTTCCAGCGGAGAACCCAGACGTGTTAAAAGTGACTCACGTTTTTTAAGAGAGCACAAACAAGATGGTCTCAAGATGTTTGGGGGCATGGGAGCTGCTGACATGCCTCTTGTATGTTCTCTGCTTGTTGTTCTCACAGTAAAGGAGGATGTGTGACATCTGGAAGCGCTCAGGGGGCAGGACTGGGATCCCCCCTCCTCCTCTTGTCGTTTCTCGGGGCACAGACATCAAAGAAGGTGGCAGATAATCTTCTCTCTCCTCCAGCAGGAACCACCTCCACTGCAGCGGCTCTCAGGAGGTCTTCAGGAGTCTAATGTGGAGGATAGAGCAGTTTCAGCACGTGCAGGACGGGTGTGAGAAGCCTCATGAGTCTTTGGTCTCACTATTTAGTTTCAAGTCTTTCAAGTTCATTTTCCCACTCAGGGTGAAAATGAACATCTCAAAGGGTTAATAATCACAGGTCCGAGTCTCAAACCTGTGAGTCTGAGACTTTCTCACACGGTCGAAGCGGAGCGTGAACACCTGCTGCTCCTCTCAGGTCCTTTATTTAGTGGAAAGGTATGTCGTCTTTGTCTCTGCGGACTCCTGCACCTGATGTTTACTCCAAACTCAGGAGGACGACCTTCTCCGTTTCAGCTCTGCAGGTTCTCGCCTCTACCCGCCAAGAAATCATCTCAGACACAAAGTCAGACTCTGAACTGTTTTCAGTCACATGAAGAGATCATGAATGAGATCAGATCAGTTTTTCCTCGTTGTTTGGAGTCTGGGTTTTAGCTGGAGACGTTTCTTCCAACAGCCTTTCTCACACATGTTGTGCACTTTAAATAATGACCATCATGTGCGTGGTTTCTTCTTCGTGTTGCTCCTCCTAAAATAAAGCCTGACTGCGGGCTCGGCCCCTCTGCAGCTCCTCAGACTCTGTTTACAGCTGCAGACTGTCTGTATACATTAAAGCTACAGTCTGTACATCGTCTGCTGCAGAAAAGTATAACCTGCGGGCCAGACTCGGGTGTGAGTTTGATTCTTAATTCATGTTTCTCCCTCCGTCTGCTGATGACAGTGTTTCATCAGAAGAAAGTCCGTCATTTGGCTGCAGATAATGAGGACTCTTGTTTGTTGTGCAGCCGCACGTGTTCTCTGATTGTTTGCATGTTTTTTCTTTGTGCAGTTTTTTTTTTTTTGATTCTTACAGTTTCCAGAAGAGAGTCTTGAAGTTTGAGATGTCTGAACTGCAGTAAACCTCTGAGGTGCTGCTGCTGTGAGGAGGACTGTGCTTTTCTTTCGATTATTTACGCATTGTTCTCCACGTGATGATGATGATGCACAGAGGTCTGTGGGTGATCACGGAGGATCCACCTCCAGGAACAGACCCTTCAGTGATTTCTACCCCCCCTCTCCCTCCTTCCCTCCCTCCTCTCTCCCTCTCTCCATCTCATCTTGCGCTCCCCGCTCAGTGAAGTCACAGTCCGCAGCGACCGGAGCACAGATTGGAGCCTCTCCTTCTTCGAGGGAAAAGTGCCGTTTTCACCTCCTCTATTTTGTTACTCAAACTTTCAATGGGACCAGGCGATTAACTCTTCCTGCTGATCTCTGTGACACTCAGCTGCAGCCATGGACTGCTGCACTTTTGGTTCTGGACTCCCTGGATTTTTACGCATCGTGTTGCTCTGGGTTGTGAACTCGGGGGCGTTGGCGCAGAACGGTAGGTGCACGCAAAACTTTTTAATAAAACTGTTTCATCTTTAATATTTGCTATAATATCAGCAAAAAGTCACCGGCTAGCTACATAATCAAAGCCGAAAATCCAAAGTTTTTTCACGTAATCTCCAGTCCTGCATGTGGTCAAAAGTTTTCTCTAATTTTCAGTGTTTGAAAGAGCAGAAAAAATGCACATCTCACCAGTTTAAAATCGGATGAATCTGCAGACTCGGCTCCTGAGGCTGCATTCCTGTCACTCAGCATGTCCGCAGGTTAGATGGACCTTCAAAGACAGAGGACGAAACACAAACATGAGGATGTGACTCGGATAAAACCTTCAACCAAAGGAGACTTTTCTGCACTTTTCTTCAGCTCTTTTCTGAGCATGAGTGTAAAAGTTTTAGAGATGATTTTTTCTAATTGAGTCACTTAAGGAAGAAGAACGAGTTCACACCACGGCTGAGTAAACTGCACTTAGTTCAGCTGAGCGAGGCTTTTAAAAACAGCTGTAAAAACAACATGGACAGAAATAAAACGAACAGCAGACTCATAAACACTGACAAACAACATTTCCACTAAAGTGCAGCAGTAAAAGAAACAAGAACAACGACCCCATGATCCAGTTTCTGTGCAGATTTCTTCCAGCATTATATTCTTGTGTTTCAACATTTAAGAGGATCATTAAAGACACGGAAACTCACATAAAAATCAAGAGTTTGGGTTTTCTATTAAGTGCAGCTGCTTAAAAACTTCTAAAACTGGAGGGTCATTGAACACAAACATGGACAAGAAATCAGATACAGATCTGACATGATTCATGGTCGTGAAGAGTTGGTTTCACCCGATTAAAGATGGATAATAGTCAAAGTTTTTGGTGTGAGCAGAGACTCAGATGAAGCTCAAATTCCTGCAGATTTGACAAGAATTCAGGACAGAAAAAAAGGGTCTGCTGGTCTGCGTGCCAGCCCGTCCTCCGCTCTGCTCGTGTCTTTGTCTCCAGGACGTCCAGCAGCACATCAAAAAGCTCTTAGTCGTAAACTTTAAGGCCGGCCGTCGTAAAACGACACGCTGAGGGTCCTCGGGAGCTCTGCACCAAGAATACCAGACATTTCTGAGCCAAAACAAAGTGTACTGCAAATCCTGGAACTGCAGGAGATGCATGCAGTCCAGTTGACCCAAAAACTCAAACGGCACTGATGCTTGAACTTGGCTCCGTCTTCTGATTCTCATAGTAGTTCAGGCATTTCAGTCCTACAGTGCCAGACCAGAATCAAAAGGCTGGTCCTCTGGGGAGCCCGATCGTGCTCGGTGAGTTTGTTGATATCTTTGTGAAAGTAAAAGTGTTGGAAGGAAGACAGGTCAAATGCTCATCCGCTCGGGGGGCAACACGTCTGGACTGAATTTCATGGTAATCCATCTGATGCTTGTTAAAACATTTTAGTCTGGATCGTCCGGCTCACAGAGACTCGATCCGGATTCTGGGAACATCTTTTACAACGATGAAACTGTCCTCTGTGTCTATCTTGTGTTGCTCCTGAATGAAAACTGTGCTCTTGACTTAAAGCCGCTGTAATAATTAGTGATAACGAGTCTCAAGTATTTTCCGACCTCATCCAGACCCACAGCTCGCGGTGTTTTCACGCTGAGTGATAAGCCCTCTGGGAAAAACACCCCTAACCTCGGTTGCGTTAACACCACGTTCGCCTAAATTCACCTCCTTTCCCGAGAAACTCTGCAGAGTTCCTGCACATCTGGGCAGCCTGAGACCTCCCTCCCTCCCTCCCAGTGGGATCTCCTCCCCTCGGGGGGCCGCTTCATTAGCTCAGCCTCCCCTCCGGCTCTGTAAACTCATTAAGCCGACAATTGGAGGAGTTTAGCTGGCAGCTAACGTCTCGACAATTGTCCTCCTGCCTTTAAACCTGCTTGTTTGGACGACCTGTGACCCTGAATCTTGTCAGAGGAGCTTCCAGACGAGAAGCACACTCAGACAGGCGGCGATGTAAACAAGAGACTTGGTTTTCAACACACAGACCCGCCTGTTAGTCCTTGTTTAGGCTGTAACTTCTCCTCGTCCGTTCACAGCTTTGACTGCCTTAAGACACCCTAAATACCCTGAATGTTTGTCCTCGCTGACGTGACTTCACTCAGCCGCCACCATCAAACTCCAACGAGAGAAAGGAAACCAGTTCTGACAGAAACTCTCCTCTTTGTTCCTGCCTTTGTTGACCTAGTTCACTTTGCAGATTTTGCTCTTTTGAAAGTGTGCAAGTGTGGAAAGCTGCACGTTCTGCTCAGGTTAGTCCCCGGGTTGTTTTAGCCTCCAGCAGCAAAGGTCTGTCATGCGCCGTTGGCTTTTTCCCGCGGCGAGTTTGGAGAGGCGTGAGGCTCGCAGGAATGTCTGTTGTTCTTAGCAATTTAGATAACCTCTGGAGGTGAAGCCAGCCCTCCTGCTCACCTCCTCAAAGCCGTTTGACTGTTTAAAGAGCTAAGTGAAGTTGTAAGTTTGGCACCTTTACGTGCAAGTTCTTCTCACCTGCTGTGCCAATAAAGTCAGGTGATAATTTGTCAAATCGACAGGTTTTTGGTCCCGATCTGGACTGCAGCTTTTCTTGGTGAGATTTTCACCTCTCTTGCCCTGGACATGGTTTTACAATCACCACAGGGTAACATGGGCGTGAAGACAACCTCAGTGGTCTTTCTTTGGCAGTGGTCTAAAAACTGCAGATGAAAATGCAAAGGAAAGATGTTTCCACTTCAGTTTAGATGAAGCAGAAGAAAACCTCTCAGCTCTGAGGAAAGACTTCTCCCCTCAATCAAAGTCCTGTGGAGCTGCTCTAACTTTGACTCAAAACACCTACAGTTGACAATAAACTAACAAACACTCACCTTCAGTGTCTGCTCTCTGCGCCTCATTCCTCTCAAACTCCAGCTAAGTTACACTTCCCACCTAAAAGACAAACATACAAACACTCCATTCAAGTACAACTAAAAAACTAACAACACGGCTCATCTTAAGGCCGCAGCTCATTACACTCAGTAAGAGACACACCTGCAGGTTCTGCATTTACACCTCCAAATCAACACAGATCAAGTCCAAACCTTCACACCAAACTAAGACGAAGGTTCTGATTCTACTGCTGCTGACTACAGCTGTCTCATCACGCCTGTTGGACTCAGTTACAAGCTTCTCTAAGGAACATGGTTTTGGGATTTTGACAAACAACACTCTGTCCTAAGTCCAGGTCTTCTTCATCACACAAGGATGGATTGAATGCTCCTTTAGAGCTCCTCCTCCTGCTTCTTCTCCTCATCATGGACACATCTGGAAAACTGTTTCACACTTCATGTTGGACACTGTCAGCTGCTACACTCATACAGTAGTCTGACATTTAGAGAGATCATCCCCACACGGTCCGCTCGGGGATGCTAGTTTTGGACATCTCTCCTTAATCTACAACGCCCGGTGGATGTAGAACATCACCGGTCTTCTGTGGGGCACGTCGAGCCAGCTCCCCACAGAAGCACGGTCCCGGATGGTCTGCGGTGGCAGAAGTCAACAGGTAATAGGGGTTGAGAGCTGCATGCGTCTAAACTAATTACCTTAAATACAGCCGGCCTCAGGATTACTTCTCCAATTTGACAGCTGGCAAAGTTAGTGGTGGCAGCAGTGGCGAGGTTCTGCGCGGCACTTTTCATGCCATTCATTCATTCACTGGAGTAGAAGTAAAGTATGAGGATCTGCAGACAGGAGGACTTGGGTGAACGTTCTCCTGACAGGTCTGCTGAGACCGGCGGCGGCGAGAGGAAGAGCGTGGCCAGATGGAGACAGAAATCTGGAAAAGAAAACAGCCGCATTAGTTTGGGGTGCTTTCACTTGTTTTCTGCTCAACTCTGACCTCTCAGAAAAGCCCATCAAACACCATTTTCCCAGCCTATCAGAAAACACTTGAAAGCAGCAGCTTGTTTGGGAGTCAGACATTGAAGAGCAACTTTTTATGAGCACTCAAAGAAACTGGCATCCCACAGGGCAGCAACAGGCCCAAGCTGTGTCACACCACCACCTCCCCAGCAGACCACCATCCTGTCACACTGCCTAACACAAAAACATCATAGTATAGTCTTTGAAAAATGTCATAGTATAATATCTTAAAATACTCATAGTATAGTAGGATATGAAGGTCATGGTATTATCTGTAAAAACATCATTGTATAGTCTGTGAAAAATGTCATAGTATAGTATTATTAAACAAATCTAAGTAAAGAAGGATAAAAATATCCCATCTTATCATGAAGAAAACCTCTCAGCCAAACTTTAGCTCTGTTTCCCACAACATCATGGACTCCTTTTGTTTAGTCTAACTCTGACTCCACTGTCCTTTACTCGGCCGACAGCAGGACCCTGTCAAACCCAAAGACTCTGGGGTAAACCCTCTTATCCCATCAGGGCCTGAGATTCCCCCAGTTTTCATTTCCTGGTGATTAAATTGACACATCTGGAGACTCAAGAAGACAAAGTGAGAGGAGAAGATTTTGGTCTTGGAGAGCACTGATCTATCGGGAGGAACTAGTCCTCTCAAAGACACACATGTCGGGGAAAATCCACAAGTCTCTGACACAAAAAGACAAAGAAGAAAGATAAAACAAAGATAAAACGTTGACTCTGTTTTCGCTGTTTTGGTTCTCTGTCTTTCAGCTCCGGAGTGTTTTCCAGGAGGTCATCGGCTTTTGCGTAACCCCTATCGCAGCGTCGACTTTGACTCTACGGAGATCCAAAACACGGCCATCCAGGACCTGATCTGTGACCACTCGCTGTCTCCGGGATGGTACAGATTCAGGATCAACAACAAGCCGGCGGAGATGCCAACCACCTGTGTTGAGGTGAGACAATTGCACTCATCCTTTCTCCTCCTCTGCGTCTCTCCTTCGCCTCCTCCATCATCAAAGTTCGTGTGAAAACATCGTTTCTAAGAGTGGCAGGTTGGATGATCACCTTCAGCCCAGCTGTAGGTGTAATAACCACCTCTCTGCAGGTAATGACTGTTTCTGTCCCGCTCTGTGCAGATGAACCGATGTGGTACTCAGGCTCCGGTGTGGCTCTCTCTGAGGGACGCCTCTCTGCCTCGACCCGGCGAGGTGCGACAGCTGTCCGCCTGCGCCACCTGGCAGTTCTTCCACGGTAGCGCCAAAGACTGCTGTCTCTTCAGGATCCCCGTCACGGTGCGCAACTGCGGCGAGTTCATGATCTACTACCTGCAGCCCACGCAGGGGTGCATGGGATACTGTGCTAAAGGTAAACCCGCAACTTTTTTTATTTTGACTTTGAGTTTGACTAACCCTGGACTTTTCAAAGACGAGTTTAAACAAACTTCAGGTTCGATATTTAACGATGGGACGGATGAGAACATGAACTCTATTCAGCTGATAATAAAGGTTTAATCTCATGTTGCAGTTGCTCCAGATTTGGGGCCCAGACTGTGCCCCCGAGGTGAGGTAGAGGTAAACGGACAATGCAAAGGTGAGGATGTTTTTGTTTTCGAGTCTTTAAACTTTCTCTTATGGCTCACATCAGCTTAATTGACAAAGAATTAAGTCGAGCTGCAAATATCTTTTGGTTGCACAAAAAAAAATCAATATTGCACAAAGGAAGTTCAGTCAAATCCTGATCAGGGTTGTTTTAAATCGCTTTTTGGCACATTTTCAGTTGTTTGTCCGTCTGTTTGTGTTTCTAGCTGCTGTTCCAGCCCTCCCGTCCCGGCCCACGATCACCCCAGAGCTCGTCGGCCAGAGCGTCCACCTGAGGTGCTCCTTCATCCCCCCGCCGTGGAGCCAGCTGCTGGGCTTTCAGGTGGTTTGGGCGAGACACATCGGCCACAGCATGAAGGCCGAGATCAGGCAGGAATCCACGCTGAAGCCCTTCTCTGTGGTGGAGATGGATGGTGTTCACTTCAGGCTCGGAGAAACGGTAATTTCAGCCAGACCGTGCTGAAAGTTTTCGGGGAGCACATGTGGAGGGTTTGACCCCTGGAGATGCAGTATAAAGCCATGGATCATACTGACCTCTTTCTGCCGGGGTTCAGCCCTAAAAACGTGCAGGCGGAGAGGCAGCGTGTGTCATATCCCGTTAAGAGCGGGCAAGAGGAGGGTGGGGAAGTTAAATCAGTTGCAGGTTGGGAAAGCCGACTCCACATGCTTTCTATTTAATCAGCTTCATTCAGATCTGCGCAGTGAAACTCTGAGGAGTTATTTCTGCTTGAGTAGAAGAAATTCCTTTAAAACAAAGCTTTTGCTGCACCCACCGTTTAACTGGATTTCAACAAATCTGCACTGGCATCGTCAAATCTACTTTGACAAAAGTCTTATCTTGCACAATAAACTGCAAAGATGTTGGGTAGAATTCAACAGTGATAAATCTGGAGTCTGCAACTCTTCCTTAAGCGCCCTTCTGCAAAACTCCACGGGCTTCAAACTTTTGGGCTCTTGACTGTTGAAGCTCCAACTTTATAAGACGGTCCACCACTGACCCGTGCTACAGCTCCTGCAGCTGACCCATGCTGGCACATGTTGCAGAGCTGTTTTTGAGTGATTGATGCAGAGTTTTTCCCTCAACCAACGCTTGCATGTGCATGTTGGTGGTCAGATGTCTATCATCTGTGTTCCTTTAGCAGAGGACTTGAGGTGATGCAGAGAGTTTGATCAGAGGCAGAGGGAGCGTCTTTGAAAGCTCTTTGAGTCCGGGTTTGTCTGTCAGCCATTTGTGGTTTCCTCCATATGAGACGTTCGGTAAAAAGGGATTTGTTTGCAACTTCAAAAATCAACATTTACGAGCCTTTTGCTGCTAAATCTAAGCATTTAAGAGGCTGTTGCATGTCAGGCTGAGCTTTCTACACAGAGGAGTAATTCCACCTCGCAGGGGAATAAAAAGAAATCGAAGGAAATAAAGTCATCTGACTGTTGATTTAAAGCGACAGCCGAAAAGCTTGTTGAGCCGACAGTTTGGCAAAGTTTCCACAGTCTCACAGAGTTTTTTTCTCACAGCTGAGCAGACTTGAAATTTTAATTGCTTCTCTGCTTTGGGAGTGATAATTGTCGGGATTTGGGTTCTTTTGTTTCTTTGACAGTCTGTGCAGAGCCTCATGTTCAAGCCGTCAAACCCGGAGGCTGCTGACGGCTCTTATTTCCAGAAAACATTCAGTTATCAGATCTTAGTTGTGATGCTATTTGAAGCTGAGGTGACGTCACATTACCGTTAACTCTCCTGCAGCTGTATCTGCTCCCTGGGGTTATATTAGTGTGTCTGGGACGTGTTGCAGAGGGCCGTCTTAAACACATGTTGATGCAGCAGCTGAGACAGGTCAAAGGTCACTTCCCTTTTTTTAAACTATGGGAGTGAGATGAATGTTCGTGCAGGAAGTGTTTTGATCGATTACAAATACTGTGTCAGTCACACAAACAAGAGTGTGCTGCAGGAAATCTGAGGCTCTTTGTCGTCTTGAGAGGTGAACGTGCTCACTTAAGAAAAAGCTGAGTAAACGGTGGGTTTCTGAAGATGCAGGACGGAGTTTAAAAGCATCTTTTCAGTCAGAGTTGATAAAAATAAATGATCAGTTCAGCTAATACAGCAAAAGCTCGAAGGCCTATTTTTTAAAGAAAGGACTCGAACTCTCTCTTACATTTCTAAGTGGTGCTTTCTTTGCAGTTCTCCTGCAGCGTGTCGACTTTCAGAGCCAACTCCAGCCACAGCAGATCAGCTCCAAAAGAGAGTGAGAGCTTCTTCGCAGGACTCAAGGTGAACTTTATCATACAGAAGAATGCAGAGGAAACCTCGCAGAGTTGACTCACCACTCACTCGCTCTTCTCCGTCCTCTTCCTCTCCAGTTTTCTCCGCACTCGCTCCAAATAGCCGAGAACAGCAAAGAGCACGAGGTGACGGTCTTCAGCACGGTGCCTATCCCCTGCTACGACCCCGAACACGGTCACCAGTGTGGAGTCCCGCTGTCTCTCAGTGTTCACGATCCAGGTCAGCACCTGCAGGAAAATAAAGGAAAGCATCTGTGTCAAAGATTGTGTTGTTGATTAAATGGAGACAGAAAAGAAGAAAAACAGCTGATCACACATTCATCCTTTAAAACAGATTCACAAGCGCTTCAAGAACAGAGAAAAATAAAGGCCAAATAACACAAACGTGAAAAATAAGCCAGTCGTTTCATTTCCTAATCCTTGAATCTCTGACAGCACAGCTTTAACATCCATTAGCGTCTCCTTTATTGGGCCAAAACACCAACAAGAGGAGCCGCTTTTATCTCCAGAGATCCTAACTTCTAATTAGCGTGTCTACAGTGAGTTAATAAAGAAGTCTGAAGCATCTTTCATTCGAGTCCAGTGGTTGGTTGATGAAAAGAGTTAACTTGTGTAGAAAACTTTGTATTTTTTCTTCTGTTTTGCTCCAACTTGCCCTGTTCACCATCACATCAAAGTCAACTCAAGAGGACATTATTACAGTCCTGTCGGCAGCTGTACGTCGTCCTTTAACACTAACTCACAGCTGTGTTGACGTCCACAGACAGTCTCGGACATGAGGCCTCAAATGTGGCGCTGTCCGCCTGCCAGGTGGAGCTCCGGCCCAGCGCCTGCAGCGGCGGCAGCTGCGGCGGGGCCACGTTTTTTGCCACTGCTGTCACCGATTTCACACGAGATGGGAACCGGCCGAGTCTGATTGGTGTTCTGCCCGGATCCAGTGCACCTCGGCTCTGGAGAAACTACATCCCAACATCCCTGAAAGTGAGTTAAAGTGAAACTCTCTGTATTTTAAAGGATACTACATTCATCTGTTATCTTCTGGGGCTTTTTAAGGTCAGAACCTGATTCAAGCCATCTGCAGACATACCCTTGAAATGGTCCAGGAGATTCTTGAGGGATTTGCAGGGTCCATGAAATAGCTAAGGTCGTGCTTGTGGGTGCTTGAAGGGTCCTTGAACAGGTTTTAGTTGTCCACAAGGAGAATTAAGGAGCGCTACAGGAGGATTCTGTCGTCCTTCATCAGTTGGAATCCTAGAAACCCCCAAAAACCTGAAATCTGAACTTTTCTGGAATTTAATTATATACAAAATTACTTTAATCAAAGAGCCAAATTGTCTGTAATTTCAGGTCCCTGCATTGTGCTGTTTATGTATACACACAGTTGTACAGCACTTCATGAAATTGGAGGGTATGTTGGGGGTTCAGGACTCAAAGTGTGCCTGATCCAGTGCTTGACGTGATGTTTAAAAAGCGCCTCTGTGTGTAGCTGTTTCCACACCGGCTATTATGTTATATAAGACATAATGTCGGCCCTCCAGACATTGTGTCTCTGGGGGGGCTTGTCCCAGAGGAGTTTCCCATCTGTGTTTAGTGAAAACATCAAAGCTGAAGGTCAGGGGTCACAGGGTGGAGCCCCGCTAATCTTTGTTCTCTTGACCTCTGCCTACAGGTCACGGTTCAGGACGTCCCAACTTCCATCTGCTACTCTCTGACTGACCCACATGTCATTACGTTGGACGGCAGGTAAATTACCTCCTAATCGGTCATCAGAAGACTTCAGGTGGTTATTTCAGCTTCAGTTTAGACAGCCTGTTCTCAACCCTGAGGCGTCAAACACTTATGCTTTGTCAGCGGATTACACACGACCTTGTGAACAGCCTATCTACTTTCTTCCAGACGTTATGAAAACCACCAGACCGGCACCTTTGTTCTCTACCGGAGCCTCGCCAGGGAGTTCGAGGTCCACTCTCGCCAGTGGGACTGTGGCAGCAGACACTACGCCGTCGCTTGCAACTGCGGCGTTGCGGCACGAGAAGGGAATGAGGTCGCAATCTTTGACATGTGCAACGGTCAACCGCAGGAAACCAGGCCACAGCTCACCCTGAAGAACCTGGGTGATGGGGAGGGCAGTCGAGTCAGAGTGATGGAGTCCCACCAGGGGAAGAAGGTCACCGTAGGTATCCGAACATTTTAATAATGGGACAGATTTGTTTGGAAAGTTTTTTCTTCTTTCCTGTCCAAGCCGAATCCTTTCAGGTGATCAAGAACGTGTAAGTGTGTTTGACCTTTTTCAAACTTTTCTAGCTCATGTTAACTAGATCCTGGATCTGTCTCTCTTCTTGCAGCTGATCTTTCCCTCTGGGGCCTTTGTGAGGGCGGATGTTGACGACTGGGGGATGAGTTTATCCGTGCGAGCGCCCAGCGTCGACTTCAGCAACACTCAAGGCCTCTGTGGCACCTTCGACCGCAACGGCAACAACGATTTCCAAGGTTCAAACGGTGCCTCCTTCGGTCCTGACGACCTGCATCGCTTCATAGAGGACTGGAGGTCAGTGTGAGATGTAAATAGTCCCTGTTTTGTTAAGACATCATTTGTGTGAACTGGTAGATCTCCAAAGTGCTGTTTTGTTTCTGTGGTTTCCCCTTCTACTGTGTTTGCCAGGATAGCTCCTGGTGAAAGTTTATTTGACCAGACACCTCCTGGGACGCCGCAGGAGTTCAGGAGGCCTTTCTGCCAATGCCAAAAAGGATTCAGCACTTCTCATCAAGCCAGTAGAGGGATGAGGAACTTGTACACCCCTTCTGCTCACTCTGACTGCGTGGCATACGATAATGTGGATTACACATCGATATTTCCCTCCATGGACACGACAGTGGAATACATAAAGAGTCCAGAACCAGAGGAGAGCATCCTGGAGATGTCTGAGTCTAACAGTCACCCTCTGGAGAGGAGGCACCTGTGGTTTAAAAGCGAGGATGGCGAAAACAGTGATGGAGATCTTGAGCTTGAGTTCAGACAGGATCATCTTCTCTCTGCTGGAAGACCAAGAAGACAGGCTTCATTTGAATTCAAACCAGTCTTTGCTGCTCAGAGCCTCAGCCAGGCCGATCTGAAGAACTTGGCCTACTTCTTCCCTGAGGATCACCTGGCAGAAGCGAGACCGGAGGTACAGCCTCAGTGGCCCACACCGAGTGGTCTGACTTCTGCAAAAGCTCTCGAGGTGTGCCAGATAGCTTTGGCTAACTCCACTGTAGGCGCAGTGTGCCGTGAGCTGCTGGGACGTCGCCTGGACGAGGCGGTGGATCTGTGCATTTTAGACCTGCAGCTCAAGGACGATCTGGGCTGGGAGGAGGCCCTGCTGCCTTACCTGGAGAATGAATGTGAGAGGAGGCTGCTGGAAAACCGGACCCAGAGAGCCTTGGAGGTGGGTAGTGCACCCGGAGCAGGCAGGGATGTGGTGACGGCGCTGCGCTGCCCAAACTTTTGCAACGGAAATGGCGAGTGTACAGACTGGGGCTGCCAGTGTTATCCCAGCTACAGCTTCTACGACTGCAGCCTGGCCATCAGTGAGTATCCAGAGACGGATGTTTCAGTCTTTGACGGCTGTAGGTGCAGCATTATCTTTTCTTTTAGGTGTTTAAACTGCATAATTGCACCTCAGCGCATAAACTGTAATTTTCCTCATCAAGTTCCAGAGTGCTGCAGACGTGCCATCTCTAAACTAACCTTTGCTCTGATAGGCCAGCCAGTCGAGATCACAGATTTGGAGAACAGCGGACTCTGTGACATCCGAGCCTTCAACTGTCGAGACATCCGGGTCTTTGGGCTCGGCTTCATCGACTCTCCTGACCTCAGCTGCCACGCCACCAGATTGAAGGTTAGGAAATCGAGAAGTACGGTTGAATAAGCGCGTTGCTTTCAGTCAAACTTGAATTGCGTTGCTCTGCCTCCACAGTACATGAACGGGGTCTGGGTTCCAGGAGAAAAACAGAGAACCAAAGCCACCTTCCTCAGTTCCAGGGCTTTAGACTGTGCTGTCCCATCTTTGAGCAACACGGCAGTCAACACAGAGGACTTCATGATGGATGATAAACCATACGCACGCTGGGAGATTAAAGTAATTCTCTCAGAATATTGGCTGTTTTTCCAAGAAGGTGTTCTTTAGAGTTATTCGGTCTTTCTCCTGCCTCAGGTAACCAATGATGGCTCCCAGTACAGCCAGGCCAAAGTGCTGACCATCTACGACGGCGTTTGTCAAGTCTGCGAGGCATCTCGCTCAGGACTCTGTAAGTTAAAGGTAACTTGCATAAAATGTGGACAGTGTTTTTGTTCTCACTTTGTTCATTACCCAAAGAGTCGGGGGTTCAGGGCAAAGACTGGCAGTAAAAGTAGCTATGAGCTTAATCTCTCCCTTTGAGAAAACTGATGTTGAATGGTTAACACGAGATCTGAAAGACACAAAGAAGACGCTCTTTGGTGCGTCAGACATTGTAAACAATGTTTCCTTATTTAGGGATGTTAGACATCATTCAAACTGCTGTGGTCTTGTAGAGTGCAGAAAACAGATTTTGCAGAGGGACATGAAGTTAATGTTCAGTGGGAAAATGTGGTAAAGTGTTTTATACACTCTGCTAAAGCTGCAGAGACTACTCTCTCAACACTTTGTCGCCGGTTAAATGACTAAACCAGAGACATGTGTGATTTCCCACCATCCCTGCATGCAGCAGCTGGTTATTTAAAAAACAAACCTTTTAAAAAAAACAAAGTACAGACGAGGTCCTGTTGTTACTGGAACTGCTTTTTATGGGAGCAGAGACAGGACAACCTGTAACCTCCAAAACAACCTTCGCACACAGACACAAAGAGATTTACATGCGTCTGCCAAACTCAGCTCAATTGAATTTACTTAAGCAGAGGAGAAGCAGATGATGAGTATTAAGAGCTGATTTCCTCCTACTTACATGGCATCACCAGAGAAAATAATTAAAGACAAACTGAGAGCTTCAAAATAAGGTTTTATAGAGCTAAAGTTTCTACTCTCCATTAAAACAACACCGTAAATATCGGCGCACGAACAAACTTTTGGACAAACCTTGATTCTGTTTCCAGGAGGAGACGTGCAACATCGACGGGATGTGCTTCAAGGAGGGAGACGCCAATCCCAGCAGCCCCTGCCTGCTCTGTGACCCGGACACCTCCAGATTCACCTGGTCTGTGAACCAAGGTACAAAACAACTCATGATGCATCTCATCCTACACTTTCTAAAATCAAAAATGACCTCGCCTTGATTACAGTGCTACAGTTTCTCAGTGCCTGATGGAGAGCCTGAAACCAGAAGTAAAGGAGCAGCTTAATCTTCATGTTTTTGACTGGCATGGTCACAGATTGGTTTAAGGCTGAACGACAAATCTGTGCTTATTGTTCTGACATTCATATCTAAATCTGCTGCCAACAATGATTATTAAAATCCCCTCGTTTACTACGAAACCGAATGGAAGACTGGGGTTGTTTTGGCTCCAGCCTGCAGCTCCCTAATGGAGCATTACATGGAAAACAGTGTTTATCTTACTCCATTAGAGCAGCGGTGAGCGTCTGTCACCGTTTCAGCTGTCCAACTGAGGTCCTGTTTGTCGCCCATCAGCAGATCAAAGGAGCGGAGGTCTGAGTTCCCCAGCAAGTCCTGACCTGTCGCTTAACCAGCGTGAAAGACAGAGAGAGAGAGAGAGAGGAGAGGGGGAAATCACATGGTTGGTTAGAAAAGCGACAAGGACTGACAGTTTGTGCTTCGATAAAGTCAACTTTCACAGTCATAGCTGGACATAACAGGAGGAAACAAAGCCGTGATTCAAGGGTCGATTTATTCCAACAAACCTCTTTAAAAAATTTGATCTATTTTCTATTTAAAGACGGATTACGTCAGGAATCCAGTAACAGTAACAATCCCGTTAATCGGCGAGCAATCTCTGTCTGTTTCTTAACACATTACTGTCGTGCTGAGCAGGTGTTTCCTGAGATTATCATCAGTTTTTACTTTTTAACGTGTGTCAGGGGAACATGAGCTCAGAGGTGGAAGCTATGTGTTCTCGTCGGGGCCGCTGAGAGCTCGACTCGGATAGAGAAGCTGGAAACTCCTCCAGCCTGGACGTGTGTGTGTGTGTGTGTTTCTGATGAGTCTTCCAGGAACAGCCTGCAGGAAACAGTTTAGTTTCGGACCTCAAAACACAAATACAAGTCACTAAATATAACAGTGGGAACGACACAAGAGCTACAGGCATTAATGCGAAGCACGGACGCTCAAAAAGATGACAAATCAAGTTATGTAGATTCATCATTTTCAAGTCTGGACTTCATGAAGCTTTGCATGCATCATAACTACTTTTTTAACAGATTGAAGTAATCATCTAAACTGAATCTGCTTCCTGGGCATGTTTAATGTCTTTGCTTTGGTCTTTTTTCTAAACTTTCTCTCTCTCTGTCTTCAGTTAACGAGCCGCCGTCCTTCCACCAGCCTCAAACCAACCTGCGGACGTTTGCGGGAGAGAATTTCGTCTTCCAGTTTGCAGCGTCAGATCCTGAGGGCTCAGCGCTCCTCTTCCAGCTGGAGACCGGGCCGAGCGGAGCCGTCCTCTCCCCCGCCGGCCTCCTCATCTGGAGGGTCCCCACTCTTCCTGAGCAGGAGGAGGGACTTGAGTCGAGTCGCTCTGTTCGTTTTACGCTGTCGGACGAGTGCAACGCCCAGAGTACCTTCACAGTGGAGGTAGAACCAAAGGAACACACAGAGAAGAAAAAAAGAGACCTTAAAAAACACGTTTGAATGATCTCTCTCTGTTCTCCAGATTGATGTGGTGCCGTGTGGTTGTCAGAACGGAGGTTCGTGTGTGACGGATGTCAACTTTCCTGCGGGCAGTGGGAAGTACCTGTGTGTTTGTCCTGAGGGGAGGCAGGGCGTCCTCTGTGACGAGGACGTGGACGAGTGTTTGTCAGCTCCGTGTGCGGTCGGAAAGTGCGTAAACACAGACGGCGGGTTCAGCTGCGAGTGTCCTGCAGGGCTGAGAGGTACAAACACAAATGAAAAAAGAGTCTTAAGAATCCATCAGCTCACACAGACTTTTAGTTGCATAAGCGTGTTTCTGAATGTGTTTTTGCAGGTAAAACATGCCTGGAGGATATCAACGAGTGTGAAAGAAAACCTTGTTTCCCAGGAGTCCAGTGTTTCAACAACTTCGGCTCTTTTGGCTGCGGCCCTTGTCCGCAAGGCATGCTGGGAAATGGGACAACGTGCGCAGGTGGGGCTGAGTAAAATCGGCATGTGTTATCTTTCTAATGTTAGCAGAAAATACCTCAAAAGCGTTGATTTTTTTCTGCAGAGGTATTCCTCAAATCTGGAGTCCAGTGGTGAGAGCTGATGGACACAGAACATAAAACACTCTGATTATTACATCGTGTGAATTAAGTGGAAACATACAACACTCTGCAGGTTTTCGGGATGATGAATAATAAACAGATGTCAGCGAAAAATTCAGTCACAGCCAAAAATATTACTTCATATCCTGTCATGATACTGCTGTATTTATGAATAGTGAGAAAGTTTCAAAGGTTTTACGTGTTTAAAGAACACCTTTGATAAAGTCCGGTACCTGGATCTGTTATTTGGCACAAGCTTCATATAAGGAGGTGAAACTGGGGTAAAAGGGGAAACCTGATAATGATGAGGACTGTCTTAAGGGCAGACACATTCAGACTCCCTGTGCAAGATGACAAAGTTTCTCTTCGAGAGTCTGGATCTCATTATCAACAAGAATAACTGGAGACGTTTATCTGACGCTGCAGATCTTTGGGATTGAACAGCTGTTCTACAGAAACTCTTCCAGTGTTAACAAAAGCAGAACTTGATGGTTTGAAGTTTGCAAAGACGACGTATCAGATAATAAAAGTGAAATATTTATACTGAACATCTTCATTTTGATGTCGGCACTGTGCTTTTAAAAAGACCATCCAGTCCCGGTTTTTAGTCCTCGACTCTTTCTGAACTTTTTGGAGTTGGGGTCATAATTTTAAAAAAAAGTGAATTGCTGACTCGGTTCTCTATCATTTGTGATCATCTGCTGGAGGCTGTGGTGTTGGTTTCAGCATCTTCTAGGTTCACTAACTTCGGTGCTGTACACGGTAAATAACTTTGGATAAGAACATCAGCTGACTGCCCTGACTGTGAAGGTGAATTCTGGTCTCTGAGGAACACTGAGCAGGGATACGGGACTAATAGTGAGTGAATGGAAACCAGATGGCTGATGGCAGCTGATAACACTGCTCCCCTCATGTGCTTAGGTTGAACTGCAGTGGCTGCTAACTGCAGGTTCTCCTTTAAACCCTCTGATACTGTGGGAGAAAAACCAAAGAAGATTATTATTTTGTCCTGCTGCTTATAATCACTCCGTTATGTTTGTGCACTTATATGTGAAGCTGTGGATCCACACAGGAAGCTCATCACTAATAGCTGCAAACTTAAACGCCTGACATTCATAAAGGTAGTAGCTGCTAAATGCCTGCAGCTGCTTCACAGCAAACACCTCTCAGCGGGAGGGAATCTGTAGAAAATTATGGATAAATGTTGCTCAGCTGCAAAACTGGCAGGCTCCTCTGAATCAGAGCTAATTTATAGCATGTAAAATTAAGCTGTGTTTGTATTTGGATCAACAAGTTGCAGGAACACGTGTTTTTGGTGAAATCTCTGGCTAAACATTTCTTTAAGTTATGTTAGGCTGTTCACCTTGTTTGGATGGGACAGCTGAATAGAGACTGATGGCACAGGGAGAGGAAAGGCCGGGGTCGTAGGTCTGCAGTCCGCATCATTTCCTTTTAAGAAATCAATGTACCTCGAACACTAGATCTAAAACAGGCCCAAATCAAACCGTGGCGTTTGTTTGGAGACACTGCCGTCCCTGCAGGTCAAACTGGCTCACAGAAAAGCACACAGAAGGAATCACTGTCACCGTCCCTTCTGTTTGTCATTTTTACAGAACTTCATAAAAATAGACTCATGAGGACAAATCCTTGGATTTCCTTGTTATTCAACTTCCTGAACCTTAAACTTCTCATCCTCTCATGCAAACGGTCTTTGGCTCGTCCCTGACCTTCGTGCTGAAGTTAACTTTGTGCCTCAGAGGATATCCGGTGCATGCTCTTGGATCGTAAATGTCCTCCATTAAATCTGTTTGTCTTTGTTCTTTGGTTATGTTTAATCTGCCAACAACTGTTCACATCTGGGCATCAGGCAGAAGATGAGTCCAGGTTTAATAAATCTGAATCCACAGTCAAGAACCAGAGGCCCAGAAGAAAACGCATCAGAGTATTTCTAGTTTAGCAGAAAGAAAAAACATCACAAAGATCAGGCATGAGCCAACTATTCCAATCTAAGTGAAAAGAAGTACCTCCAGTAGATGTAAATTCAGCTCTTGAAGTTCTCGATAGATGAGAGACGATCTTCAGGAATCAGGACTTGAGAAACCTCAAACCTTAACTTTTCACGACAATGTAATCTGCTTCAACGGCATCAGATTTAAGTAATACAAGTGTTGGCTGTGCTTTGGCGGGATAAATCAGACTTAGGTTTGATTTGCTGCCATGTCTGAGGCCTGTCGCCAATCATCGAAGGTCTACTGCTATGCTCCTGGTTTTGAGATGTGTTGATAAGTCCCGAGGGGTAATCATGCCTCTATGAGAACTTGATTCGCAGTCTTATCTCTTGCTGGGCGTCTGTCTTATCGAGAGAAACCTTTTGAACCTTACAGGCTTCTGTTCAATCTTCAATCCTTTCACATTTGCTGCCGGTTCACTGCGCCGTGTGTGATCGACATGCCGGATAGGAAGTTTTTCTGAGTAAAAGCATCAGATAAAGGAGTTATAAAGCAATCCTCCCCAAAGTAATCTGTGTTTTTCCTCACTCAGCAGTTGTCAGGCCTGTCGCCAGCTCACCCACATCTGCTCCAAGTACAACAGTCTACAAGATACCAGATGTTCAGCTCCAACCACACAAAATAAAGACAGGCGCTTTCCGGAAAACCTCAAGTGGTAGTTCCCCACAGACTCCAGCTGACACAAGGAAGACCGTTCAACAAAGTGACCCAAAACAGCCACAAACCAGGACCGCTTGGAGGCAGATACCAGGAACTAGTCTGAACCCAGCGCAAAGCAAAGCTGAATCCAACAGAAGCTCAGCAGCAATTACCCCGGTCATACCACTGATGAAGACCAGTGCTTTGAGACAAACCAAAGGAATCCAACTTCACCCCCAAACCACAAAGAACATCTCAGGACTAACGCCAAACCAAGTCAAGCCTGATCAACCAAACACCAGCAACACCATCGCCAAGACTTCCACAGAGAACCAGCCCACTGGGAGTGACAGAGTACCTTCAGGTGAGCCAGGTTTGGGATTATAGAGACTCTAAAAGCACAGTAGAGCCAGGTATGAGGAAAAGCAGCATTTACACACTTTTATTTTTGAGCTGTGTTGGTGTTAGCGCAGCGTTACAGTTATAATCTTCACAAACTGACACCTATAACGACCAAAAACCAAATGAAAACCATAATTTATTCGTCATGTCAAAGGAAATCTCAAGGTTTAGGCTAAAGCAAAGTCTCACCGGGGATTTCTACACTGACCTGAGTTTATGTTTCTCAGGATTGGTTCAGTCTCTCGCTGTGAATGTGTCGGCTACATGTGCAAGTCGACCATGCTTCCCCGGGGTTCAATGCATCAACCGCAGGCCGCCACATGTCGGGTATGTCTGCGGACGATGCCCACCTGGACTTTATGGCAACGGGCGCATCTGCATGAAGAACGCCAAGGCAGGTAAGTGATCCTGCAGTTTTACGACTAACAGACCTGCTTGAGTCAAACCAAAGCTGTATAAATCTGCAAAGTCTCTTGGTGTTTGAGTCACATATGTCATCTCCTGTCTTTCTTCAGCATCCAATCACCTCCCCCAGCAGCAGACGGTTGGCAAAACCAGTCGATCCTCATACGGAAGCAGCAGCAAAGTCTCCCAGCTCCACCTGCCCAACTTGCCCTCCAGGCACGGCATCAAACACCTGTCCTTAGCCGTCACCAGAGCGAGCCGAGATAACTCTCCGAGGCAGGCTCCTGCTCCAGGGAGGGGAGGAGGGACGGGAAGACGGGAGGCTTCTGGAGATGTTCCCAGATCATCAGTCAGCGCCCTTCATGTCACTGCAAACACTTACACCACCCACCAAAGAGTCAACCTCAGATCTGACCTGAGGACATACCCCAGATCAAGCGTTACCATCTCCAGGGATTTTACAGTTCCACATGTGACGGTCTCCAAGGTGAGTTGATCGTCTCCATGCATTGTCTTGTTGAAAGGTGTCCAGTTGCAATCTTTCCTGCACTTTGTGGTTCTTTCCCAGCTGTCCCAAGAAGCATCAACTGGTACAACACTTTCCAAGGTAACACCACCAAGTCCTCAACTGCCCACTCAGTCCAAACAAACAACCCTGAACCACCTGACGTCTGCCCAAGCCAAACCCTGGACCCCTCAAAAACCAGTCCTCCCACTCACAGCAGCCTTCACTGCTCTGTCCTACTCGCTGTCTGAGTCCGAGTTCTCCGCAGACGGGGATGAAGCTGAAACTGGATCTCAAGATCCAGAGATGCTGGACGTATTTCCAGCACTGACTTTCACAACACCGGGGAAGACCGGCTCTGGCAGCACGGTGCTACAAAGAGCCACCTCCATCCCAACATGGGTCAAGAGCGCTACAACAGCAGAGAAGCATGTGTTGAGCTGCGCGGATCGGCCATGTTTTCCTGGTGTTCAGTGTGAACCAGCTGTAGATGGAGGTTTCAGCTGTGGCAGGTGTCCGGTTGGATACATTGGAGACGGACGAGTTTGTCGAGGTAAGACTGCGAGGTTGACCTCATGCATGCTGGGATACGGAGACTTAGACAACTCTCTGACTCCCTTATACTCAAAATATACACTGAATGATGATCACTTCAGTTTTGTAGATGATCACCCTGATCTTTGCTGGTTGGCCAGACACAGAAACCAATCAGCTGAACCTTGTTTGTTTTTCCAGCTGTTTGCAGGCACATGTGTGGAAGGAACATGGAGTGTGCTGCACCAAATACGTGCCGCTGCAAACCGGGGTACACAGGACCTGACTGTCAGACAGGTAAACCAATCATCTGTCTCTATTACGGCGCTTTTGTTTCTCTTTTAATCCGTTTGTTTTTCACTATATCTGATCCTGTGCTGTGTTTTGTTCCATATTTTGTCAGCAATCTGTGAGCCGGGCTGTAAGAATGGGGGTGTTTGCATCGCTCCAGGTGTGTGTCAGTGCCCCAGAGGTTTCCATGGAGACACCTGTCAGGAAGGTAGATTATTTTTCTTGCATTTGTCAAAAACTGAGACTCTCTACCGTAAACTTCTATGTAATTGTTATGATGCCTTTGAAATGATGTATCTGATGTGATTCTTTTGTGCAGCTCTGTGCAGGTTACCCTGTGAAAATGGAGGCACCTGTGTAGGACTGCAGACGTGTTCTTGTCCTTACGGGTTTGTTGGACCTCGATGTGAGACAAGTGAGTTCAGTGTTGCTGTAATTCCCATTTTTTTCATCAACGATGTTGTTTTTTCATTGTTAATCTTCGGTCTGCTGACTATCATGACTTTTTCTGATGGTTTTAGTGGTTTGTAGTCGCCACTGTCAAAACGGAGGCCAGTGTGTGTCTCCAGACGAGTGCCTGTGTCCTGCAGGCTGGACCGGACCGTCCTGTGAGACCGGTGAGTGTGTTCTGTTGCTGTTAGTGTGTATTCTGTGTGTTCGTGTGTTTCTTACCTGTCACACTGAAGCTCTCTCCTCTCTCTCCAGCTCTGTGCTCTCCCTTTTGTCTGAACGGAGGTTCGTGTGTTCGACCAAATCTCTGCGAGTGTCCTCACGGTTTCTACGGAGCACAGTGTCAGAATGGTAAATTCACTGAGTCGTATTTTCAAGCAAGCAAACTATTTCAAACATTTTACATTTTACTTTTCCTCTTCCAGCTGTCTGCAGTCCTCCCTGCAAGAATGGAGGTGTGTGCATGAGGAATAACGTCTGCTCCTGTCTGCAGGGATACACTGGGAGGAGATGCGAGAAAAGTCAGACTTCCTCCTCCTTCTTCTACGTCAGATTGCTACCTCCATGTCTTTGCTCTTCTTTTTAACTTTTTGCTCTTTTCTTTTGTGTCTTTTTACGGTTCCTGAATTTTGTCTAAAGCGCTTTAACTCAGACCCAAATCTTATTACCAGAATCTACAAAGCCAAACATCTTTCCTTCCCTCTATCTGCAGGTGTGTGCGAGCCCATGTGCATGAACGGCGGCAGATGTGTCGGCCCAGATGTTTGCGATTGTCCGTCAGGTTGGCGAGGAAAGAGATGTGATAAACGTGAGTGCCAAGATACAAGAATGGGATCAGAACAGACTTCTTATGTTACCCAATATGAACTTCCTCAAAATCAGCCTCAGGTTACAAGTCTTTAAAGCCAGAATATCAACATCAACATTCGGTCCTCAAACTTCAGGTTAGAGGTGGAGTTTTGTCACGTCTTCTGTATGCGAAGCTCCACTAAAGTTTCTGGATTTGCACAGCATCTTTTTGCACCCCAGCTCTTCTTCAAAGCTCATTTTGGTGACTGTTTGTGAGCCTCTAATGTCTCCTGTGTTGCTCCTCAGCCAGCTGCCTGCAGAAGTGTCTGAATGGAGGCGAGTGTGTGGGAGCAAACACCTGCCACTGCGCTGCAGGGTGGCAGGGCATGCTGTGTCAGATCCGTGAGTATCCCACACACTCAGACACTGACTGCACTTTATCTCATCTTTATGTCACTTGGTTGCCAGTCTTGTTTCTGACTGACTTATAGGTTCACTTACAGAATCCGCAGCACCCTTAGATTGAGAGTTTTGTCGGGGTAATTTCCATCTAACCAGGCAGATAAACCTGATTGGTTCTTGTCTCATGTTTGTGCTTTTTTTTACAGCTATCTGTGAACAAAAGTGTCTCTATGGCAGCCGATGTGTCCGACCAAACGTCTGCGCCTGTCGGAGCGGATTCTCAGGCTCTCTTTGCTCGATCAGGGTGAGAAACTGGGGACTTCATGCTGTCCTGAAAGTTTAGCGGGATGTTCTTGTCTGATACGTCTTTCAGTCAAGTTTGGAAGATTGAGCTTGAAGTTGTGGATTGTATATAAAGGGAGAAATTGCACAAGCATTTCAGATATTTTTACTGCTTCATTTTTCCCAGCTGGTCTGGGTCGGGTCACATGTGTGAGTCGGAGGAGCTGCACATGAAGCAAACTGGAAACACGTGAAAATGCATCCAATCTCATGAAATGACCAGTTACAGATGATGATATACGAGGACTCGGTGGAGAAAGCTGTGTTAAGTAAATTTGGACCGAGAGCCTGCGAAGCTTCAAACAAAACAATTCTGTGCAAACATCTGACGTGCAGAATCTCTGTGTTCAGATCTGGAAGAAGTAAAAGGCGTAAAATTTTACATCTGTATTCTGTCTTGTGGTCAGAGCCTCAAAAGTCATTAGGGCGAGTGGTTTTTGTTCGAGTACACGTTATTGAATTTAGATGCATTTCTGCGCCTTTGGCTCGTTTTGACTCCCTGTTTTCTATTTTTTGCAGCTCCCTATTTCCCACGGTTGAGTCCTTCTAAAAAACAAGAGAAACCAAACATTTGGAGACGAACAAGCTCTGTGAAACCTCCGGCTCACCTCAACCATCAGTAAAGACAAACATCTGAAGTCTCTCCACTGTGAAATAAATCGAATCAAATCTTTGTTTTTCTTATTTTTGACCCAAGACTTCATCACTGAAACAGAAATATCAGGATTTTGAAAGCAGCTCATTTCGTTCCTGTTACTATTTCTTCTCCTGTGCAGATTTTTTACTGTACATGTCATCCTGTTCAGGCTCTTCACCACAAACACAAACCTCTGTACGAGTATTTATTTATTTGGTTGTTTTATATTGTCATGTATGTTCTTGTTGTATATATCTTAATCACTTTATTATTGATGATATTTCTTATTAAATCTTTGTTTACTGGTTGTTTTATAAGAAAATGAATAAATATCCTCTCTAAGGTTCTGTTGTCCACTGGTTTCTTCTGCTGGATGTTTAACTTATCGGTTGATTTTGGGCTCCTGACACGAACAGACATGCCGTGGTGTCTTACCTTTTGTGTTTACACATTCCCAGAATCACTTGGCCCATCCTCTTGTGTGCATAATCCTTTGTTAGCAGCTGTTCATGGAGCAGAGGACCTCCAACACGGCCACCAGGAGATGTTTGACAGCACCTAAACACATGCAGTAGGTTCAGTTCAAGTGAATAAGGAAGATGCAGAATATTAAACAAAGATTTATTTGTTTACCCTTTGGTCTAGTGGTCCTCTGCAGGAGTGAAACGTTTGACTTTGCTTCAGGGGCCAGACAAGTTCGTGGCCAACAGGTCGAGGCCGCGGGGGTCCTGAGGGCGAGGAAACAGGGATTAAAAGATTAATGAGGCCACATTAGCTCTGCACCAATTAGGATTCCAGCCTCTCACTGACTCCCGCATCTGCACGGCACAAACACTGCACAGCCGCTTAACCTGTTTTACTAGGATGGACCAGAGCAACAGATTTGGTTCTGGTATTTGATTCAATTCTTACCTGATCATGTGGGGTAACCTTCAGGCCCTCCTTTCCAAAATGACAGCAGGAAAAACCATCTGAAAGAACAAAAAATGTACGCAGGAGGGTCTAAGGGTTAAAAAGAAAACTTAAAAGTTATTTCAAACAAGAGGAGGACGTATCTGCCAGATTTCTCAGTCTTAAATTTTTGATATTCTGGACGCTGAATCCTGCAAATTAGCTGTAAACTTCCAAGGAATCTGTTGTTTTTGTGCAAAGGGCTGAAATGTTCAACATTTTCCAAGACAACTCTAGAAATGAACTCTTAGGCTTTACCGCCCTCTTGTGGCAAGGGTAGAAATATCTTGGTGTAAAATGTTGCTGTAATCACTGCACGGAGCGTTCAAATCCCAGCTTGTTTTTGCAGGTTTCGAACACTTTGTTAAAGAAAATCAAAAAACAGTTTTGAAATGAGCCACAAGTTTTTACAGCAGCACAAACACACACAGACATCGTCCGTTCACAGATATTTATATCCACCCCAAAGATGGCACTGGGCAAGGTGGAGGAGGAGGGGAGTGTGGTGTGTGTGTCTGTGTGTGTGTCCATCCTGGTGGGCACACACAGGGACAGGACAGGCGGGTACACCTGGGCTGTTCACTCAATGAAAGCTCAGAGCCGCCGGCAAGAGCAGCAACGTTATCCCAAATCCGTCAGAATCTGCGTGCATCTCGAAAGTTTTGGTGAGGTCAAAGTTTCAAAGACCTTTTTTGTTGTTGTTGCAGTTTCTCCACTTTTTATTTATATTTTTTTTTATCATTTTTTGCAGCTGCAGTAAACGTTGGTGGAGGAATATTTCAATGTTTAACTGCAGGAAAAGTACCAACACATCCCAACAGTAAAAGTCTTTCTCATAAGTCAGGTCTTGCTTTTATATTTTTCTCCAACAGCTGAAAATAATTTTAAAAAGTCCTCATGGGGCAGAACAGCTGTTTCTGACAAATGTTTACGTTTCTGGATTAAAATTTAAGATGCATCATCACTTTCACTTGAGAGTAGTTTGTGAGGATCAATTAATTTTTGTCTTCTATAATCTAAGAAAATATCATCTATGCAAAATATAATTTATGCAAAAACAAGAAGTTCCTTACAGGAGTTCAATAAATATGGTGAATAGATTAATCTACATTTTGGTTCTTACCTGTTGAAACAAACTGCACTAAGCTTTATTTCTATGTTCAGATGTGTTTTGGTGGTTGAAATTCAGTTTAACCTGTCCCATTTAAATAGGGTTGTATTTGCAAAGAGACTGTCCTAAAACTGTTAAATATTATCATTATTTTCTCTTTTCACTTCCTTCAGTTCAGGTCATAAATTATTTATTTTATTAGTAAAGCCTTTTATAATGACATTATACTGCTCATATCTTCATGTAAAACACACAAAAAAAGCTCTTCACATATAAAACAGCAGAGGGGAAATCTGCTGATGGCTCTGGGACATTTCAGTGATTATTAACAAAACAGATATTGGTGTTTTTTTTGTTGTTGTTGCATCAGAATAAAAAAAGTCTCACATTGACCATTTAGTCCCAAAAGCCAAAACTTTGGTAAAGTGTCATAATATCATTCTAGATTAGTGTCATTTTCAACCTTCTGTCCTGTTTATAAATTGAAAAAAAACTTTTTTTAATGTCCTAAAATTTTTAAATACTGGACTAAATGGAGGACCACGTGGTTTAAAATAATGAGTAGAAATTTACGTGAAATTAACATGAAAAACACGGACTTTGGTTAAATATTAGGCGGTGAATATCAGACCAAACATCTGCATTTTGGACCTGGAGTTGTCACATCGACCTTGAAGTCAGTCCCATATCAGTCGAGCCTAATTTAAACCCGGATCCTCCAGACCACAACAGGTGCCCCCCTCCCTCCCTTTAGGCTCCACCTGTCCTCTCTTCTCCGCGGCGGGCTGCCGACCCAGAAAGCAGCCGTCATTCATTAGAAATGGTATGTGGATCCGCCGGGGGGCCGGACGGCACAAACCCCCTCGGTCACCGGATCGGCGGCAGCTGCTCGGCCCCCGGTCTATTTTCACCCTCAGGATAAAGTGATGTGCAGCCGCCGCGCGCCCGCACGGCCCCAGCAGCTCAGGACTCACCCGAGCAGACACAGGATGAAGTCCACGGGGAACGAGGGACACGCGCTGCCCGACGGATCCACCTCGGACCCGGACGATCTGGACAGCGGCACCGACAGCTCGGACGGAAAGTCCACCGGCGGCTGCAGCCCGCGCGCTGCGCCGGGAGACCTGGAGGAAGGAGGAGGCGGTACCCGGGCTTGTGCGCCCAGGAGGAGGAGGAGGAGAAGACGAAGGAGCGGAGGAAGAAGAGGCGGCGGAGACCTGCGTTTACCCGGGGTGAGCCAGCAGAGACAAGCGGCCAACGCGCGGGAGCGGGACCGGACGCATAGCGTGAACACGGCCTTTACGGCGCTGCGCACGCTCATCCCCACCGAGCCCGCAGACAGGAAGCTCTCCAAGATCGAAACCCTGCGCCTGGCCTCCAGCTACATCTCCCACCTGGCCAACGTGCTGCTGCTGGGGGAGGACTGCCGGGACGGACAGCCCTGTCTCCGGTACCAGAGCATCCTGCACGGCCCCTCCGCGCTCAGCGCAGCCTCCCTGAGACCCATCTGCACTTTCTGCCTCAGCAACCAGAGGAAACTGGTGAGAGGAGTTCACACCTGCTGCAGATGGTGTACGGAGCTCTTTATCAAGCTGTCTTTACGCACAAGTAGGAAAGGTAGATCTGCTCCAAAGTCTCTGCACTAGTTTACAAAGGTAGATCAGGTCAGTCCAGCTGTGCAGGATGCAGCTTCTTCATGTGGGAATCAGAAGTTCAGGTGCAGCGTCTGCATGTTTGGAGGTGAATTGCATTGACCAAAGCTGCACCTGCTGTTCTGGTGATTGACAACAGCAAAGGAAAACAACCAGTGCTGGGTTAAAGGTTTAAAATAAGTCTTATGAAGCGATCGGCCTCTAAAGATTTATAAACTCAGAGTCTGATTGAGGGAGAACGGTTTAAAAAGTGAGATTATTAAGAGAAGATGAGTGATTTAACGCAAACAGATAAAAGATGTGAGGGGAAACAGGCTGGAGGAGATCACAGGGATGTAGAAAAGACTTAAAATGTTGGACTGAAATGAGACTTTCCAGTTCAAGATGATTTCAGACCCACATACACCTGTGTGTGAGGGGATAAGAAGTGTTTACAGCTGATAGTGTCTGGTCGGACTCCTTGAAGCTATAAATAGAGACGAAAAACTGGCACAAGATCAGAAATATTATGTCACAATCACCTCCGACTAATCAAAGTGTTTTCGCACTTTTACACCAGCTAAACTCAGGAACTAAAAGGCACTTTATTATCTTTATTTTTCTCTTATGAAGGTGTAAAATCAAGATTTTCTAAAAGTGATTAAAGTTATTGAGTTCGCTGAATGAGGAGTGATTTTTGACACAGAAGAATCAGATTTTTCAGTTTCTCACTCGAGCCTCAGACTTTTGTTTCTGTGATCATTTCTTAAAAATGTTAAAGACAGCTAAAGGAGGTTAAAGAACAAAGCAAAGACATCTCTAAAACATCAAAATGGGATAATTTAATGTTGGGGTGCTGTTGTTGTTGTTGGGTATTTGCTGTGGTGCTTTCACTGAACCGTGTGTGTGTAGTAAAACTGACCGTTTCTCTGCCTCCACAGCTCAGAGATGGAGGGAAACACTCAGCTGCAGTGTGATGTGAAGCCTCTGCAGACAGACGAGGACTCCACCTCCGTGTTGTTTACACCTGTAGGATTTTGTACATACATATAAATTATTTATTTTTGGATTAGACTAGAGAAACAAACAGATTTTACACTGAAAAGCACTTTCTGTTCACGCCCGTCTGTGTGCCTCTGAACCTCTGTGTTTTGGTTGAGCTGTAACCTGAGCCGGTGTGTAAAGTTGCACCTGACGGGGGGGCTATTTTGGTCCCACGAGTAGTATAAACTACCCCCCCAGCCCGACCTCATGCCCAGCGCCTAAAAAAAAGCTTTGCCGCCTTCAGTCACATGAAGGAAACTGAAGAGCAGCTACTGCAGCGGTTGCTGTCAGTTGAAGGGCTCTGATGCTGCGTTCAAGTGCAGTCAGACACATCGGTTCCTTAACCTCTCTAACCGGATAGTGATGAAGAGTTCAAACTGTGAGGATCATCTTTACATCTTAAAGACTGCGGTTTTAATCACACATCTAGCACTACTTTATCTGAGGCTAACACTTTAAATTTTTGTTTCTGTCGAGCTAATCCGCACCTTTGCAAAAGTCAACGTGATCTCTTAAAGAATTAAAACGCTCTTTTCTCTGACTGACAGCACTGTAACCCTCAAAGCAAAAACAGATGAACTAAACCCAACAAGATGAATATTTAACCAGGATAGGTGCAAAAATCTGAGGCTCAAACTTTGCACAACTCTAAGAGATAAAACGGACAAACATGGACGAGGGGAAACCAGTCAAAGTCATTTTGGAAGCTTTACGTTCAGATGGTGCCTTGCTGAATCCTCTGCAGATTTAACCTACTTCTCTGTCACTTTGCAAAGCACGACAAAGAAAGAGAAAACCATTTTCAGTCACTTAAGTTTTTCCTAGAGCAGGCCAAAGGACACTTTTTAGATAGTACAAGTACAATTACATGCAGATGCATGAAAAGAAATGAAAGAAAAAGGATCTGAGTGGTTTGTTTTTACTAAAATAAGTCTGGATGGTTTTCACATTTTATCCAAATCAGACCTGTAGAACCTAAATATGTCCAAATTGTTCCTTTTTGAAGCCAAATCTTCCCCCAAAGGTAACCACTTCATTTCTACTTCAGATCCTCAGACTGAAAGAGACACTCTCTCATTTGTGAACCTCTCAGCTGTTTGGTTATGATACACATATTTGCAGTGTGGTGACTTGTTTACGTTTGCATTGTTGCACAATCTCTGTATCACTTTAAAAAAAAAATCATGAAACTTAGAGAGCACAGGAATGAGGAAATAAGGGCTGAAGCGTTTGGTTTCCTGATCCCTTAATATTTACTTCTGCAGCATGTGTGGTTCACGACCATCACAGGGAAATGTTGCACACTACCTCAAACCTGTTCGAGATATGAAGGCCTACCTCTAAATCTAATGTGTAACATGACTGTATAAACTTGAATACCTGACAACTGTGTCCTTTGCACATCACAGATACTGAAGGCTGCTTGAAGAAAAATGTATTTTTGTACAATAAAAATCTAAACGTCTGTCTCGTTTCTACACTGATTGCTGTTGTACTGCAGAGTTCGGCTGTGTGAGAAGTCACCTCTTTAACCTTTTTTGGACGCCGCCTCTTTCCTCGAGGTGCATTCAGGGGGTGTGAGGATCTTCACTGATGGTGGGCAGGGGACATTTTCAGGGTTCAGGGGAGGTGAGAGGCCCTAAGAAAGCATAAATTAGACATGCTTTTCTCTTCATAAACATCAGCTTATTCTGAATGTTTAAAGAAAGACTTCCTCCATCAAAGGTAGGGATCAGTTTACACTTTACTTACTCTGAGATCAAAGGTGTGATATTTACCTGCATCACCTGAGTTTCTTTACAGCGTGAAATAAAACAAACGACACAGCAGCAACATTTCAATAATCTTTATTTCATAAAAAAGTCAATCGGTTTATATCAGATTAAAGAAAGTAGAAACCAATAATAATCCGTTAGCTGGCGAGGCATCTTACGGAGGGGGGCGTGTCTTCTGACGAACCGAACTCGACACGCGGTACAGGTTTACCCGAAAGTCAAGAGAGAAGGCGTTTAAGTTTAAGACCCAACAGGAGCTGAAACATGAGCTGGGCGAAATCATAAAGACTCGAGAGTGGGAGATAAAATTCAGAAAAATACACTTTGGCAAAATATTTTTCATCCCAGTCGCTTGGCAAAAAGGCGACTTAGACACAAATCTGGGTTCAGATTTGTCCGTCGGACTGCAGGGACCTTCGAGATCACATGGAATCTTTTTTTATCCAAATTACAACAATAATAGTATCCAAAAATAAAGAGGGGAGTATTTCTCTTTTACCACATGATCCAAACAGGTTAGGAATCAGGACCGAGCCCTTCTCATTGAGAAAAATAACATTTAGATGTTTTGAAATGGAGGAAAAATGTGTCTGTTTGGGGGAATAAAGAATAAGTAACAGGAGGTAGAATAGAAAGAAGGGAAACACATTTTACTGCTCCTGCTGCTACTTATAAAAAAGAAAAAAAAAAGAAAAAGAAAACAGCTCATCTGGCGGCAGAGGTTTTTAGTCTGTCTCCTCCTCTTCAGATTCAGACTCTGCAGGACAGAAAAAAACATGATTGTCAACAAAGTGATCACTGGAAGTTTAGTTATGACACTAAAACCTTTCACTATCACACGCTGCTCAAACTAAAACTGATTAAAGTGGGCTACATTTGGACCCAAAGCTTTTGTGAGGATCAAACTGGGGTTATTTTAAGTTTTTTCACTTGAAATTAGAGCAAAAAAAAATCTTCATTAAACTACCCAAAAGTTAAAGAACCTGATCAGAACGACTAAAACCATTTCTCAGGTTTTCTGTTACGTCAAAAACAGTCTGGATGTTTTTGATTAATTACTGATGAGCAGACATTTACTCGTTTTGACCATTTCAGAGCTGCTGCAGTTCAATTTCAGACCTTTTAAGACCTTTTAAAAAGACCCAGAGGAGGGAAAAAACTGTTTTCCACAGCAGAGGAACTGTAAATAGCTCAAATGTGATTTATTTGAAAATATATATATCCAGGCTCTTTTACATATCTCATATGTTCACCACCGTCCATCATTACAACCCCTGGATTTGTCATCTTATAAAAGACACATTTCCTGAAACTAAAAGGTTCTCTCTCAATCTAAGATAATTTTGTGATTTGCACCTTTTTAAAAGAGTCCTTTTAAAAACAGAAATCCTAAATAAACCCTTCAAAACTGTCACTGCCCTACAGTCATCATCAAGACTTCAGCTGTCACAACATTTTGGTTTCGTCATCGTGTTTCTTTTGCTTCTTTGGAACTGAAATGGAAACGAGCGAGAGCAGAATTTCTCCTGCTTTGACATGTCAGATTATCTGCAGAGAAACATTTACCACCTCGGGGTGAGCGGATGTGGGTGTCGTGTGCTTTTGCTTTTACCTTCCTCGGCGTTTTTCAGCCACTCCACAAATTTTTTCATCTGCTCGAGGAAAAAGCTCTTCCCCTTGGCAAGGTGGGCCTCGTTGTACCACTTCAGTATGGCCTCTTCGCTTAATACATCCGCTGTTTGAAGGCAGAGAGCAGAGTGTCAGAGCCGTGCTAATGTTACATCAAATATAATCTCCAGGACCTGATATAAAAAGAAATTATCTGAACTGACGCTTCAGAAGGACTGCTTTTACTTCAGTTTCTAAGACTTCATTCAGCTTTAAAGCACTTTTAATGACAGAGAACAGATGCTGCACATTCCTTCAAATAAAAACAGCCTCTCACTTCTCAGTAGAATTTTAGAAAATCTCAGTATCAGGATCTGAAAACGTGTTGAAATCTAATCAGTCCTGATTTTCTGTTTTATCAAAGTGCAGCTGAGCACTGGGATGGAAACACTGAGGTTCAATGTTAGAAAACGACCCCAATGAGGCGCTCTGAGAGGACAGTCTGTGTTGAATCAGGGATGGCTGAGGCTGAATATGACACTGACCTTTATAGAGCAGCACCACGATCTTTTGAAAGGCCTTCATGAAGTGAATGTTGTCATAGCAGTACTCCTGGATCTTCAGCAGCAGACTGAGCTCAGACAGACCCTGGGAGGTGAAGGCTTTCAGCAGGAGGCTGTATTGCTGCAGAAAGAAGAAGGCAGGATGAAGCTACGTTAGATGCATGTTCAGGTGTTTTATTTGCAGCAGGATCGAGACTTCATGTCAAAGCTCTTTCTTGTCCCTCTCTTAATCTACTTTCACTCCTTCCATGATAATCTCACAGAGGTTTAATTTCACCAAAGCAGCAGGATTACTTCAGGGTGAAAACATGAAGTTTGCAGCGGATTTTATTCTTGAACTGGGCGGGATAATTGGAGGCTGTCTGCACTCAAGAGATTTGGCATTACCTCGTCCACCACAGGAGTTATTATTGTGATCCAGCTGCTGCACAAAGTGACAGTCTGTGCAAACACGAGGAGAGTGTAGCTGCGAATCAGAACAGAAACCTGAAACTTTGTTGTAATGACCCACAGAGCACCTGTTTTTTTTCATTTATTCTGCTTTGCATGTAGAAAACTTGCTGGATTTTAATGGCACAGTTCCATATCTCACATTTTTCCCTCAAGTTTAACAGACAGTCTGACTACTTCATCTCTGTTGCTGATACAGCACTTAATATAACATGCAGGACCTTTATGTTCAAACATTTCCAGACCTGCCAGGACCTGCAGTCACATCTGCCAGGTTCATTCCTCGTTGCCTAATGCACTCAGTGGATTGCAGCGTTTGTTGAAAACTGTATTTCACACCTGGAAATTTCCTCACACGTACCTTCAAGTGTTTGATGGCTTGTTCGGTAACCAGCTCCTCCTTCTTGTTCCATTCCACGCAGCTCATCACGCTGGTCCAGATGATGCTGATCATGGTCTGTTCAGAGAGGTTGGACTTTTTCATCTCCTCTTTGGTGAAGGCGATAATCTGAAGGACAAACACAGCAGGATGAGAGGGGCCTCCAAACAACCAAAAACTCACACTGACAAGCACTCGAGTAAAAAAAGTGAAATCTGTGATCGGTGCTTATAAAACTGTTACCATCAGGCCTCTAATAAATCACTTCAACTGCATGACTCACTGTGCAGCCCCCTTTGTTACTGCACGGTTAAGCACTTACAGCACGAGCTCTTGGTGCGTCAGCTACAAACAAAATTATGCAACATGGCAACAGGGGAAGTGGTAAAATGAAGGCGATAAATCTGTTACCAAAGAGGACAATGAGGAAGTAAAGAATCACACCTGCACCTCCTGAACGATATCCAACTGTGTAATCAAAGTACAAAAATCTGGACCTGATAACAAAGACTATCTGCTCTCATGTTTATCTCCTGCAGATTGCTTTGCATGCAAAAAAAGAAAAAAACACCCACTCCTGTGTAAGAACAAGCTGACTAACAAGATTCCTCTACATTTAATTCTTCTTAACTTGAACAGTGCTTTTGGAGTTTCTGGTTTTATACTCCCACAATAACAGGAAGTGGTTCAAACCATGACCCGAAGCAGCAATCTCACCTCCTTCTGAGGGTCACCACGGGACATCTGCTCCTGGAGCTCCTTCTGCAGCTCCTTGCGGGCGCCAATGGATTGCTGGTTGCGGGCAAAGTCGGACAGCTCCTTCAGCCCGGCGTCGGTGAAATACTTAGAAAAATGCTCGCAGCTCCGTTTGTTGGCAGGAAAGAGCTCCTGTGGGGCAGAGATATTTAAAGTTCACATGCAGCTGCTGCGAATATCTGTAAGAGGATGGAGGGACCTCTACGGAGGTCGTTCAAAGGAATCCAGATGATTTTTCAGACACAGATAAAAACAGGTCCTTACCATCAGCCTGTTGTCCATGCCGACTTTGCGGAGACTGCCAGCAACTGAGTTGATGTCCTTCTCATTGATCCAAGTTGAGAACAGCTTAACGGCAAAGGCTGCGGATACTCCTGAAAATAAAGAAACGTGTTTTTATTATCGTTTCATTTTTACAGAAAGGAAAGATCAGGTTTTCTGGGGGGTTGTTCTCACCTTCTTTGACGAGGTTCTCGTTGAAGAGGCTGTTCAGGATAGAGGCTGATATGTTGCCGTTGGCCAGCAGGATGCCAGTCAGCATGGCCAGCTTGTTGCGCTCAGACTCGGTGAACCCCTTTAGGAACAGCAGCAACTAAAGACAGAAAAGAAAAACCAGAATTACAAATCATGAGAAAAAGTGACAAAGTTTCCGTAGAGCAGACGGTCGGAGATCTTTTCTCCTCTGATCTGTGGTGCCTCTTGTTGTTAAACAAATTTAAATCTGCTGTCTTTGTGGCCGTGAACTTAACTGCCACTCTTGGCTTTGTCAGCCCTGTGGAATTATCGTTAAATCACCAAGCAAGTGCAAGTCTGTGTGTCGGCTTAAATAAACACGCTGACAGCTGTTGTTGGACGTGTTTAACCGGCTTGCCAGAAAATAATCAGACTGCGGAGCTCAAAACAAGTCCTGCGACACACACACACGCACAAAATAAGACGTCATGTTGAAAACACACTCACCTTCTTGATCTCCTCTTCGAAACCCTTCTCCAGGTACTTGTAACGCCTGATCAGCTTGTTAAAAACCTGAAAGTTAGAAAAGTATAACCACATTAAAGTCAATTTATTGTGACTTCTTTGTTAACGTATTATGTGAATGAAGGAATGTGAACCCAGATGGCTGTAAACTTTGGCTGTTATTTAGGAAGTGATAAGAAAACAGTATAAACATGTGTCCTACCTGAGCATATGCTTGCATGGTCTCCAGGTCTTCTTGTGCCGTGAAGAGGCAGTACTCAGTGCGGGTCATGTCATCAGATAGAGTACCGCCTGGGGCTGAAGAGGAGAAAAGTAAAAACAGTCATGTCAATTAATAAGGTGATGTGGATTGTCTCCCTGTTCGATGAAAAATACATGCTTACGGATGGTGCGTTTTAAGACAACTCACCCAGCATTCCACCGGCCACCAGGATGTCAAAGAGTGTCTCTGCATATCGGCGGTAGTCAAGCTTGGCGCCAGAGGCATCAAGGAACTTCGCAACCGCTTCCAAATCAGTGCCAGTTTGGTTCAAGCCTTGTACGATACTTTCTTGAAACTGAGTAGGGTCAAATCTCTCCTTTTCATCTGTGGGGGGAGAGAAAACACACTGAACTTAGTGGGGTAAAAAAGAACCAGGAAGATTTCAGATCTTTAAAACACAAAGTAGAAAACATGAAACAATGAAGACGAACCTCTTTTCCTCGTTTTGAAACGCTGGCCGGTTAGCGTTGGCTTTTGCTGCTTTTGATTATTCATAAAAGACACCCTGAAAGGATAAAAACAGAGTTAATATTTACTCAGGTTGGCACTGACAGGCTGCACGTTGACTCTTGAGTGAAGAGGACAAAGCCTGTACTTTAATTACACGTTCTTCTGCCAACGGTTGGGTGTAACTTGGGAGGGATCCAAGGCGGTATCACAAGTTTACCATCAACACTTGACATTACTCAAATCTGACAGCAAATCTTTGAGACAAAAGCTGTGAGTTTGTTTTCTGCTGCTTAATTCTGCATAATATTAAACACACAGCTCATTTTGGTCACATAAAATAACTCCAGAGTGGTTGACAAATCTCTTTCCTGCACAATAAAGTTTGATTATTTTATGTTTACCTTAAACCCTTGTTCCTGCTATTATTACCAGTCACTAAAACACAGGATGTTCATGAGAAACAAGCCAAAAAAATGGGACAGATCTGAGATGAAGATAAAAAAAAAAAAAACAGTGAGGAACAATTTGGAAATTTTGGATTCTCCTGCAGTTTTAAGATCTACATCTCCTCAGACCTGTGAGCTTTTTGTGAACTCGAAAGGGTCGTAAACACAATTAAAAGTAAAAGATTTATTAAACGCTTAATATAGTGATAAAAATCACACAATGGGCTTCTTTTAAAGATGTTAATGTGAGGCTTTAATATTGTAATTTTCCCCTAAAGCTTTATTAAGTATTCCTTTGGACAAACTTAATAACTATTGTTAAATTTTGACACTGATCCGCTCCTTATGAAAGGCCTTCAGAAATCATACAGACAAAACCACGTAAATTTAGTTATTTTAAAAGCTGATTGAGGCATTGAGTTAACATGTCTGTTAAAATAAATTAAGTCTATCCTAGAATAAACTGCGAAATCAGTGTTAAATCACAGTCACCCGTTGTAATTACTCCCCATGCCAAAGCGAAGGCAGACAAAGACTGTAAGAGGAGGAACTACCGAACCACCTGGGATTAACGCCAGAAACTGGGGGTTCAGCTTTTATTTACAGTATCGTTCCGAATTTAGTTTTAATGAAATATACTTTGGAGGTGAATCATAAGTATCAACACGAACACAGAGAGATTTTCCCACCTCCAGCGGGCTAACTATAGGTTAGCTCCGGCTAACTCCGGGCCTCACCATGCGCCGAGCTGATGGTCGTCAGCCGGGCCTGCTAACCGACCAATAAAATCTCTTTAAATTCAACTAAAACACCGCTGACTCACTGAAAACCACTACAATACGATAAAGATCAATCAAACTGAGCTGATTCTCGAAGTGTCATCATAATATTTTTAATTCTTTACGCTGTACAGTTGAAGTCAGTGAGCGCTAAAGCGGCTAACGCTAAGTGAGCTAGCTTATCCAGAGAAAACCTGAATTCGCCCTCCAGCGGCGCCCGTCAAAAATACCATAAAACACACAATAACACGACGATTTATCCTATTTAGAAGAAGCTTAAGGGGTAAGACAGCGTGAGGAAGGTGAAAAGACCGAGACTCACCGAAATTAATGCAGATAAAAAACGGTTGTGAACCAGGGGAATCAAAACCAAGTGACGAGACTCTCAGCGGCCCAAACAAAAAGACCTTCCCGTCAGGACTTCCGCAGGCTCCGCCCGCTGCGCATGCGCGATTTAAAGGGGGTTTCCGCCGACAAAAAAGGAAAACTGTGCTGTTATTATTTCATCTTTAATTTATAAAAGACGGAATTTAAAGGTACGGATAAAGAATCAATAAACTTCATCCTTAGTGTAATTTAACTTAATTTTTTTTGAGGGACTTTTGGAAATTATTGTGTAAATTATCAGATGATTACGGAGGCCCAGAACCACCACTGCTACAAATAGAAATTTTAAAAAATGCAAAAAAACTAAGTCAGGGCAGAAGTTACTGATGCAAAAAAAGAAACTGAAGCCCTCTGGAAATAAAAAAAAAGAAACGTTGCAGATTAAAAAAAAAAAAAAGAGCCTCAATGGAAGTTAACGAAGCAAAAAAAAAAGTTGTGACGGAAAAAAAAAATTACTTACTGCAAACAGAAGCTAACACGACACTGGCATTCTCCAGTTCAACTTCATATCGACTCAGCCGCTACCTGGTCAATTGTCTTTTTTTGCAATAATGAGATAAAAACTCTAATACTTAAGCAATTAAAGTGAGATATTCGTGCATGTTCTCGCTCCAGCTCCCCTGATGCAAGGAGCTTGAACTGATTTATTCGTCACTGACAGAAATGAGGCATGAAGTGATGATAATTGGCACTTAAATATCAGAGGACACAGAGCTAAAGTTACACACTGCCCTGTAAGTCGGCTATAACTCTCCTCAATATGTCTTCAACCAGTGAGCTGATCTTCTTCGTCAACGGGAAAAAGGTGAGAGAATTTGAGAGACATTATGAACCTCATTTTGTTCTGCACTCTAATCATCAGAGTAGTATTTCAGAGATGATCAGACAAAAAAACTGGAAGAAAAGTGTTGAGCTTGTTTGTGTTCAATCTGCACCAGAGATTTAAATATAACAAAAAAAAACTAATCCTGATCAAACTAATTAGAATAATTAATATAATGCAGAACATTTTAATTATATAATGTTGAAAACTACTTCTGCATAACAAAAAGCATACGAATAGTTAATCTCTAAAATCAAAGTAAAACCTCGTTTGTGCATTTATTACAATGTGTTTATGGGCATGACTGAACAGAAAAACCCTTAATTTTCTCTCTTTTCTGTCACCTGCTTGTTTTGCAATCACCAATTTTCTTCAATTTAAAAAAGTTTTTTATTAACTCCATGGAACATGCTTTTGTTTTACTCAATTTCCTGTAAAATAGCATTTTTTTTTAGTGGTAGACGAGAGAAATGTTAACCTATTCCTTTAAAGTAAATCTTCAGCAAGGTTGAGTACAAATAGAGCTGATGTATTACAAATAAAGGTTAAATCACCTTGTTGTCACACTCATATTTTGTGCACCGCCCTTACCTGAAAGGTTAATTTTGGTCGTTTTATATGCCTCCATCATCTGAAATGCAGCTTCACCTCCACATGTGACCATTCCACATACGTTTATCACACAGAGAGGTTTAGTTACACACAGCAGAGTGTACAAAGTCACCTGATGGAGGGCACGAACTCTCAGATACCTTCCTATGATGGTTGATCCTGATAAACAAAAACCATGAATGTAATTTTTCATGAGATCAGCTTGATAAAAAGTGTTTTTTCCCTTTTAATGATTGCTCCCCTTTTAATTTTACCTTTATCTTAACCCAAATTTCATGTCTTCTCTTCTGTGACTTTTTTTTCCCTCTCATCTTTCCATCCTGCATCCTTAACTTCTTATTTGGTGTCCTTTTCCTTTCCTTGTCACCTTTCCTCCTTTTATTTTCCTCTTTTCTCCTTGTTTCCTTTCTTCTTTCATTCCTTGTATTAATTGTTTGTGTCTCTTCATCCTTGCCCGCAGGTTGTCGTGAAGAACGCAGATCCTGAAGAAGTGCTGCTCAGCTTTCTTAGAAGAAAAGGTTCGTTTATTCTGACCTGTTATTGAGTCAAGACAAAAATCAAACAGCTGTTATTCTCTTATTGTTATGAGCTCAGACTGTCAGCTTTTAAGTTCATCTGCAGAGGGATTTGAATTAAAACAAGTTGAAGCAATGTGCTGTAAGAGGGAGGTAACTTTTACATGCATGTAATGACCAGTTTGTTTTCTCCTGTGAACCAGTTGGTCTAACTGGTACCAAGTACGGCTGTGGAGGAGGAGGATGTGGAGCCTGCACCGTCATGGTGTCCAGATACAACCGCAGCCAGGAGAAAGTTCAGTATCCTTTTGTGCTTTTGTAATCAGGATTAATGTGAACTGTGAGGGTTCTTGATATTCAGGAGAAGCCTGCAAAATAAAGTTTGTTACAGTCCAATCAATCATTCAATCTGGTTTCGATTTGTGAGGACCTGGCTGGATTGTTGAACAAGTCTGCAATCAAAGAAAGCTGCTGAATCCCTGACCTTTGAACCCTGCAGACATTATACTGTGAACGCCTGCCTGCAGCCCATCGTCACCCTGCATGGAGCGGCCGTGGTGACAGTCGAAGGCATCGGCAGCACAAAGACCAAACTGCATCCTGTTCAGGTAACAAGTTTTTCGGATGCACCTTTTTCTCACTGCCGTGTGGCAGTTTTTACCGCCTGTGTGTGTTTGCAGGAGCGCATCGCAAAGGCTCACGGCTCTCAGTGCGGCTTCTGCACTCCGGGGATGGTGATGTCGATGTACACCCTGCTGAGGAACAAACCTCAGCCCAGCATGGAGGACATCAGGGAGGCTTTAGGAGGTAAAAACACACAGATGGACATTAAACTGACACCAGAAGGCTGTGAGCAGATTTTACTCAGTTTTCTAACCATATCTTCCCTTTGACTAACAGAAAAAAACGAGCTTTTCATTGAGGTGAAATCAGGATTTCTGCACAGGCAGAAGTTTTGTAGGAGAAGGAGACTCTTAGGAAGAATTTTGGTAACAAACTTTTAGTGAAACTACTCAGATATATTTTGTACGTCTTTGAGCTCATAAGAAACCTCACTAAAGATTTTCTCTGCAGCAAATTAGCAAAGCTTTTAGTCACACAGCAACATTGTGCATTTTTGAATGTTTTCTTGTCTTGTTTTGAGAAAATTAGCAGAAAATTCAGTAAATTTAACATCCTTGTGTAATATTTCAATAGACAAGTGCACTTACGTGTCCATGCCTGCATCAGCATTAATTATAAGACTCAAACGCACATAATTGTTCTCAGTCTCAGTTTTCAGTCTGATGACCTTCTCATTTAATCCAGGGAATCTCTGTCGCTGCACCGGCTACAGACCGATTATTGACGGATTAAAGACTTTTTGTGGACATGAGGTGAGTGCTGAATGGACCTGTGTTCATCATTCACACACTACGGTTCTCATGTGACTTAGGTGATTTAACATTTGAGCTCGTACTAAGGCTGCATGATCAGAGCAGAGAAATGAAGACTGCATGTTTAGAAAGTGATTGTAGGAGGACTTTCTTTCTGCAGACATTGGGCTGCTGCCAAAACGGAGGAGGAGAGGGGGAATGTTGTTTGGAAAATGGAACGAATGACTCAAAAAATGGCGAGGAAAGTGATGTAAGTCTAAACATATCAACTACTACATATTTTTACAGCTGTTTTACATTTGTGGTCAGCGGATAATTGTTGGTTTTGAATTGTTGGTTTTGTCTTTTCTCAGATCTGCCAGGAGCTTTTCCAAACTGACCAGTTCTTACCTCTGGATCCCTCTCAAGATCTCATCTTCCCTCCTGAGCTCATGGTGAAAAGACAAAACCTCTGAACAGCCTTGACCTGAGAGTAAAATAAAGAAAACATGCAATCAATCATTCGATTTTCTTTCTTTTTGTAGATTATGGAGAGAAAGCTCAGCAGGGACACTCTTTGTTTCAGTGGAAAAAGAGTAAAGTTGTTTTTTCCTCTGGAGCTGTGGCATCTCCTGGAGCTGAAGGCTGAGCATCCTGCAGCTCCGCTGATAGTCGGAAATACAACTATTGGTACCGCAGCTGTAATCTCTTTAATAGAACAGACATAATTCATTGAATCCTGACAGATTAGAGGAGAGGAAACACATGTTATGATTTAGCTGATTGTTGTCATGAACATGTTTCTGAGCAGGACCAAAGATGCTCCTAAAAGGGGTCCATCATCCTCTGGTGATCTACGCTGGAAGGATTTCTGAGCTCAGAGCAGTGAAATGGGGGGACAACGGTGGGTGTCTTCTTTTCATCTCCACCAAAGAAAGTGTCTCTAAATCCTCATTTCTCTCATTTCTGTCGGGGAATACTGAAGCGTTTTCATTTGTTTCCAGCCTCCAAATAAAGGATCTTTTGCCAGAATGAGTCTGGCTATGAACATTTTGCAACCAACGCAATTCATGCCAAAGTCAAATAAAAGCGCTCAGACTCATGCATCAGACGTGTTTTCTGCAGGTGTGACGGTCGGCGCCGCCTGCAGCCTCAGCTCTCTGCAGGAGGAGATGCAGGGGGCCGTGGAGGAGATGGAGGAGGAGAAAACTAGAGGGTACCGGGCGCTGCTGGAGATTCTCCGGTGTCTGGCGGGGAAACAGATAAGAAACATGGCGGTGAGTTATAACCAAGTTTTCTGATATTTCCTCTCTGATACTTTGATCAGACTAAATCACTAACTGTCTGCAGACTGTTGGAGGGAATATCCTCAGTGCAAACCCCAAATACGACCTCAGCAGTGTTTTAGCCGCTCTGGACAGCACTCTGCACGTCATCTCCAAAGGTGAGTTTCCTTCTGTATGTTGTTTTTTGAGCTGAATCTGCGTCTTTTTCTCAAGTTTTATTTTGCCACTTTTTTGGGAGTTATTTCAACTTAACTTGTGTCTTTTTTGGCAGCGTTTCTAGACCTAGCACTTGACCTTTTGATTTGATAATCTGAGATTATAATGAGTAAATTAGCGTATCTAATGTGGATGTAAAAACTCAGAATGTGTGGACAGAGTAGTATAAATCATCTGATACTCTGAAAAGGTCAAAACAGATGTTATTAGACTGTTACAAATGCATTTTACTCTTGACTTTACTGAAGGTTAAGTTTGGTATGAGTTAAAAAGGGGGGGGGGTGAATATCATGAGGAGCGACTGATTTTTTTCTGGGATTTTAAGGTCATGAATTTGACATTTAGGCGGGAAAAAAAAAACGTGATCACTCTGAGGTTATGAAGTTAACATTTTGGAGAAGTAACTTGTAAAGTGTCTGAGATGAAAGTCTTCAAGTGAAATAAAGTCTGAGACATTAAAAAACACGAGACTTAGGTGTGCTTAGCAGTTCAATCCTGGGTCGTCTCTGTTTTTCTGCTTCCGTCTTCAGATGGGATGAGGAGCGTCCCCTTAGATGAGAAACTGTTCACCGGCTTTGGAAAAACCTCCATCAGACCCAACGAAGTCCTCCTGTCCATCGACATCCCGCTCACCAAACCTGTGAGACCTCCTGCTTTAACTTTCCCTCTTTTTCTGTCAGAGCAAAAACAGACAAAATCAGAATTTACAACATCACTAAAGATAGGCGATGAGTTAGTGAAACAGATCGTTCAGTTCTCAGAGTTCAATTTTACACAGTTTCAACTCCAGCATTTAGCATGTATGCATGTCCGCACATCCTGGAAACATCACACCTCCAGTCCCGCCCTTCCTCAGAGTGGCTCATTTAACTGCGAACATGAGTGAGTCTGAAAGTGTTTGGTGTTTGGTCCTCAGGGGGAGTTTGTGGCGGCGTACCGACAGGCCCAGAGACGAGAGTTTTCCTTCTCGTTTGTGAACGTCGGGATGAAAGTGGTCATCAGGGAGGGGACCGACGTTACAGAGTCCCTGAACCTTTTCTATGGTGGAGTTGGGTCGACTCTGGTCAAACCCAGACAGACGTGTCAGAAACTCATCAGACGGTAAGTTTGAAATCCAGGAGGCAGAAGTTCTTTCACCTGAGGAGACCTTGGTAAGCTTTCTGCAGTGCAGTAAGAGTCACTGTTTTCCAGGGCTTGGAGGGAGGATCTTCTTGATGACGCCTGCAGATTCCTGAAAGAAGACCTGGACGTTCCTTCATCCATCCACGGAGGCCGAGCCGAGTATCGCAAAACCCTCGCCATCAGCTTCTTCTTCAAGTTCTACATGCAGGTCGCTCTGGAGCTGAAAAAGAAGGTGGGTGAAGCTGCAGCAAAGGCGGAACAGAGATGCTGCAGAGTCAAAATAAATACTCTTGTTTTGTAGGGGGTCTCAGATGTTGAGTTACCTCCAGAGTATCTCAGCGCTCTCAAGTCCTTCAAGAACAAAGTCCCGCAGGGTCGGCAGTCCTTCCAGGTTTGTAGTCACGCTGCAGAGCTGAACACCTGTGCAAAAACTGTAAACCGTTGATCTGCATGTTCCTCCTCTTCTTCCTCTGCAGCTTGTATCAGAGACCCAGCCTTTCACAGACCCCGTAGGACGTCCCAGCATGCATCAGTCTGCTTTCCAACAAGCTACTGGTGAAGCAAAATACTTTGACGACCTGCCGCCGTTCCAGGGAGAGCTCTTCATCTTCATGGTGACAAGCACCAGAGCACACGCTGAAATCATGTGAGCGGAAATTAAAAGATATAAAATACCTACTCTGTTTGACCGCTCAGTCTGACCACGACTATCTGTGGTCTTCAATCAGAAACATCGACCCGTCAGAGGCTCTGAGGATGCCTGGTGTTGTCACTTTCATCTCAGCTAAAGATGTCCCCGGAGCGAACCGTAGACTTTGGTTCAATAACCCAGAGGAGCTCTTCGCAGCAGAGGAGGTGCTTCAAGATCCACAAACTCTTCCAGCTGTAACACAGAGAGATCTGATGGTCTGGTTTATTCTGCAGGTGATCTGTGTGGGTCAGATCCTTGGTGCGGTTGTTGCAGAGAGCAGAGAGGAGGCCAGGAGAGCAGCTCAGAAGGTCCAGGTCACCTACCAGGACCTCCAGCCTGTCTTCTTCACCATAGAGGTTTTATAAACCATAAACCACTGACTTAGAAATTTAAAATCTGGCCTTAATCCGAGAAATGGAGGGAAAGTAACTGTCATTTCTGAGCAGTGATATTTCATTTCCAGGATGCGATAAAGCACGAGTCTTACTTTGAACCCAAACGGAAGGTGGAGCGAGGCAACGTCGATGAAGCCTTAAAGCGAGCGGAGCATCTTCTGGAGGGTAAACCTGTGAACTCAAAAGCTTGAAATCTATTTTAAAAACTTTAAAAAATATCCTGGAACAGAGTTTCATCCTGTATCGGTTTGCAGGTGAGATCTACATGGGCGGTCAGGAGCATTTCTACATGGAGACTCAGGGGCTGGTCGCTGTTCCCAGAGGAGAAGATGAAGAGATGGACGTGTTTGTGGCCACTCAGCACGCCGCCTTCACTCAGGTCAGAGGATGTCTTGAACTAAAAATTTAATTGAACTCAAAGTTTATCTTCAGGCTGGTTTTATTTCTGCCTCACCAGGAGCTGGTCGGCTTGGCTCTGGGTATCGACTCCAACAAGATCAGCTGTCATGTGAAGCGTCTGGGCGGAGGGTTCGGAGGAAAAGTGATGAAGATCGCCTCTCTGTCTGCTATCACTGCAGTCGCTGCACACAAGTATGAAAAATCACCTCAATCATACATTTTTAAAACAGCTTCTGACTAATAACTTTAAATTCTGAACATGAACTTCCACAGAACCGGCCGGGCTGTGCGCTGCTGCCTGGAGCGAGGAGACGACATGCTGATTACCAGCGGCAGACATCCGTTCCTTGGAAAGTATAAGGTATCATCAGAGGTATCATCATCATTAATCTGTGCAGGCGTGTTACCTTTGATTTGACTGTGGATCTAACATTTAATAAAAGCACACAGAGCACGATGTACAAGTTTCTTTTTTACAATTATGACCAAAAATGTTCACAACCTGAGTAAATAATCCCTGCAGAGTAAAGACATTATTTGGAGACACTTCTGCTGATTTGTTCCCACCAAAAGTGCAGCTCTGTCCTGACAGAGTTCATCTCCACCTCCAGGTTGGATTCAGCAGCAATGGCACCGTCGTAGCAGCAGACATCACCTACTACAGCAACGCAGGCTGCACACTGGATGAATCAGCGTTTGTAAGTCAGGAGAAAAGTGTTTTCAAAGATGTTGAAATAAAATGTGCCCGTCTCAAAAAACGTGCATGTTGACTCTTTGAAAGAAGATCTATCTGCTGCTGTTTTTGTCAGATCTTAGATAAAGCTCTCCTCCACATGGACAACGGCTACAAGATCCCGAACTTGCGCGGTCGAGGCTTCATGTGTAAGACCTTCCTGCCCTCTTACACGGCTTTCCGAGGCTTCGGTGGTCCTCAGGGTCTGATGGTGATGGAGAGCGTCCTGCATGAGGTGGCTGTACATTGTGGACTGCCTGCTGAGAAGGTCAGGGGTCACCAGGGAGACGCTTTCTTTGACAAAATATCCGTCAGTGAATTGAAGCCTGAAAAAATGTTTGCTATGTCACGTCAAAGGTCCGAGACGTCAACATGTACAGGGAGGAGCTGAGCTACACTCACTTCAAACAGCCTTTCAACCCGACCTACATGATCCGCTGCTGGGACGAGTGTCTGCAGAGAGCAAACTACGAGGAGCGACTGCGAGCCGTGCAGCTGTTTAACTCCTCCAACCACTGGAGGAAGAGAGGTATCGCCGCTGTGCCGCAGAAGTTTGGAATCGGCTTCTCTAAAGGTTTCTACAATCAGGTGAGCAGGAGAAATCAACCTGAAATGATGATGAGACGGAGTCTTTTTGAGGACCTGACCATAAAGGTAGAAGAGGAGGTGGACCGTACTGATGATATGTCTCCTCCAGGGTGCTGCGTTGGTGAACATCTACAAAGACGGCTCAGTTCTGGTCTCACATGGGGGGGCAGAGATGGGTCAGGGCATCAACACTAAAGCCATACAGGTGAGTCAAGGTCCCAAAAGGCTCAGAGGGTCTCAGAGGAGTCTGTAAAAGAATAACATTTCTTTATTTCACAGACGGCCAGCCGAGTCCTCATGGTCCCCATGTCCTCCATCTTCATAAAAGAGACGTGTACCGGAAACGTCCCCAATGCTGCACCTTCGGCTGCTTCGTTTGGCACAGACGCCGTCTGCATGGCTGTCAAGGTTCCTGAAAATCAGATCAACAGTGATGCAAAGTTCCCTCATGAATTTATATGTTTAATGTGATAAATTAACTTGATAAGAAGCTGTGATTGTTCTCTCTCAGGATGCTTGTGAGAAGCTGATGAAGCGCCTGCAGCCGCTGATGGAGACGAAGCCGAGAAATACCTGGAAACAATGGGTAACATCGCAGAGCGTTATTGTCAAAACTGTCACTTAAAATGCTTTGTTTGGTGTGTTAAGGATATTAAAAACAGTCTTTGCTGCAGTTTTTTGCAACTTTGACTACATGAAAGCAGTCGTGCAGCATGTGTGTGTGTGTGTGTGTGTGTGTGTGTGTGTGTGTGTGTGTGTGTGTGTGTGTGTGTATAGACTGATTTAACTCCAGCTGGTTTAAATCTTGTCCCCCGGGAAGAACTGGACAAAGTGGCCCAGGAGAGGGAAGTCTGGGCTTCTCTGCTCAGGATGCTGCTCCTGCGACCCGACCCTGGATAAGTGGTTGAAGATGGATGGATGGATGGATGGATGGATGGATGGATGGATGGATAGTTTAAATCTGTACCTGGTAAACCTGTAACTGAAAGCTGAAATCGATTTCTCTGCAGGTCACAGAAGCTTACTTGGAGAAGATCAGCCTCTCTGCCACCGGGTTCTTCATGTATGTAACTTGAGTTCGTCTCTCTGTCTTTCAAACCTGTATTTTCTGCTCCGCTTTAATTGATGCACCGTGTGTCTGTGTGCTGCAGGGGACCACCCACTTATGTCGACTGGGAGAAAGGTGAAGGTCAGGCATATTACTACTTCTCCTTTGGCGCCTGCTGCTCTGAAGTGGAGATCGACTGTCTCACCGGGGATCATACGGTACCTTCGAAACCAAAATTAGATCCACAGATTAAGATTTTACAGAATCAGAACAAAAAGAGACGTTTACCTTATAAACATAAAATTTGATTGAAACGTCGCTCGTGTGCTGCAGAACATCAGAACCGACATCGTGATGGATGTGGGGAGGAGCATCAATCCTGCTCTGGACATTGGACAGGTACATTCACAATACCTTCTCCTCAGCTCAGTTAGGATGAGTTCAAAACTGAACTTTCTCTCCTTTGTTTACACCATTCGTGTTGTTCTTGCCTTGGAGAGGAATAAAATAAAGTTTCATGAGTCTGTGCCTGATGTCTACCAGGTGGAAGGAGGATTTGTCCAGGGTCTGGGTCTGTACACCATCGAGGAGCTGCAGTTCTCCTCAGACGGCGTCCTGATGACCAGAGGACCATCTCAGTACAAGATCCCGGCTCTCTGTGACGTCCCGGCTGAATTTAACGTCCACCTTCTCAGTGATGCAGAAAACCCCAACGCCATCTACCACTCGAAGGTGCTGTCTCACTTCTTCAGATTCTCCTCTCTTGATTGTTTTCTCTGATACCCTCACAAAAAGGTCTTGACGGAAGACTCTTGTCGTTTCAGGGCATCGGCGAGCCTCCAGTTTTCTTCGGCTCCACCGTCTTCTTCGCCATCAAGGCGGCGATCGCAGCGGCCCGCAGAGAGCGAGGCCTCGGGGAAAGTTTCCCTCTGAGCTCACCTGCTACAGCCGAGAAGATTCGCATGACCTGTCAGGACCAGTTCACTGAGATGGTGTGAAACCAGTCCGTGGTCCATGTAGCTGGGACTAAAATACACTTAAAAATATCTTAAAGTAAAACTTTGACTTTTAGAAACAAACAACATTTTCCCAATTCTTTGACTTCTTCTAGATACAATAAATAACCAGCTTATCTAAAAAATAACAGAAGAGTGAATCACTTCTAAAAAATATTGATTAGAAAGAACCCTACGCCAACAATTCACCAAGTTTTACAACAAAATAACCCCGCCTTGGTCTCATTGAAGACGTGCTGTGTAATAACTCCAGTTATCATGTTTGTATTTGTATTTTAAAGGTAGAGATCATCTGATAAAGTATGTCTTTTTTTCCTAAGTCAGAGTTAAAGCTCAGATACTTGATCTGAAAAAGTTTTAAAAAATAATTTAATGTCGGCGTACTGAAGGAAAAAGGTCAAATTTCGCTCTTAAACTTGATGACTGAGTGAGAAAATAAAAAGATCTGAAAAGTCTGAAGTTGGTGTAGTACAGCTTTCTAAAACCATGCTGAACAGTATAAACATACGTGTATCCTCTAACCTGCTCATTTCAAACTCCTCCCTAACTTCTCTCCTGTCGCTCTTTCAGGCGTCCTCCTCCACAGACGAGGCTTCCACCCCGTGGTGCATCGACATGTGATCCTCCTCGGTCCACAAAAAGACAAATCTGTGTTACTTTACAGTCTGTCATGGTTTGGTTTGGCTGTGCTGTTAAAACTGTCTCAGTGATCTTAAATAAATTAAAAAAAAAAACACAAACAGGGTTCAGTTTTCATGTTTGAGTGCTGGTTGGTTATTTATTCAGTCATACTGACGGTTCGGAGTACAAACAGTTCACATACATTTATTGTTAGACAGAGATAAGTGCATTAAACTAAAATGAGCCTACATTTCGTGCTTGTTAGTTTTTTTAAATGAAAACATCTGTTTTTATTTGTAATTATTGTTAGTTTTCCTTCATTTACAGTCAGTTCAGCTTATTTTGAACACAGAGAGTTTCAGATGTCTAAGGCCCACGGTTTGAAAGATCCTGGTTTGCTGGCTGGAATCTGAAAATGTCGTAAAAGAGAAAAAAAAAAAAAACATTAAAAAAATAATAGATGGCTGAAATAAAAGGTGAGCGTATAATCTGTTCCCTCATCCTCTCTCTATCAGCAATAAAACTGTTTGATCTGAACTTCACCTCTTTTACTCTTTTAAATGGTTAAAAAGCAAACAGATGATTACGAAGACGACGGTAAATTTAGCAGCAAGAGAGACTCTGACTCAATCAAACCAAAATGCAGAAATTCAGATTTTCAGTCTGAAACTCTGATGACACACTAAATAAATTAAATCCAGACTTTTCAATGACTTTTAAAACTTTTCAAGACCCTGAGGACACCCTGTCTGTGTTACAGTTTTTACCTTCTGCGTGAACGGGGATGCACAAGCGAGACACGTCTTCTCCGGTGTTGCAGGGCTGTTCAGGGTAAACAGACCAGTTAACCCGGCGTCCGAGCGTGCGGCAGTCACAGCGTCTTTGATGGCAAAGAAGACGGAGCTGCCGAGGAAGAGGACCGGTTCTCCGATCCCCTACAGGACCAGCACAGAGACTGATTTACAGGCGGATCGATCCAAGCACAGCGGCAGTGTGAAATAACTGGGGCTAAAGTGTGTATCTGACCTTCGAGGAGTAGATGGCGTGGGGGTTGTGGGAATCTGGCAGCAGGTAAACATTGAAGCTAAGCGGCATGTCGCACACCGCAGGGATCTTATACTGAGACGGCCCTCGAGTGTACAGGACCCCGGAGGGGGAAAACTTCAACTCCTCCAACGTGTACAGACCCAAACCCTGCATGAACGCTCCTTCGATCTGCGAGAGGAAGTGAGGGAAAGAAGACAAAGAAATTTCAGTGATTTAAAGAAACTCGGGAGGAAAAGGTGATAAATCTCCTCACCTGTCCGATGTCCACTGAGGGGTTCACACTTCTACCGATGTCGACCACGATGTCTGTCCTCACCGTCTACATGCGAGAAAAGCCAAAGAAACATTCAACACTCGGATGAATTTGATGATTAAACTGGAAAAAGATAAAACTGCTCTGACCCTGTAGTCTCCAGTCAGACAGTCCAGCTCCACCTCGCTGCAACACGCTCCAAAGGTGAAATAGGCGTAAGGCTGACCTTCCATTTTCTCCCAGTTCATGTAGAGGTCATGACCTCTGAAGACACACAGAAAGCTGAAAGTTCAGCCTAAAAACTTTAAAAACTGATCAAACCTGATCTCTGTCTCTCCCACCTGTAGAATCCGGTCGCAGATAAACTGATTTTCTCAAAAAACGCAGCGTTGACCTGACAACAGAATGAAGAATCATTCTTTCTGGTTCTGATGCATTAGATTTCAGCTCTCCATTTCTCATTCAATCATACCCATTTCTCCCATGATCCTTTGGGGTTCCTCTCCCTGATGGGCTTCAGTCGCTGGTAGAGAATCTGGCAGGCGTTCTGAATGAAAAATAATTAAAAGTGATACTCAACGTCGTGAAGGTTTAAAAGTAAGACGTGACGGAGAACTATGAATGAACTCTACCTGGACCGCCATGCCGTTGGCGTCCGTGCCAAAAGAGGCGGCAGACGGGCAGGTGTTGGGGACTGTGTTGGTGCTGGTTTCACTGATGTAGACCTTCGAAGGTGGGATATGGAGCTCCCGACTCGCCACCTGACAGAAAGTGGGAGACAAATCCAGACAGAGAGAAGAGTACTCGATATATCCTTCACAAATATTAAAGGTGCAGTGCACAGAAACAGGAATCTTACCTGCTGCATTTTGGTGTGGACCCCCTGACCCATCTCTGTCCCTCCATGTGTGACCAGCACAGAGCCGTCTTTGTAGATGTGGACCAGAGCTGCAGCCTGTTTCACACACACACTAAATAACTTTAATAACCTGAAATGCTGGAGATAAATCAGAGTTGTGTTTTAATAAACTGAACCCACAGACCTGATTTAGGAAGCTCTCTGCAAAACCAATCCCGTATTTGATGGGGATGATGGACATGCCTCTCTTCTTATGGCGGTTCTGCTGGTTAAACTGGTCGGCGGCTCTGCAGCGAGCATTAAACTCGGCCCTGGTCTTACACTCTTCCCAGCAGCGCAGCATGTTCTCCGGGTCAAAGGCAAATTTGCTGGGAGTCACTGACGGCCCTCTGTACATGTTGATCTCTCGAATCTGAGGAAACAGGAGTTCACAGAAATGCTTTTCTGCTTCATATATGAACCAAGTTCAGAGTTCAGCAGAAAAAACGGACTCAAACCTGATCAGCGGGGCGACCCAGAACCATCGCCACGTCGTTAATCATGTTCTCAATCACCAGCAGGCTCTGCGGCACGCCAAAGCCCCTGAAGGCCGTGTTGGAGGGCAGGTTAGTCCTGCAGGTTTTGGTTCGGCCGCGCAGATTCGGGATGTTGTAGGCGTTGTCCATGTGAAGAACCATCTTCTCTGCAACCTGCAAGACAAAAAAGAGGGATTTACCTGAAATATTCAACACCTGAGCGATAAAGTCGGCTGCTTTTTAACCAACCAGGAGAGACTCGTCGACGGTGTTGCCGGCGTTGCTGTAGTACTGCACATCTGCGGCCACGATCCTCCCGTCTTTCATGAACCCGACCTGCAACGAACAGCAGTGGACTGTCAGAGTTCTGAAAAAAGGAGACGCTGGGCTGAATTAGAGATGTTTTTTTTTTTGTACTTTGTATTTCCCCAGGACGGGGTGTCGGCCTCCTGTGATCAACATGTCCTCTCCTCGCTCCAGCACGCAGCGCACTGCACGGTTGGTCCTGAGGAGTGAAATTAACCCGATTTATGATCACGTCTTTTTCCATACGATTCCTCACTCAGCTCCTGATAAGATTTGAGTTCATGACTCACTTCCATGCAGCCACAGAGGTGATGCTAGCCAGCGTGGCGGTTTTGGAGATCTTCCCGCCAAAGGCCCCACCCATCCTTTTGACATGACAGTTGACTCTGTTGGATGGGACGCCCAAAGTCGCTGCAACTACATCCTGAAGAGTAAAAATTAATAATCCACCTCATTGATTCACAAACACAGAGAAGAAACTTTAGCTGAGCCTTTAAGTCTTTATTAATTCGTGTCACTGTGAGTCATCCAAATTACAGCATGTCTGAAAATGTGTGTGTACCTGTGTCAGAGTCGGCCACTGACTGGAGACGTACACATTGAACTCTGTCTCCTCTCCCACTGGGACGACCAGCATGCTTTGCGTCTCCATGTAGAAATGCTCCTGCCCTCCCAGCCTAATCTCTCCTGAGTAAACCGTCACAGAGAGGAAAAAAACAAAGTTTGGAAAACAGGAAACTGTCACCGCTTTGAGCAAAACAAACTAAAAACTAAAACTAAAAAAACTAAAAAAGTTAGGGAGTTTATTTGTGAACTGTAACTCAACATTAGCAGATGGATATAGGAGAGTAGAAAGAGACAAATGTTTACCTTCATGTATTTGATCAGCGGTTTGAAAAGCTTCAGTCACGTTTCCTCTCTCGAGTGTCCTCCCAGGCTCAAAAAACAATGACCTCTCCACGGCCGCCTGCCTCAGAGAAACGACAAACGCACTTTAGACTGACTGATAAATGGGACACAAACTTTCGACCTGACAAACGTTTTCAGGAGGACAGGCTTAATAATCACTGCAGAGGAACTAAACTGAAAAACAGCTGAAAGAGCTGTGAAAAGATGCTATCAAGATTCTGACCTCTATGGTGAAAACCGGGTCAGGCAGATCCTCGTAGCTGATCTTCACGGCGTAGGCTGCTCGCTTAGCGTGCTCTCTCGAATCAGCGACTACCCCACACACCACCTGACCGACACACGACACCTGCAGACAAACAACAGTTGTACAATTTCTCTGGTGTATTTTGTATCAGTCAGTTCAGAGTGTTGACTCCAGACAGCAGAGATCCAGCAGGAAGGTGAATTTCCGAACTCATGTCCACTGTGAAACTTCACCTCTTTCTGAGCAAGGAGGTCATCCTCGTAGCCGAACATGGACACCACTTTTTTTCCAGGAATATCTTCAGCTGTGATGACGTCAACAACACCAGGAAGCTTCAGAGCCTCGCTCACATCCAGCCCGCTGTCGGACCAAATCAATATTTTAAAAAAAGGATTTACGTCCAAAACATTCAACAGATGATTTGTAACTTTCCCTTCTCTGCTTACGTGATTTTGGCGTGTGCTCGGGTGCTGGTGACCAGAGACAGGAAGAGCTCCCCGTCTGTGGGAGGCATGTCGTCACAGTAAATGGCCTCACCGGTGGCTTGGCTGAGTGCAGAGCGATGCATGACGGGACGTCCCACTGGATCGTTTTCACTTTGGTCCTTTGACACATGCTGATAAAGAGGAAGTCGGTTTATTTTTGATGACTACCAAAGTAGAAACACAGTCATGCTCGCTGCTGTTTCAGTATCGTTGAGTTTCCTGCAGCAGATTTCTGACCTGGAACTCCTGCAGGCTGGGCTCGATCACTCTGGGTAACGGCTCCACCGGCGTCTCCTCTGGGAGCTCGTCTCTTATCACTCCCTGTAAAAATACAACCACATCATTCATCTCCGCTCCAACCACTGAGCCGTAAAGAGCTGCACTTTCTGTCCTACCATCTCTCTGAGCTTCTGCAGGACCTCCAGGTTGAACTTGAAGAGAAAGCTGAGCGATAAGGAGCGACGAAACTCCACCTTTCCTCCAGGAGCTGAAGGAGGGAGGTCCAACTCCTCCAGGAGGACGTCGTAGGCCTGGCTGAGGGTGTCATCGTCCCACGGCCTGGAGGACACAAGAATCTTTAGAGAATAAATGGAGGAGAAAAGGAAGTAGGACAGGAAAGGGAAAAAGAGGAACCTTGTCATGATGGCGGCACAGGTTTTTGCAGCGCTGACGGTTGTCGGTCCCATTCCTCCGTAATAAATACTGAGATCCTGAACGAGGCGGGACCCCTCACAGAAAAACACCCTCATCCCGGACGTCACTGTGGCAAAAGAGGTCTCCTTCCTGGGAGCCTGACGGTAAACTCTGATAAACTCCCCCTGCAGGACAGACGACTGGGTCATTTGGAAAGTTTTTATGACATAAACGGTTCAAAAAGTAAAAAATTGGACTTTGTTTGCTTTTGTATAAATAAAACAAAAAGAAGATGGAGATCAGGAGCAGTGACACCCGAAAAAGTATCTTTAAGGGAACACCTCAACTTTGTTTTTATCCAAATATTACATGTAACTCTTATTAAATATTACAGCATAGAGCGACGGTCTTACCTTTCTAGTAAACGGAATAAAAACAGAGACGATGATCTCCTCCGGCCTCAGGATGGTTTTACAAAAGCCCACAAAAAAATCTTGGTTCAGAGGGACTTCCCGCCTTCCTTCTGAAAGATACAGAACCAAATGTGTGAACTTCACTTCTCTTAAGTTGTCAGAGATTTCCTGAAAATGCAGCTAAACTCCTAAACTCTAAACTCACCGTTTGAAATGACGCTGACTTTGCATTTCCCAGCAGCCAAAACCGGGTTCAGGTCTGAGTTTGGATAGGCACTGATGATCTGACCCCCGAGAGACTAAAAAAACAAAGTCAGGTCAAAATATTTTCCTCTAAATTCTTGACTTCAAAAACTTTTTACAATAAAAACTCCCTCAAATATGAATCAGTTATAATTCTACATACTTTATATTCTACTGCGCAGTTTTCCAACAAAGTAGTCAAGACTTTAAGGAAAGCGGAGAAAGAAAAATAAAGACAAATTTGACTGAAAATACTAAATAAAAGTTAATATTAGGTCTCATTACAGCAACGTTTCGGATCTGCACACTCCCCAGGTTTCCCAGCTGTTTGACCAGAGCTCTGAACAGTTCGGTTTTCTCCTTTGGAAACTGAGGGACAAGCTTCTCCATCAGGGATCGAACCTCGGCTAAAGAGACGCCAGCGCCCACCCAAACCCCTGCGGAGAAACAAGAGTGATCGAGCTGCAAGTTTGAGGGGACGTTTCTTTTCCTTTCACGACATTAACAGAAAAAACTCAAGCTTTTATTTAACAGAGGGGTCTGAAGATCAGCAAAAAAACTGAATTATTTTCTCTTGGATTCAGAACAACTGAAAAATTCAGCGTAAAAGCAGGTAACTCACCTTTGGGTGTGTGAGTGACCTCAAACAGTTCCTTCACTCTGATTGGAGAGATAATGAACGGATGCATAACGCCTTTGAATTTTATATCTGGACCTTTAACACAGAGTGGAGCAGATAAATCAAACTGTTCTAATCATAAAATGACAATAAAATACCAAACACACAACTGTGATAAGCTCCAAATGAGATATGATGAGTTTTTTTTTCTTCCTGCTCACCTATGTTAGTGTTCCCCATGACCAGTGGAGCTTTTGGGTTTCTGGTCTTCAGCTGAACCAGCTCCTCCAGAGTGACGGGGGCCACCCAGCTCATCCTCTCCCCGTGAAAGGTGAGGGTCTGCGGGGTCTCTTTTTCAGCCATCAGCTGTCGAGAGAGAGCGAGAGCCGGTTTTAAACCAAACGTAATTACAACATGATAAAGTTAAAGTTTAAGTCATTCACCTGTTTAAAAACGACTTTTTCTCTTACATAACGAATGAAAATAAAAAAAACAGATAAAGGAAATCTTTTGTTGGGAGCCGGCTGTGACACAAAAACCTAAACGTGAGTCCAAACTGTAATTATAAAACACTTTCTGACAACTTACGATCAGTTCAGGAGGGAAGATCAGCTCCTGGGTCGGATCCAGCGGCAGAAGTTTCTCTTTGTCAAACAGCTGTGGTGGATCCTGAGGAAGATGATGAGAGCATGAGAAGACAGAAAAATCAAACACTGAAACACGATCCACCTGGATCGGACAAAAAGACAGAAATCACAAACACCACTTCAACTCACCTGCGCCGGTTCATCGTTACGATTCCCTCCATTCAGACAGCAGTTTCCGTTTTCTGTCACTTTGCAGCAGTTTGTTTCCTGTTTTGACGGGACACTGACACTGAACTTCGAACCACACTGTCACATAACACCAGATTTTGTAACTGGAACAACTGGACTCTGCTGATTAATCCCTTTTTTCCTATAACTGTTTGCCTCCAGATCTGAAACTTTAATAGTGTAACAAAAACAGTCTCACAAACAGAGTTAATCTTTGTACCTGACAGAAAGTCCTGCAGCCGTCCACGATTGGCCGATAACCGGTGCAGCGACACAGATTTCCTGAAGAGCAAACAGAGACAATGAGGACAAGGCTGGCTGCAGATCTAGGACATGCAGGGTCAGTGTGCAACACTTCAAAATAATGAGAAACTATTTATAACTTCACAAGAGTTTAAATAACTCAATTACAACCTCTTTAAAGAAGTCATAAGATCCAAATAATCCACTTTCTTTTACATCTGTTACTCATAATACTGCCTCTTAGTATCACAGGAGAGAAAATTTAACATATTTCAGGTTAAACTAACCAGCCAGAGCCTCCTGGATGTCCTCCATGTTGGGCTGAGGTTTGTTCCTCAGCAGAGTGTACATGGCCATGACCATTCCCGGGGTGCAGAAACCACACTGAGAGCCATGAGCCTTCGCTATCCGCTCCTGCATTTTGGTAGAAAAATCACTCTTTTGGATGAGGGTTCAAAATCTGCACAAATTAAAAATGGTTACCTCATATTCAGACCTGATTCCTGCAAAGACAGAGTCCTATTTACACTTCTATAGACATACTTGCTTACTAGACATAGCTCTGTGCAAAAAGATTTTTAAAAAGGTGTTTTATTCTTCTAAAAGAAGAGAAACCTGTCTTAATTTCTTTCAGATTTCTTGCATAAATTTGCAGACATTGACTAATACTGGGGAAATTGTGTGGGATTTAAAGTTGCTCCAGAAGGCAAGTGAAGAGGTGATGATTTCCAGCTCAATATTTTTCACAAAGAAAATTAAAATCTTTATATTTTTGGTCTATCTTGGAGGCCTGAAAGAGCGAGCTGAGTACGTAAATCCAATTTGCATCTACGAATTTCAACATGTGTGCAAATGCAGCCAATGATACTGAGAATAGGTCTGTGTCTGACCTGTACGGGGTGGATTCTGGTCTTGGTGCTGCCGATGCCCTCCACCGTGGTGATGGCGGCTCCATGAAGCTGGCAAAGCGGCAGCAGGCAGGCGTTAGCTGAAAAATGACTGACACGGTGGAGGAAACATGATTTAATCAATTACAGGGGTCAAGTGTAAGGTGGTCCAACTCATTTCTCAACTTGGTGTCTCTTTGTAGTCGTGTCATTAGTCGTATTGTGGCTATTTCACTTCCTGGTGCTGTTTAATTCCTCCTTTTACTTCAAAAGCGTCTCCTCATCAATGTTGTGCACATGTTTGGCGTTGTTATGTGTCTCTGTGTAGTCTTTCTAGAGAATTCGGAGTACAGTTGATGTCCAACAACTGTTTTTCATTTGGCTCAGTGTGTGTGTGTGTGTGTGTGTGTGAGACTGTCTCAGACAGATGCTGTGTTGGTTTGGAGCCAGAATGGAAAATTACAAACAGTCACCATAGAAATTCAGTGTAGTATTCACATCTGAACTCTTCAGTGTTGTGTAAAAATCAATCTCTGTTATAAAAACTGACATATTTTTCAGCAATTGGATAAATATCAATGACAATAGTGCTCAGTTTGTTGAGTAATCGCTCTGTAACAGTTTTGAAATGCCAGAAAAGAGGGTGATTTCAGGTCATCTAAGATCAACAGTTACTTGTTTGGTTGATTATTGTTCAGCCAATCAGATCTCAGCAGTAGGGTCATGTGATTTGCGAAACAAATCAAAGCTCACATGATGGTTTTGGTGGAAGATTGATAGCGGGACACCATGACTGTGCACGCCCCACAGCCTCCGCCGCCACAACCGGACTTAGTTCCAGTTAACCTCACTGAAGGCACAGTCAAGGTAATGTACAGACATGACTCCTGAAACTTGTAGGTGGCGCTAAATCTCATCAACAGTATGGTATACAGTTATAAAAATGCTCTGAAGGATACTCCTCTCTCTGAGGAAGGGCAGGAGCATGGTCTCAGGGTCTGCATGTTCCTCTGTCACCTGTTTGTAAAGAAAAGAATAAATCAAAAGTCACTTATGAATAAAACATTTTATTTATTTATCAATCAACACATTACTTAGCGATTATATTTCCAACAACGCAACTCCAACTGATCACCCTGTTCACTGGTATTTATGAACAGAAAAAACAGGTGTATGAAATGAACAATGAACAGAGTAAATTAAGGACCTGGTTTGAAGCAAATAAGTTATCTCTCTGCATAAATAAAAGTGCATATATTTATTACACCTAGAAACCATCAAGATAACTATATTCTTAATGTACATATTTAGGATAATATTTAGAAAGGGTCAAAGTCAAAATTCTTGGTGTCATCACGAATCCTGCCCATCTTTGATCGAAATTTTGGTGGCCTCTCCTGCAGTTATCCTCATGAATTAAATTCCAAGGTTTGTTTTAACTAGGCTTGAACAATATGCTTTGTCTTGATTTTTAGAAGTGCGATACAAATAAATAAATCATTAACCCTAGAACACTATCTCCGGGTGATTTTCACCCGACCAAACATGTTCACGTGATTTTCATGATGTTGCGTTTGTCTGAGTATCATGGGTCTCTGGGTAGCTTCAGCATTTCCTTTGACATCATTGAAGGAATATTTGTTTCCCTGATTCAAAACCTGCTTTTTCCTACATACACGTGTTCACAGGGTGATTTTAGCGATAGAGGGTAAAGTAGGTTTGGGTGAATTTGATAGCTGCATGTAGGGTATAAGGTCAGTAGGAGTGGTCCTGGAATTTGCATGCTATCTTAATTTAGCGCAGTGGTTATTAATAATTATTTTTTATAATTATTAATAATTATTATTTCAGTTATTTTTGTTGTATTTTATCTGGTCCCCTCATGGCACTTTTTTCCCTCCCTTTGGACATTGCACAGTTAAAAATAAAAGAAAACTACTTTAATTTGTCATGTATTAACCTATTTTGATATATTTTGATAAATGCTTTTTCTTGGGTATATTATTTCGGGTAAAAATCACCCGATAGGGATAGTGGTGGTGTTACTAGTTTTAGCAATAGTGTTCTAGTGTTAAGCTAGCATCTACAAGAGAATTTGCGGTGTCCGCATCACTACGAACCGTCTTTTTCACGAATGCAGATATTTTCAGTTGAGGTGCTAAAAGTCCGGGGACAGTTCGGTGCTCCATGGCCAGTTTTTGTTTTGTTTTGTTGGGGGCAAACGCGATGGAAAGGAGCCAGAACCCCGGGCCGTCAGAACCATCCTGAGCAAAACTGGCGGGGTTTAGGAGCGGGAAGCGCTCGCGACCAGATACCACTGATTCCGGTATTCTGGTCACGAGCGCCCTGCCAAATACACTATACTGTTTGAAGAGGAAACACTAGATTTATAAATGTTTTCTTATTTTTTTTAGAGTTAAAGCCTAACATTTTTCATGACAACAACTGCCCGAAATGACTAACGTCAAAGTTATGGGGTGGCCGTTTGTAGAAATGCTCATGCAGAAAATAACAGCGACATTTTGTCACATTTAGCTTTGACCGTGTTAAAAAGAACCGCTGCGAAATTTTGGAAGTCAGTTTTTTAGCACAGTTATAGATATTATATGTTACACTCAAATGTTAAATCTAAATCTAAATGTTAAAGCTAAATCTAAAATTCAGCTAATGTGCTAATTCAAAATGCCGGAAACCGGAAGTGCCAAAATAAAAGCTGGAGAAAGTAAGAATGTGTTTTTAGTGTTAAAGGGTGGAATAACGGGAAAAAACGATCTTATCTGAACAAATTGACTCTCTTAAAAGCCCATAGAGAAACATCACAAACCAAAGTCAGTTATATAACGTCAAACCGGCAATTTACGTTTGACACAACACAAAACTCAAGGTTAATCAGAAAATTTTCCACAAAAGTCATGATGTGACCACCTTTCCAGTTTTGTCAAAGTTTAAAAGTGAGCCTTAAACTAATTTATTTCTCCTTTTTCCCCCAAGTATGTTCCATTAAATTAAAAGCAGTGCTCCACTTTTACACCCACAACCCCTCTCTCCTTGGTACACAGTCTGACAGGTCACACAATTTTGCGGTACACCACTCATCAAACTGAAGACTTTGACGAGTTTTCTCAAAGTCGAAGTGACTTTTCTTTAAAGTCGAAGTGACTTTCCTAAATGTCAAACCAATTAAAATTTTTCCCTGGCATACAGAAGCAACCCTTAACATTAGTTACGATTGAGAAAATTGGTTGAAAACTCGAGTTTTTGACGAAGGTGAGCAAATAAAATCTTAAAGCAAGTAGCTGAAGCCATCTTAAACTAGACAGACAGTCCCCGAACTTCATTACATGATAAAAACTACCTTTTTCCCGTTGATAAAGAAGCACAAAACATCTCCTGTCTTGCTTGTCGACATGTTTCATATGCAGTTAAAACAACTCATGAAGACCAGATGTGAAGTCCGTCTGAATCTGAGCCACTTCCGCCCGTTATGACTATCAAAATAAAATACGTTTCGAGGGATCACTTCCATGACCAAAACTAATTAAAAAAAAAATGAAATTAAGGCAGTTTGCTCCTATAATGTATTATAATTATTATTGATTTTTTTTTCTTAATTTTCGATTAAAATAAATAAATACTTTTGACAATGACACATTTTGTGGTAAGACCATTGTTGTTCTTGTATTTCTTCTGTATTTAATCTGTACTAATCTGTACCCACTAGATTTTTGAGTCTGTTTTTTTATGTAAATATTTGACTCATATGATGTGCTGTTCTATGTGCTCTGGCCACAAAACGAGGTTCTCCTTGTGCTTTTATTTTCTTATGCTAAATCTTCCATTTTCCTGTTTGACACTGGTTCTTCTTTGCGACCTACAGGGACAGAAACGCCCACTCTTTACCTGATCTGACCCTTTAAACTTACTCAAACATAGCCTCAATTTTAAAGAAGTCAGCGTCCAAAGTCAAATCTGCAGATTTACATTAAATGAAAAAACATCACTAAAATGACTTCAGGTTTGTGTATTTGGATTCTCTTTTTCATGCCAAACAGTTAAAGATTAAACTGCAATCCAAATAAAAGGCCAAAGTTGTATTAATAACAATGGTTAACTTGAAATAAGTGTGTTGTTAAAAACATTTTAAAAACTTCTCATCGAATAATTCTTTTGGGCCACAAAACCTGAATTAAACTTCAGGCACCAGTAAGTTTTATTGTCAATATGAAACCCAAAAGGCACGCATGTTCGAGTGAACAGCAGTCAAAAATACGGTTAAAAAAACAAAAAAAAGTAGGTGAACTTTGACCCTTAGACAGGAGCAAACAGCCAAAGCAAACAACAGCTGACCCACATGAAAAATATACATATATATATATATATGTCATCTAAGCAGGCATCTTAATACTTTAACCATAATCAAAACTGCACAGATTTTAACTTTTAATATCTCAAATTTATCCTCTACAAGTAACATTATATTGTAAGGCAGAGGATGCAGTACCTAAGTCTGACCACAGGGGGGAGTTAAAGGACAGGAATGCGGAGAAGACGTGCCAGAAAAATAATGAGCAACCTATTTCTGTGATATTTATTCATGGTTATTAAATGTAACTGATTAAGTTTTTTGTTGTTGTTGTTGAATATTGTAAAATATAAAAACATATTTTGATCAGGAGAGACTCACCTGAAGTCTCAGATTTGTGGACGAAGATGCTCAGGTAGAGTCTTCAGTTTTTACTGAATGAACCTGGGCACACACACACACACACACACACACACACACACACACACACACACACACACACACACACACACACACACACACACACACACACAGATTATTACACTGTACTTTTGCCACATCTTCATGATTTTAACACTCGTATCTTAGCGAGGTGTCACCTGGGAGATCTGCTGCTGGTTGTTGGTAGCAGGTTGGTGGTCTTGGAGATGGGGGTGGAGGTCTTGCAGGAGTTCAGATGACTGAAAAGAGACAGATGCTTTAACCTATGTGGTATAGGTCACAGCATTCTGATGGCGGCTCCACATCGCCGATCAACATGGCTGATGCACGGATGTCTCGGGAGTAAAACCTGCAGCCACACACACAAAACACTCTCATGTTTCACAAATACGCTTTCGGCTAACAGGCCTTTGGGGACAGAGGACGGGAGATAGATTTATTTTTACTTGTTTGTCTTTGTGCTCAATCAGGTAAGATCCCTCTGGGTAAATACCGGCAAACAAACCTCTGAATCTGCAGTAGGTGAAGACAGCGGCCGTGCTGCGGAACGCCACAACAGCCTCGATGTTCCTGAAAAAGACAGAAATACCTGATCAAACTGGAGAGACTGGTAACTGTCCAGATTAACTACGAGGATCATGAAAAGATAAAATTTGCTTCTGATGTATTTATCAGCAGGTTTGTTGCATCGTGGGTAATGTAGGCACAGAATTTTGAGGAGGGAGTGGGATAAAAAAGGTGATAAATCTGACTGTGAAGCTTCTTTTTGTGTAATAATTGGCTGTTTTGAGTCTCAGTGTTACGTAGAAACCAGAAAAGAGCTCTTTCATGGTTTTTTCACTTTGGTGTATTTTTTGGAGGCTTCACAAACTTGGTCTGCAGCACGTTTGCTCTGTGCTGTTCCACAGGGTGCGATCCTCGGTCCTCTGTCATTTTGTTTCGACTGTCTCAGTCGTCTCTCCAGTTCCTGACTGACATAAAACTGATTTTTAGTCTGTTTATTCTAATGGATCTTCATAAGTAGTGAATCTGAAGTCAGCTCAACAATGAAGCCGTTATTTTTCTTTTTGTCCACAACTCAGAAACAGGAATAGACAACCAGCCTGATGACAGGATGTACCTGCGAGGGAAATTCGTGGTCACACCAAAACCAGTTGAGCTGCCCGGAGATAACAGTGATAGTATTATACTAAAATTAACCTCATACAAATAAATCAGAGCGGCTTCAGTAAATGACATCGGATGCTGTCACTATCTCAGACTCTGAGCGAGTCTCAAAACAAACCGCTGTCATTAACGGTCTCATAAATCTTCAGACAGAAATAAACATTAAAGGTAAGCTGTGATTTATATCGAATTTAAAGATTAAAGGTAATTAAGGGAAGAGTGAGCCAGTGCAGGTGCTCACCTGCCCATGGGTCCCACGGCAACGGTGCAGTTCCCACCCGGCCTCAGGTTCCCGCCTTTAGTGAACACCTCAATGGCTTTACGCTGGTTCAGGATGATCACCAGGTCTGACACCTGAGGGAACGCAGACATTTAATCCAGTTTAATCTCATTTAATGGATTTAAATTAAATAATTGGAGGCTTTACATCAAGGTTTTTGCTTTGTGTGTCATCAGTCACCTCCACCCCGATCTCAAAGCCTCCACCCAGACCAGCGATGCCGATGGCAGACGGTGCAGACCAGCCTGAACACAGACAGAAGCAGGGATTTAAAGATTTGTTGTTTTTAGTCATTTTAACACCAAAAAAAAGAGGATTTGACTGATATAAAACAGGACTAGATGAATATTTCACTTCAGGAAGAGGTGATATTTTTCTTCAGCATCCCACTCAAAGAGATCTTTGGATATTTTTAACTGCTCCAGGGTCATTTCAGCTGATCCCAGATCAATAATCAACTTTTAAACTAATCTAAGGGAGCAGAAACGTCAAGATTTGCTAAAGTGAACAAGCTGACTCCCTCTTAAATCTGGATCTTCAGTGTGACTCAGAACTTGAAGGGCTTTTCCGGAGAATTCATGTCCGCTGGTGTTTCAAGGACAAGTTTGTAGAGGACCTAGAGGAGCAGAAACCCCCTGATCTCCTCTCAGATAATCTCCATCTGATCCTCTGCGGCGGTTTGGCATGGCGTCAAAATCTGACATCCGTCTCAGAAATGACAGAGACGCCACTGCCGAACTGACGAGATACCATCAGATGATTTCACACTGCGGAGTCAAGCGCCGCAAGATGACCTGAGGGGGTTTCTGCCGATGTGGATAACACAAAGTTCCCACAACAGCATGTGGGGTCAAAACATTCAAACTTTTGAAGAGGTTTAAAAGCAGGGGAAAGGATTTTTAAGGTTTTCGTTTAAACACACGTCTGTCCGCGAGTCGAGCGATCACGATGCCGCTGCCTCCTCTGGCGGCGATCATAAAGCCTGCCTTGCTGACAGAGATGACGGTAAGACCCTCAGCCTTCGCTATCACATGTGCTGGAATAAAAACAACAGAACAATTATTAACAAACAAAGTCGACTTATGGAAAGTCCCTGAATAAAATCAAACCCCTCTTAGATGTGAAGCATGGTTTTAAACTGGGTCTATTCTAAGACAAAGACTTCATGACATCAGTGTGATTACACGGTTAACACTTGTGTTCACAGAGGTGTATGTGTCCTGCCAAATATCCTCCTGCACCCAGACCCAACAGGAAGTCCACCGCTTTGATTTGAATCTGAATCTTCAAACAGAAATCCCACACTGAGCATCAAAAGTTATCTACGTTTGTCAAAAGGTGCAGCAGATTATCACGCGGTCCATCGTAGCTCTACCTACTGACTGAAAACAGTCTCACCGTGTCCTCTCTGTGCTCACAGTTTAATAGTGATGGACACAAGTGTATACAGTCTATTTGTATCTCACAACGACTGCACCACAGCTGCATACACATACACAAAGACGTGACAGCGCTTTGTCTCTGTTTGCAGCTCCAGTTTTGTTTATTATTCATTCTTTCCACGATACTTAAGATGTCCAAAAATGTGTGTTTGGGATGTTTCAAACAGTTTTTGTGGATGTGTAATCATGATCTCAGTACCTTTCAGAATATTTGTGATCATTCTTAAAACATTTTAATGTTTATTTCAGGGAGTGAAAATAGTCATGAAATACGCAACAGGAAAATTTCTTCACACTGTCAAACGTTCATGCCGTCAACTAAAGCAGAAAGTTCAGGTCTGCAGACTCCCGGCATTTGTTGACATATTTCAGTCCTGAAGTGGTGGACTGACTACATACTTTCTTCTTCTCATCCTTCCTGATTCTATTTCCCTCTGAGCAGTTCTCTTATTTCAATCCCAATATTTACATTTATGCAAGACCCTGGTTACTTGGAGGAAACAGGCTTCATATGTTCACAACACTGAGATATTCAGGTGAAAGTAGAAGCCTGACTTCTCCATCGCTCCTGCCTCAGGACAGTTTGTGTTTTGTGTTTTTACCCGGGATGAGTTTGTCCGGTCCATTTCTGTTGGAGATTTCTGTGAAGTCTCTCAGGATCTTGGCGTCTGTCTTGGCCTCAGATTCGCCGGGATAGGATTACTCACTGAAAACAAACAGATGACACGGTTCATAAAAACATCAACAGTTCATCAGGATACATCAGAGAGCTCCACACTCAGACCCCTCGGACTTCAGACTCACAGAAAAGTGTAACTTTTGCCATCTTTGGTGGCTCAAAGTCAAAGCTGTCGTCAATAAGCTCCTTGTTGACTCAATCTTATCTGATCTTATCAACCTCTTTGCCAAAACAAACTGAGCAAACTCCCCACATAGATCTGTTTGTTCACAGCTTAATAAGAACAGTCTGATCAGAAAAGCTCGTCCATTATTAAGTTACAGTCTAAAGTCAATGTCCATCCAAGATGATGTCCTCAAATGTCTCATTTTATTAGTCACTAAAGAATTGGTCAGTAAGCAAATACGTCAACAGCTCCAGAATCAGGTTTTTCAGTGTAAAATTACAAAAACATGGAAAGGTTGATAACATAGACTGGATAATCTCCACAGATATGACTGTGTGGTGGAAGTCACAGCATGTGTGCAAAATCCCAGTCAGAGTTTTCTGACTCCGCTGTCACTGTGTGGGTCTCTGAAGCGAAAGGACGCCAGTCTGGCTCCATCAGGACTTCCCTAAAGAGGTTCTGTTTTCAGTTTTGTTTGTTAAAAATCAAACTAATAAAAATGGATGGAGGACCTTTATAACCACAGATCATTTTCAAGTTAGCAATTCTGGTCCACTCAAAGAGGTTCAGGTCTTCAAGGAACTTCTCATGATCTTTGAAAGTCTATCAGATCCTCATAAAAACCACCTGCATTAAATTTCATTCATCTAGATAACAGAAATATATTCAACAGCTGACTCATCCAATTATAACCACCAGTGACGCCATACTTCCGTGTTAATTACCTGCTAAGTGGTGAATGAACCAATCAGAGGCCAGGAGCCCAAGCCTAATGAGAGAGGAGCTGATGAGCCTCTAATGAGAGTTGGTTAGAGTTAATGAGCTGTGAGAGATTCAGAGCAGCAGGACGGTTTCCATCACCATCAATTATTGATCCTCCTTTAATATAGAAATATAAAAACACAAAGCTGAGGTTTCAGATGTTTCAGTGACAGAGAATCACCAAAGCCTCTGAAAACCTCAGAGTCTGAAGCCTCTCATAACTGAACTTGTCCAAATCTGACAAGTCTGATCATTGTGGTTTTGGTCTAATGTGGTCTGTTCAGAAAACAAAGCAGTGAAATTGCCCTTCTATAGTGTTTTTGAATAAAATAAAGGTCTAAAAATCTAAAACTGAGCCAAAAGAGATCTTTAGACTCCCAAATAACTTCATTCAGACAAGCCTGACAAGTCGAACATTGTCAGCCTTCTCCCTACGACGTTATTTCCTATGATGACATATTTCTTAAAATGTCTTAATGAGGAGTAAAGTTTGGTTCATTTGTGTTTAGTCGCTGCTAGTTTTTTTAGGCTCACCTGAGGACGTCGTGTTCCACCTGTATTTACGTAATACGTCATTCAAAACAAATGATATAAAACAGCAAGCAGAACTTTTTTACTGTCAAAAACTTGTACAGTTTAAAAAATATCTTACTTTTTGGTTCCTCCTCGTCTTCTTTCTGTTTTACAGTCAAACACCTGTGACCGCTGAGCTCTGCACGCTCCCTTCTGCTTCACCTGACCGTGATGGTAGAGACAGCCTCGCGCTCTGCGGTTAACACCTGACAGGAGGTGTCCAATGAAAACAAACAGAAAATAAACTTAGCTCACCTGTACAGGTGAAAACCGAAAGTGGGGACACTCAGTTGTTTTCAGTTATGTCAGAGAGAAACAGCTGAAGGTGATCGGGATTGATCAGTTTATTAATTTAGTACTGTTGCCATGGAGACAGTCAGGCGCTGTATGCGCAGCCGAGGGAACATCAGGGCAATCTCACAGGAAAATACTACATATTAGTTTTGTAAAGGGCAACTTAACATAACTTACATGATTCAGTCAACTTTTATGCCAACAGCACTTTCATCTAACACATATACTTTTGTTTCTGTTTTTATGACGTGAAAAATCTGTTAAAACAACCAGAGACATTTAGAAACTCTCTCACTGATAAAATGTGTGTGTAGCTGTCAAGTCTGATCAGTTTGATGGTTTTACTTCATTTTCCATCTCATTCAGCTCAAATTCTGTTCACACAAACACAAAGTTACAATGAAACACAATTAAAAACGGTTAAAAATTGAATCATTGTGTTAATATGTAATGTTGGTGTTATTACATATTTAAAACTTATCTGAATATCTCTCACTCCGGTTCCTCATGTTTTGCCTGTAACTGTTCCTTTCATGAAGGTCCACCTGTCAGGGAGTGTAATCACACCTGTTTACCTGAGGGTGGCACTAGTGATGCTATATATTCTTAAAATATTCTTCATTTAATCTGAAAGCCTGTTTTTATTAATTTGGTTACAGAAAGAAAAACTGAACTGTGAACAGTGACCTGATAACCAGATGACTCACTGACGTGATAAAATAGAGGTCAACAAAGATATTTTCTCTGTTATTTAAAAAATAAGTCAGAGGTTGAGGCAGAAACTGTATTTATGAAGGAACAGCTCCTGCTGCAGGCACAGGTCAAAAGCTTTCATACAGTTCTTGATACAAGGTCCTTTTTATCAGCTGGATGTGTGTGTTTATTGTACCAGGATAATAATGAAGGGATATATTCAAGGAGAACTTTTTCCTCTGACGAACAGCTGCAATGATTCAAGAAAAACATCTTTGTTAGGCTTTGACTTTTTTTGGACGGATTTGTTCCATGACGGTCAGTTTTCAATGGACTCTCAGAAAAATGGGTCTGAATGAATTTCTTAAAAGGTGATCAGGTGCCACATAACTCAGGACAAACGCCTCCAGAAGGCACGTCAGTCAGACCTTCAGACTGGAAACCTTCCCATGTTCGTCTCTGTCCTTTTCTCACGGGGAACGTTATGAAATTTCTTTCATTATTAATCCCTCTGCAGGGAAATCTGCCGCTCTCCTCTGGGAGGTCAAAAGGTCAGAGTCCGGGGAATAACTGCAGAAAAATCCAACAGTCACAGTTTCTTCACACAGTCTGAAAACAAAATGAAACTTTTAATGATTTAACGTTTGGAATAACAGAAGTAATGACAATAATGGCCGTACGCAGCCACACAACCAGCACAGTTTGATGTGGAGGTCGACACGGCGACATGAGAGTCGTGGGAGAAGTCCGACAAAGTGAACACACATGAGATTTAACCCGAAAAAAAGAGTTTATATGATCGTACAGAGAAACAAGTGAAACGCAGGAAACCAGAAATTAAACTGGCGACGAATTCAGACAAAGACGACTCTGACAAAATGTACTGTCATCCCTCACTGTTAAAAATGTGGTTATTGGGTTACATTTGTTCATAGGCTGAGTTAGTTTTAAGATGAAATGACAGAAAAGTGTGAACCTCCCTTTTAAATCACTTTCAAAGCTGTTCACACTTGTTTTTCTTTACCTGCACAGGTGTTTGAGTCGCTCCTGTGTTTGTCGTCTGTTAAAGGTGGATTTGCTTAAAACAAAATGAGATCAGGGCCTTTAAAACTTACATTAGGGATTACACATCAGTCCAAGATTCTATTTATTACATCGGAAATATCTGATTTCTTCATCGGTCACAGCAGGACAGATGTTCGTCGCATGACATCAGGACAAGCAGCCATGAAAAAGTGATTATCAGTGAGGGAGAATCTGTCTGAAGCCGATGGCCCAGGGGAAATATGTGTTTACAACCTTAATTACATCTTTCCATTTATGGCACTCCAAAGACTAAAAAACAAAAATCACATGTTTCCACTCTACTACACTGTCTTTCAGCCACAAATTTCTAATGTGCATAAAATTGTAAAATGTGGTGGCTAAGAGACAGAACCAGATGATCTGGATGGGTGAGGATGATGATGATGATGATGTTATGCAGGCCAAAGGAGGAGAAGTCGGCTGTCAGTCTGGTATTTACGACTCTATCGCCACCAGGAGCGGACTGGCTGTGATTAACCTGCTCTTATCAGGCCTCATCCTCCTGCAGCTCATCACATGTTTACAGCTCATTTACAGACACGCTCAATATTCAGCTCAGGGTGGGAAACACAGAAAACACCACTCACATCCTCTTAGACACAGATACTGAGGCTATTTTTTCAGCAACAAATCTATTTTATTACCCAAAAGGTACTTAAACTTTGAGTTACTTCTCTTTTCTGACGCAGAGTCAACGCGTGATTGTCTGTTCCGCTTCTTTTTCCTCTCCATGTTGTAAAATAACGGCAGTAAAAATAATTAATATCACAAGTTAAAACTACGTGAAAATACTACAGTAAAAAAAAATAACTTAAATATGGTGATACGGCTCTGTTTTGGGGACTCCCTTCTTTTCCACATGCATAAATATGAACGGCCAAAGCCTGAGGTGGGTAGAGCACACCTCCCCTCTGTTTCATGGTAACTAAATAATGGCACGGTGAAAATGTGGACATCCAAAATCCCAATTTTTCCCACCATGCCTCTGTTCTGTCACTCAAAATATAAGCCATGTATTCCTATCAGAGAGTTAAGTCGAGCAGCATGAACTCAGTACAACAAGTGAATCATGGGTACAAATCGCCTCTGCCTCCATGCTTCTTCTTTTATGTCCATCCATAAACTTTTACTGCATGTTGGTGACAAACACACAACAAGCTACTGAGGACTCGTCACTTTGTCTACTCTTCATTCACATACCGAGAAAATTCACCACTTAGACAAACCAAACACAGAGTCAAAATAACAGTTTATGGTTTTTTGAGATTGGACTCGGAGGAACCATATTTTTCTTTCTCTCTGTCTCTGCTGCTGTATTTTGGATATTTGATCTCATCTTTAAAATAAATTGTGCAGCATAAATTTTCTCCAACATAACTTCTTGATTTTAAAGTAAACTTTCTCTTTCTTTAAAATTATTGTCCCATTAAATATGTTGCAAATTGTGGAGTTAAGCGTGAATAATTTGCCTATTTCACAGAAATAAATTTAGATTTATTTGGAGCCAAGTTGTTCTTTTTTCTTCTTAACTTTTCCATACTTTCTCTCTCCCTTTATCTCTCTCCCTCCTTCTTTCTCCGTTCTCTCGCTCTCTCATGTTTTTATCTTTTCTCCACTTGCTGCTCGCATTAATCCGTCTTCTCTCTTTAAATAGCTCACTGGGTAAACATTAGTTTCACTGCAGCCATCTGTCTTCTTAATGCGTTTCCACCAAGTACGTGTGTGTGTGTGTGTGTGTGTGTGCGTGTGTGTGTGTGTGTGTGTGTGTGTGTGTGTATGTCAGGCCACCCAGTCTACAAAAGAACAGATCAGGCCTCCCGGTCTTAACAAGTTTGCAACAAGTCCCCGTCAAACCATCCTGTTTGAGGCGCTCTTCATCTTATAGTTAGTGTTAAAGTCATGGTTGATGATTGAAGGGATTGGTAATTATCATGAACCTCGTTTCCGTCCCGGACAGCTCCTATTGGTCAATCTTCAGCTCTGCCTCTCCATCCAACCACCTTGCAGTATTCGGCACACCCCTCTCCCGT